AAAAAAAACTCCAGCCGTGGGAGCCGCAATTACGGGCTATATAGACATACCGTCCGTTCCGGGCTCAAAGGCCAAAAATTCCGGCTGCTGAAGCCGTAGCTTCGGCCTCTGAACCCGGAGCAATCGAAGCTACGTCTCCAGCAGCCGGAATTTTCGGCCTTTGAGCCCGGAACGGACGGTATGTCTACATAGCCCGTAATTGCGGCTCCCACGGCTGGAGTTTTTTTTCAGTGCATTAGTTAAAAAACGAATTTCCTGGTCTTATGAATATTTTTCTGCCTATTCTCCGGATAATTTTGTTCGTAATTTTTCCTAAAGTTGCTGAAAATGTCAAGGGAAAAGATTCATATTTTTCCGCAAAAATTAACGTTTTATGGGAGGAAATTTGACAACTGTCGAATGTTCATACGGCGTTTTTCCTTGTCACGGCAGCATTGGATACAATGTTAAAAATCGGGGAGTGAAATTCTATTATCATTAAAATCTATAAATCAATTATTTCAGTTTTCGGCCGGAAGAAAGGGATTCAATTCCGCAACAAATTCTCTGACTTTACAGAACTGGGCGAAACTCCCTGACTTTTCTAGGTTTTAAATGCTTTTTCAAGAATTCGTTGAAAATCCAGGCGGGAATATTTGAAAATTTGCACTGATCAATGATGGAAATTCCGCAAAATCTCGGATCGCGATTGCAGTGCAAAAAGGCAAAAACAAACGACAAGTTTTCTGTAGAGAAGGTCGAAGATATATCACACCAAACGTCAAGGTGGAGGGTGAGAAGAATACAGAGGACAGTGAATGAAGCATCCACCTCGAGAAGCTTTCAATCTGTCCTAGCGCGCAGCATGGCCAAAAAAAAAAACTCCTTCACACGACCATGATACGACTATTTTAACTTTCACGTTGTATGCGTTGCCTACCTTGATCATTGAAGGGGACACACACGGCGAGGCGGCACTGCGGCAGGCATCAACGGTTTTGGTTTGAGAATATGAACATACTTTGTGTTTAGGAAAAAAGGGGGGGGGGTGGGGTTGAAAGTGACAGTTCAGGCATCAAATCAAAATTTTCTTAAGCTACTCCCGATATTATGTCGCGTATACGAAAATATAAATGAGTATTTCAACCACGAATTAAAAGAAACTCATCTTCGGTTCAAAATTACTGACATAGTAATACAGATTCTGAGAACATGCTGACGTATTAAAATTGTTACAAAATAGAGCCTTGAAACTGAGGGAAACTTTCCTATGACCTTTCCAATAAAATTTCACTTAATGGTACCGTTCATTTAAAGAAGGATAAAACCCAATTAATTTGCCCGCATTCGTGCATCGAAACTTTGTTCACCAGTCTTAACTACTTTAAAAGTAATCCCAACACGGAAATTGAAAGTTTTTCAGGTAATGAGAAAAACTTAATTGGAAGCCTAAAAAGATGCGGTATCTAAAACTTCGTAATTTTTTCATTTCTTGCGACATCCTTTATTATCAGAAACGAATTTTCGAAATGAAATCCGGAGTTACCTCCTATTTTCTTCCTGATTTTAATGAAAAGATAAATTTCCTTCCAGTATTCCAACCAAAAATATTAGTGTTTCTACATCTTTTGACTAGATCTACAGCACATGATCGCAAACCACCAAATTGTGTTCAAGAAACTAAAAGGAAATCCCCGGTTTCCAACATCCCATGCCTTTAACAATTCTTTGATTTTCCAACAAATATTTCATTCCATGCTGAATTTTGATATTCACTGGATTTCAAGGAGCTAGCTACTAAGAAAAGAGGGTACTTTTCTTCAAAAATCTTTGGATAAAACCTAAGTAAGTTTTTAAAAAAAGACATTCAATTTCTGATAGATTATAGGTAAAGAAAGACAAAAAAAATGTTACAGCATCACTCTTTTTCTCTCTCTAGTGCGATTTTCGAGACAGCAATGGAAAAAGGGTGGTAAGAAAGATAACACGCTCTATTATTGGTCCTTCATATATCATTTGAGGGAGGGGGAGAGAGGGGTAGACTTCTTCAGAGCCGGTATCTCACAGAACACTTTTCTAGGGTGCTTAGTGCCATCAAGTGAAATATTTGTCGGAAAAAAGTACAGAAAAGAGGAAAGATTTAGTAATTTATTGGAAATACCAATTTTAGGCCTTCCAAGAAAAGCGAGTGGCTATCTGATTTCATGGATTTCAATTTCCGGTAGAATTTATATCTTGTGCCAACAAGTTATAAAAGTATTCAAGTGCTACATGTCACGAAAAAATAAATTTTTCAGGGCAAACCATTAAAAATCAGTACCTAAAAGTCAGTGAGAACAAAAACACACCAACTCGCAAACCTGTAAACGACTAATTACTTGTCAATAAACATGGCGGATCTATTTCAATTTGATTCTTTACAATGCCTCCAAGTATTTGTCCTTTGGCGCCTAAAAGCATTTTCTTAAGAAACTTCCTTTGCGCGCGCCGCAGTTTTTGATATTTTGTGAACATTTCACTTCTTTCGAGTTGGTGTATTCTTGAACTCACTGATTAAATTAATGCACTGAGTTGAAGCTCAGGTCAAAATTCAGAACTACCAACAAAGGATGGAAATTCTGGCAGATGTTCCAAAAATTTAGAGGAAAAATGACTGCTATCTCTAACACAAAACATTTATCTCTAAAAAATGAACAGAGGAACAAAAATTCCTACATGCAAAAACAACCTCACTAACCTCTGCCTGATTAAAAACGCTGAATAATTGCAGACATGAATTTCACATTGGATAAAAATCTTACCTGTATTTTGATGATGTTCATTTTGACTGCTGTTCAGAGGTTTGTCTTCCAGATGAAGGTACACAGAGATGGCACATATCGCGGCGCGGATGTAAAACGGATGCGAACGTAGAACGTCTTCTAATCGCAATAAACCAACATACGAACGCAATGTCATTTTGCGCATACAGTATGTGTGAAAGTCTACTTGATCGTCAAAAATTTCAGTGAAATGCTGCAACAGAATAAGTTCACAGAGCAGATTAAATAAAGGTCTATGTAATCTTACAAAGAGAACATATTTATTCTAGAATAGTACGGATTTTACCTTGGCAAAATGGTCTGGAAATAATCCTTGGCGTATTGTTGACATTATGGGAAAATTTGAAGTTCCTACACTGTGCCTCTACCCTCGGTAAACACTTTACATTTGCAGAATTTGAACAATTATTACAAAGCAACCACTCCCAGTATTCACCTTAAATTTGTTTGAGGGTTGGAAAATGATACCGCGCAAAAACTTTTATGCCCCCAAGATGATTGACTTGCGGAACTTGATCCCTGCACTACATTTTCTTGATCGTATCGAAAGTATGGTCAAAAGACGACTCAGGTGAGTCTCTTCCTCTCTCGGTGGCAAAAACAGGTCAGAGAGGTGGTGCAGACATAAGCAATTGTCCTGGAAATATGCAAACACCTCAAAGCATGGTACAAGAAGCAGAAAAATTATGCGACTAATTTGGGATGTTCAATTGTTTGCCCAGTATTTCTTGCCCATTAAAATTTATCAAAATATTAAGAACCAGTCAATTCGTTTTAACAAGTTTACACATTAAGTTTTTTTTTTCTTTTCTTTTTTTCCCATTAAACTTGGATGACTGCTTCACTTGAAAAAAACTTAATAACGATGATGGTAACTTACCCTATCAACTTCATGACATTTTTTCAGGGCTTCTCCCCATTTCTTTAATCTTTGGTAGGCCAAGGCACATTCTGTTTGAAACCACATACACTGCATTTCATTCAGACTCTCCATTGCGGAAACACCTTCGCGCGTGAATTTGGAACACATTTCCTCTGCTTGCTGCACTAGATTTGCTCGGAGCATGTACTTCGCACACTTTGAATTAATGTATCTATCTGCTGTATCCAAGCCTTGGGCTTCATCTAACCATTTGTAAGCTTCTTCTACATCACCGGCGTGCTACAGAAACAACGACAAAAAATTAGTCATATTTAATGGTTAGGAAATAGTTTAATCAAGATAAAATGTTCCTTTCTTTCTGCCATTATCCAAATAACAAAGGATTAATGTCACTGAACAGTAAAATAATGAAAAAAAAATATGAGGCATACTTCCTCATCAACATTTGACGTAAAAGAGCGATATACGAAATGAAAATTTTCAAAACCTACTTGCGAGCAAGATTTTAGGGGTTTTATTTCAAATTGGAATCATAGCAATCAGACACACCACAGAGAATAAACATCAGAAACAAAGTAAATCAAGTTGGCTATTAAAATGAATAGACACATTCCATGCATATTTTAGCCTGATCAAGTAAAAAAAAAAAAAAAGCTTTACCAGAACCTAAATTGACAAGCTTAAAAACGCTAATTTCCTATTTATGAACTTATGTGACTTTGGGACACATGGTTCTGATGAATTTGGTATCGAATTTTGATGAGAGAAAATATTGTAGTTTGAGTTTCATTGAATATTTCTAAAAATTTGGAAGTTGCAGTCACGCTTCATCATGATAATAAATTTTCAAGGACGATTAAACTTTGATAAAATAGAAACTTTTAACTATATGAATGTTCTCAAATCCGTACAGAGAGAGCAAAATTACCAGGTTTCAAGAATTTTCAAGAGTAATAAAAAAAATAGGTTTTGTTTTTTTGAAAGTTCTGTAATTCCAAAAAGCATTGAAAATGTGAAGAACAAGTATGATTTGACAAAATGTGAAAACGTGATGAAATAAAAAAAGAACTGAAACCTACCTTGTGAATTTTTCCTTTGATCACAAATAACTCTATTAATGTAGGCGTGTGATCGATTGCTAAGTCTATGTAGTACAACGCCTTTTCGGTGTTCCGAAGGAAGTCATAGTGTTGGGCTAAGAAGTAATATGTCCACAGAAGCGCAGAGGCAGGCTCTTTAGGACTGTCTCCCTTTTCAGCATCTAGAAAATCAACAAATATATGAAAAATTTTGATGATTTAAAGGTATCCAAGAGTCAGGCCGGCATACCTTAAGATGTTGATTCAATGTCAAATACTTACTGATTGGCAAAAAAAATATCATTGACAAATCTGTCTCTCAAAATTACCTAAAAACTACTTTCTGAAAAATTATTTCTAGAAGATAAGGTTCCCTTGAACAGATTTAGGACAGAAACTCCTAGATACTGTAAAGTTGGACTTGATAGTTAGCAAGACTAAAGTTAGCAAAACACTTTTCAATGGGGAGATTGGCATACTTATGGCTGAAGTCGAAAAATGCGTACGTCAGATGCGTCAGATTACGGCATTGTAAGTCGCTCAAGTATTGTTGGAAAACTAATCAACAGTTTCTATTAAAATGTCCTGCGAATTTTTTCACTCTTTCAAAAACAAATCACATAAAATAGCAAGAGAACTTTTAAATTAGTTTCTTTCAGAGAAAATAAAATACATACGATCAGAGATTTTTGAGCATTGCAATTAAAGCCCTTATTTCGAAAAGGCGCTCAGTCCGATTTTTTTCGAAAACGAGTTTTGGATGGAAAATCATCCTTATTTGCTTTTTGTTTAGTAATTCTGGTCGCCAGAAATTTTTTTTCTTCAGAGTTGGCGCCTTTTTGAAAGGAGCGCTTCAATTGAGATCTGTATTTTTTGCGTTTGGCCATAGATATCTGAACAAATTGAAACTTATGTATTCGATTTAAAATTTCAGTAAAAACTCATTTATTGGCTTTACTCTAGTTCAACATTTGGACTTCAATAAGTTATTGCAATTTGATTAAATGCGTGTGCATGAAAATTAAAACGATTTAAAAGAAAAACTCAACAAGCAGTACAAAAAGCCAATAAATTAAAAAAAAAAACTTACCTTCAAAACTAAAGTATCCAGTTTTCTTCAGAGCTTCTACATAGGACTCTGCCAAAGTTTCTACTGTGGTAACTCTGACAGGATCATTGTACAATGAATTGATATCTACGAATAAAGGTGGGACGCCTTTGTGTAGCCCTCTCCGCAAATATTGGTCTATCTCTTGCTTAAATTTATCACCTGTATAAAAATAAGAATTGTGAAATTAATGAAAGCAGTGGATATTTGGTCGGTAAAAACAGAAAAAGCTGAGTTTATGAATAACCAGTGCCGGGTTAGTCACTTTCTCAAAGTCAAAATAAATGGAATTTCCCGACTTTTCCAGATTTCCCTGACACATTTTGATAAAATTCTCTGACAATTGGACGTATTTCTGCCAAACAGAACTATGTGCATTATGACGTAAGCCCTGTTATGCATATATTCTTATGGGTCTCAGGGCTCATGTCTTTATGCACATAATTCCGTCTGGCAGAAATATGTCCACTTGAAGATATGCCAAAGGGTTAAAAAGACATGAATTGAAATATTTTTCAGCCAAAATAAGTAGACATTGGAAAATTTCGCTTTTATTTTTCCCTGATTTCATGGTTATTTTTCCCGAATTTCGTTGTTATTTTTGCTGATTTCGCCATTATTTTTGTGACACTTTAGGCGTTTGATAGCTTAAAATAAAGCTTAATTTTATTTAACGAGCCATTGCTCAGTCTTTTTCTCTCTCTAATCCTATTTTACAGAAGAAGCACTTTATTCTTGATTAAAAAATATCTGTTGTTAACTTTTTAAAAGCACTTTCTGTCAATATATATTCTTTTTTTATTTTTTTTTAGTGACATCAATTAAATTTTAGTGAGATGCTGATGTTAAAATCATTTGAGGTTATGTTTATGATGCCCCGGTTGATGCCATTTCTTTCATCAGTATTTTGATGCCATTGGCGAACGTTGATAGCTAGTAGCCAATGATGACCAATGCTCAAAAACAACTCCGTAATTTCTTATTTTGAAAAAAAAGCGCGGCAAATTTCGTCTTAAACGCATACATACAAATATTTCACGATAATTTACGGATTTTGCGGATTCTGAGATAAATCCAGAGAATGGTCTATTTCGCTTTATATTTTCGTGATCAGGGGGTTATGATCAGTGCTTCTGTCTGGTTTTCAGATTCCTAAGTACACTTTAAAAATTTTGCGGCGAAATGTTCTGATGTCTGAAAATAAGTTGCTTGAAACGCTAAGCCTATTCTAGAAAGCAAATAAAGGTGACTTAACGAATTAATACTAACATTTCTAGGTTCTTCCTGATTTTTTAAAATTTCCCCGTTTTCCAGGAATGTGGAACCCTTGAACACCCTGCCTATTGGTCCATTATGATGTATGACCTACTAGTCTTGCCCTTAAAAAGATACGGGGCAAAATTATTCACACGAAAATTTAGGAACACAAATAAATTACCTTGGCAATGATTAAGAGCTAGTCTTCTAGGCGCATGAGCATGGGGATACTTCTCGCAATAAGATTTAAGCATGTCAAACTTCTCCTCATCGCTGATCAATTTCATCGCCTCTTGAAGTTTTTTATAATACTCAACGTTCTCTTGGTTCCTCTCGATGAGCTCTATGTAGTGCTGTTGTGCTTCCTCATGCTTGCCAACTTTCAGGTAAAGATCGCCTATAGCAAAGCATTAGACAAAAAAAAAAAATGAAACACAGATAAAAAATGTTTGAACATCCTCAAGAAATGGAGAGTAACATTCCACATCTATCTTACCTTCATCTATCTTCACTGCTCCTCCTTCTTCCCTGAGATATTATGATCATAAAAATTGACTTGGAAGGATTTCAAGATTCATTCAATTACTCATTTATTCAGAACAGTAGAGGAAGGAAATATTTTTAAAAAAATGGTGTTTAATAAAGCTGGTGATGTAAAATCCATGGTTTCGTTAGACTTTCAGTTCAATTGTACCGACCACCTAACAAAACTGCGATGTTCCATATGATAAACTATGTTCTACCAGCAATTTTTTTCATCCACCAAGGGTATTTAGCTGTATCATTCGGCCAGCTTGAATTTGTTATTAGTCCCAACTTCCAAGGTTTCAAGCAAAACTTCAAGTGAATGTAGTCAGTAGTTGGGGCTGACACATTTGAGGCTGCTTTACATTATCTGATCGCATAACAATCTGATCTTGATTCAAACACATTTGAGAGATTCCATATGTTACTATATTTTTGGAAACTGAAAAGTACTAAAAATGAGAAATGCACACACTGAATACATACCGTAAGTTTCATTGACAGCGAGCTTATCGTACATTATCAAATTATACCGATCTAGGTGTTTGATTGCTTCGTCGTACGCTTTCTGCTCTTGATATACCATATTTTGGTACAGCAACAATTCACTATGCTCAAAATCAGTTGCCGTCTAAAAAAGAGAGGAAAAAAGATTATCACTTACGAATGCGCCAGGATCTTGGAACGGAAATAACAGGCAAAGGTGGCCGTGATAATATTCAACGCATTACTCTGAAACTGACCTGTACATTTTGATCTTGAGTTTTGCAAGTGGATTTACTGTCTTGATATCATTTCCATTTTTTGATGGACAATAATTTTGGTGAAAAATGCTGTATTTGAACTTGACTACACTAATCCAAAGAAAGCAACAATCAAGACATGATGATTTTGTGGCATATGGAATTGGCCCATATTTTGATGAGAAAATCTAAAACTACTGAGTGTCATCCTCTTAGCTTTTGTGCGTTTCGGCATAATCAAATGAAATATAAGATCATTAATCAAATATTGAATCTGCAAGAAATTGATGGAAATTGATTTGAGAGGCGTAACGGAAATGCATGAGGAAGACTGGTGCATGGGACTTACCGAGACAGTTAAGAACGTTTTCAAGATTTTCAAAGTCATTTCGTACTCATTCAGTAGATGATATGCCATGGCAAATCCAATCCAGGAGAGTCTTTGGGCAGGTCTCAAGATAAAAAGTAGATAGCGGGTATCCTACAAAAAGCGCAATCCCAATTATAGTAAGAAATTAAAAGACAATTTTTGATACGGACATTTAAAATATTTGTGCCGATCCTACTGAATAAAAATCATTAATAAAGGGTTCATTTCCGATGACCCCCTGTTGTTAATATTCCAAATAAACTTGGTTTTAGGAGCTGAGTCTCACCACTGCTATGGAAGTACAAAGTGAAGTAAAACGGTTCGGACAGATGGGAAAGTAAGTAACGTATAAAAGAAAGTCGCGACAGATCACAAGTCAGTGCAGGAGTTGAGGCATGACATAACATGTTTTTTCTCTAGATGTTCATCTAAAACCAATCGAACACAATAAAATTTTTCAGAATGAACTTGTGAATAAGATATTACAATGGCATAAGTCCGCAATCATATATCTCGTTTGCCACTTCTGAAAATCTCTGCCTCTATGTTATTTTTGTAAAGGAAAACAAATTGACATCATTCCTTGAAGTTTATGCAGAATTTTCTTCGCACAGAGAAGAAAAATTACGGCAGTTTAAAAGAAATGCGGTTAAGTAGTTTTCCGTCAAAAAAATAAAGTATGACAGGAAGTCTGCGACATCCCAAACTGACTTATGTGATTCCTAACGTACACCGTCGATTAGTTTTCATTGTTTGCATAGAAAGTTGTCGATTCAAAATTGCCAAAATATTGCTTCAAATGGGTCTCATTTTTGATATTTTCAAAGTATAGTTTCTTTTGCCATTCAGAGTTTAAAAAAAAATCTGAAAAAATTCCTAAAAGATTGGTTTGCTTTGTTTTCTCTGAAAACGAATTTAAAAAATGAACGAGTACCTCTGACTTATTTTGTACAAAAGAGAGCTTATGAAAAAGTGCTAAGAAGGAAACAGGATATGACATTCTCAAATTGAAAACTACATAAAAATGAACTGAAAAGAAAACAGACTTTAGCAGGGACTAAAGAATCGCTTACCCTGTAGCCTTCAAGATCTCTCATCTGAATTTGCAGAAGGGACAGATCTTTCAAAATTTGAATATTGTCCCTATCCCACTTTAAAGCATTACGATAGCATTTGATAGCCTCATCATACTTCTTTTCCGAACGCTGGAGTAGACCATAGACGTGCCAGCAAACATGGGAGCGAAGGTCATTGCGGAGGCCTCGCCTTACATGGTCGTATGCTTCTGCTTTGCGGCCGAGACAATTTAGGATCAAGCCTTTCATGGCCAAGGTTTCTAAACAGAAAAAAGCGCAATGATTGTAATGACCAGGTTTTTTGAGATAGGTTTTGCGAATTCCACAAAGGAATGAGTTAGCACTTGAATTCATCAGCTTAGCAAAAAATAAAGCATTTTTCTAGGTACCAATTTCCACATATTTTAAACATAGATCCATGAAGAACACGATGAATAACAAGACGTTAGATGATCTTTCAACCTTTGATTCATCAGTATTGCACATTCAGATTTTACGCATAAATGATAGCTGAGACCAAAGTGGAGGAATAAAAAGTAAGCACAAACACAGAGGTTGACAAATTCCATTGATACTTTTAGTGACCAATGATCGCTGTTAATATTACATGTAGAAACTTAGTGTTTGGAGAGACATTTGTTCTTTCAGATTCACCAAAATTTGTAATTAGTGAAATTCTACCACCTCAAAATATTCTGCGAGATGCCTAGCTGTCCAACTGTTTCAGAGTAGGTTCAGATGTACTGCTATTTTTTACCTTACGTAAAGTAATAAAACCGGTTGATATAAAAGCAATGATAGAAAAGATGTCAGAATTGAATGAAATTACAAGATTATAAATTACACATAGAAATAATTTTAGGCTGTAGAGATTTAAAAATGCTGCTAAGTTCTTAGGACTTATTCGTTACTACTTAGAACTGGGGAAAGAAAACTGTGAGAGAATGTCACCTCGACCTGAATACATCAAAAATCAGTTGGACGTATTTCTGTTAAACGCAACTAAGCGCCAAATTGAGTTTCTTTTGAGGATTTTAGAATCCCGGATAGGGCGTTCTGTCAAACGGAACTGAGCGCCATGGAAAAGCATTGCGAGTATAGGATGGAACGAGCATCGCGTTCCGCAACACCTGCCAATCCAAGCCCCCCTCTCCCTTCCTCCCCCATAGCACTTTGTTCCCTTGGATAGAAATACGTCCAGTTGACCTACAGGTTACCACATAAATTTATGTTGAATGATGCTATCTTCCGACGTGACATTCGCCCATCTGAGAAATACTGAAATTTTATGACAAATGTTGATTTGATGAAATGAGCTACTCTCAGCTTGCAAACTGATTCAACTCAAACATTGTCTACTTACCTCCATGTTCCGAAAATTTTGGATTTGATAGAATTTGTTTGGCAAATTTCAACCCATTTTTATACTGCTTCAGTTCGTAACATTTCTGGGGAAAAAGAAAAAAAAACAAATGAGAAAGGAACAAAATCTTGAAAAGATGCGATACATGAAGTCAGATTCTGGGCTCCAAGGAGTAAGCCAGTCAATATGATCAGAATTTTATCACTAGGACAAATACTTTCCACCTGACACTTAAGATAGAAAACAAAGTGAGCAAAACAAAATTTTTCAATATCAACGCCAATAATCTTAACAATGTCATTCTCAATCCCTATTTTTCTAATCAAGACAGTCAAAGAAGGAAGGGCTTCTTTCAATTTAATTTCCATTAGGGTCCCATTTAGCGAAAGGGAGCTAGCTCTGGTTCATTGGCAGGTAATGAATGCAATTACAGTAATTTTTGAATCGTGAAACTTTTTCTTCGCTTTACTGCGATTTAATTTAGTATTGCTTTTAATATTTGGCAAGAAAGTGATGACTACATTCAAAGCTTCCGATGACAGCTCATGAATACAATAACCACTGCAAATGTAAATTTTACGGGAGCTTAGTAAGTTCTGAGAGCACAGATGGAAAAAAAATACCTACAGGAAGAGACATTTGGAAAAAAACCACTTAAAAACTTCATGAGACATTACTGTAATTTGCAGGGTGCGACTCTCTGGAAACACTTACGCTTGTTCCAAAATATGGAACAACTAAGGTTAGACATCATTAGTGGAGGGAAATTATTCCTGGCTGACCTCATCAAGATGAAGGCCCCAGAAAAACAAATTTAAGGAAGGCACCATGCAAACCGCTTTCGAAAATAGCTGAGTAATTAATATCTTTCACCACGTTTTATCCTCGAGGCCTCCATAAAAAATTTGATGCTTCCATTTTGGATTGAATCACTGAAGGTCTTTATTCAGGCAACAATACATATACAATACATGCGTTCTAACTACCTACTGGTAAAAATGGGGGAAAAAATTTCTATCTGGGAAGGGCAAAATTCTCTTTTACATGCTGTAAGCTCTTGGCGTGGTGTGCAACACCAAGGTACAAAATATGTGCAATCCCACTCTCTTAAATCAAATTCACGAAGAAACTAATGGAGCAAGAGATGAGCTCCTTTGCGCATCGTTCGACGTATATACAATGCTCAAGGTAGCTCAGGGCAAAACGATGAAGGTGATAACAAGCGTCCATTAGATAAATAATCATCATTAAAGTTTTGTCAAGGTTTACGCTTGATCAGTATCACTACTCTACAGTTAACGAAACTCAAAAAATGTTACTCTCGTAGCATTCAATTACATGTTCGGTCCTTCATGCTCAAGTAAGTTATGCAGAAAAACATAACCTCACTTTCAGAGGTTAAGGCAGCCTCCTGGTTCCAGACAATCATACTTCCTCTGAAATGAAGCCAAGAATGGACACAACTCATTGGAAATTATTAAAATTTTCATCAACCGCTGCCATTATCTTGGAGGACAAAGTTATTGAAGGTGAGGAGGGCCTTTTATCAATGAAATGATAGCATGGTTTGGTTGGGGTGATAGGACTACAGCCAAGAATTGGCTCCTTTTTAATCGTTTGTGTCTCGTTCTATTCGAAGCAAACCTAGAGAAATTTAAAAAAATTCGACGCATCTTTTGATTTGGAGGCCCACAATCATTTACGAGTTTAGATAACTCACCAAAATCCTTTTGAACAAGGAGTTCTCCTTGGCAGGGAGCGGGTTGTTTGACGGCATGATGTATCACGGAACTCAATATTTGAAATATTAGAGTAATGGATGATCCGGAAGGGTTTCTAAAAACTTAATAATCTCGGGGTTTCGTCTCTCATTAAAGATCTGAGCCCGGAATCATAAATTCAGGCTATTTCACTGACCTAAGATACCGCACTCACACACATGCATAAACCTCACAAGTTCAACACGGCGAAAACTGATAAACAAAGGTGGCCGCATTTCAAGTTGAGCCGCCATTTTAGAGGCTGTGACGCACAATAGGTACATGCTTCGCCATGCATTCAGAATGTACCTGATGACGTATGACGTTAAGAGGGTACGAAATGCAACCACCATGGTTTATTCGCCTTGCAAATTTAAGATATCGAACTCAAAAATCCCTCCGGCGAGCGAGAGCACATTTTCGTCTTCGACTTTTTCCGGCTCATTCCGCTGGTTCTTCGGCCTGTGAACACCAGCGAGGGCGGCAATTTCAAAATTGCGCTCTTTTTCCTGTGTTGCGCTCATCCAAGACAATATTTTAGATTGATAGTGAGTTTAGCTGAAAGGAAGTACTTACTTACATTGCATTGCTGCTAAGATAGTGCAAAATCTATTTCATCGTCATTCGTCAAAATAAACAAAAGCAAGCAAATTAAAGGTAATTTACCGAATAAGTAATTCTCTTCTTTAAGTTTTGATATTTTTGGTATATAAATAAATAGATGCTAATTTAATCAACCTTAAGTTTCCTTGCAGTAAATCGACGGTAAAACTTCCATACCACGTCTCTCATTTACGGTGTTTTAAAAACTTCGCGCTTGTTTTGTTTTTTTAAGGAGCACAAATGAAGGGCTTGGAGGACAAGGCGCATAAGCGCAGTTTTTCGGATTTCATGAAACAAGTACCTACTTAAAGTTTCAAAATTACGTGGTGCCTTAGGCAGAGAGGAAGTTTGAACTCACTTCCCTAGAAGCAGAACCATAGAAGGAAAAGATAAAGATAATGTACGATAATGGACACGAAAGTGTTAAAAGTGAACATATAAAAAAGTAATAATTTTCGTGCGCTTTTCGCAAACATACTAAAAAATCTTCTAATTCGCGAAAAGCTCACGAAAATTATGACCTTTTTTTATATAATAGTTACATAAAAATGTTCACTTTTAACACTTTCGTATGCATTTATCGTTATATAAAAAAATTGTCTATAAAAAAAAAGTTCTTACCTAGCTTTTATCATTTTACATATATCATGGTCACGTCTGAACTTTGATTTTTTTTATATAAGCGTTACACGTTTTTTGTACAAAATTACCATGTAGATAACAGACATGTTTTTTATACTTTTTTTTAGAAAAACAAAAATTTGTTCTGCTACTAGGGTTTTTAAAGATTTAAAGTTGGACTTTAGTTGTGAATTTTTCGTTGAATAAACTTTCAAACTAGTTTTAGTTGAGTGACCATGAATATCTAAAGGAACTTTGTTAAACCCTGCACTTATGCGCCTTGTACTCCAAGCGCCCTCAAATCAACATGACTCCTTGACGTTTTCTCAGAATTTTCCTCGCGTGGAGAGGGAAAAACTATGGAAGTTTTCGAGTAGTGACGTTGAGTCGTTTTTCATTTAAAAAACTATGTATGGCAGGAAGTTCTGCAACGTCGCAACCGAGATACGCGGTTTCAGAGTTTTATCGTCGATATTTACGGGTTGCAATGTAAATACTTAGTTCCTCTCTGCTGCTCTCGGTCCATTTACAACCTTATCCCGTGTGTATACAGTAAAATATCGATGGTGAAAGTAAAAAACCACTTACCTATACCCACTGCGGTGTTTCAAAATTTCTCCTCCTCTTTCATTTCCTCGGAAAGAAACATGCCAACATTAGAGCTGGAAGCTCTCAAGATGTTGACATCGATCATGACATTTTTTGCGAAAGCCCTGTCAACACTACTAGCAAAATTTCACGGAACTTTGCTTCTCCATTTATAAGAAATGAACCAAAAAATTATGAAAGAACAAACATAAATGTTGTATAATAATTTTAACTTCCGCCGCTGCGCCGCGCTGATCTCACTGTGTTTGGCGCAATGCGTAAAGTATTCCTGCAGTCTTGTAGGCGCTATGCGTTTCACGCCAACCGCTCCTGACCGCGCGCACTGTGTTTGACGCAACGGGTGAAGTATTCACGCAGTCTTGTAGGCGCTAATGTGTGTTACATGCCGACCGCCGTGCCGAAGGCTTGTCCTTTTCATCTCAAGTCCTCGTCATCATTCCTCTCTGCGCTAAGCTCCAGGCCAAATTGCGTGTTTAGCTCCTCTCTTAACTCGACTAATTAAAGATGCTGTCTCTTGTGTCTCCGAAAAACGACAAAATTAGAAATTTCTCTACTCTCAGGAAAGAGAAATTTTGTCCCCTTTTCTCATTGATAATTCTTTTTTCTGAATCCGATTTTTTTCATACCTACATTTAAAAAAATTGCAAAATTGCAAATTAAAGAATGTGGCAGAGACATGCACTGGAAAAACAACCTATCCTTAATCTCCTTTCTCCTAACATAATTGAGGGGCTTGGAGGACACGGCACGTAGGTAGGCAAGTGAGTGCAGTGTTTGACAAAATTGAAACATTAATACTATCAAGTACTTGAAACTAGTTTTAATGTACAATTATTCTGAGAAAAATTCGTTCCCACGTTCTAAGTAATTATTAAGCATTAAAAAGTCACTTCGAACTTTCTTTTTACCATAAGGCTCCATGTAATTTCGAAACTTCGAACACGTATTTCTCAAAATACCAAAAAGTGCACTTATGCACCTTGTCCTTCAAGCCCATTAGGTAATTGGTCCTTATTACAACTTAGATTTTTGTTTTCATGGTGAGTAGAATGTTAGAGGGACCTCGCACATTTAAATAGGAGTGCTGACGTCCTATACAGACAGTCGAAGGTGACTGCCAATACTGCCGTCCTAAGGAAGAATGCCGTATGAGCCTACAGACATTTATTTCGGTAAAAAGCGAATTTAGTGGGAAAATAGAAAATATTTTTCCTTTTAACATCCAGATTTTTTTTTTTTTTTTTTTTTGCGATTTGATCTAGAATATCTGAGAATTTTAAGGAAAACATTTCATAACTTTCCCCTAAGATACATGTTTTTTCTAGGGAAATTTGGCAACTTTCGAATGTTCATGCGGCGTTTTTAAAAGATATAAAATAAGACACCTTGCTTTTGACATGACCGCTCCCACTTGACAGTTTTTAAAATGCCTGAGTACTTAAAGGTGTGAAGGGTCCTCAATTGAAAATTATGATCACTTGAGAACTTTTCTTCTTTGCCATTGATTTGAGATATTTTCACTGCATACACTGTTTCCAGCGAAATTTTTAATTTTGAATCAAGAGGAATCACGAACAAAGAGGCTTTGATTCATGCCCTGCCATTCGGTTTGTTGTACACAAAACACAGATTTTTAAGCATAAATAAAGTTTTCATGAATTAATTATTCCACAAAATCACGATTCAAAATTGGAGTGAGAACGTAGGTAGTATTTGTTCTAAATTTATCGTCTCTCTAGGAAATGCTCCTTTCTGGAAATCTTTCAACATATTTAAAGCTAAGATACGTTGAAGATAAATGTGATCTATGTATTTTTTATCAAATCCTTTAGATACAGGTGGGATTTTTTCAATATAGACGGAAACATTGCATTTTAGAGAACACAATGTAATGCGCACTTCACGGCTGTTCATTAAAAATAAAATACTATAGGTCGTTCGAATAATAAACAGTCAATGATAAAAATTGATTTTTGATTGTCTGTGAGATTCATTAATTAAAGCAATCCTTTGTGACTCACAATGTAACTGACCCAAATTCTCACAAAAAAATTCACTTTTGAGTAATCTAGGAGCAGTTCATAAAATACGTAACGCTTGAAGGGGAAGGGGGTCCAAAAGAGCATTGCGCCATATTGTTTGTACAAGTTGAAGGATAGGGTCTTGTGTCCATTGAAACTTCCAAAATTTACAGTTACATATTTTATGAACTAGTGTACGTAGGGTTTAGTACCATCCATGAGATAGTAATTTTGAATCAGACCTTCAGCTATCTTAAAATTTCAGAGTTTATATATTCAATACAGAAGCTGACCTCCCTCAGTCCTTTGAATGCTAATTCAGTGAAGGGCAATAATCATGGGGAAAGAAGAACAATATCGCCATCAACGTTTGGAATATTTAATCAAATGATAATTTTTTTACAATACAACAATATTTTGATAAAAAACTATTGGTGAAGGATTTATTAGTGCATATTTATATCACAAATAATTTGTTTTAAGTCAAACCGACAAAGTAACTCTGACTAAATTTCAAAAGAGCCTCAAAGAGAAAACAAAAATTGCGATGTGTTCGACAGGCTGCACGGCAAACCTGACTCTAAGTGACAGGAAGGATGCCACCTCTGATTGGCTGGTAAGCTCCCCCAAATTCCCCTGATCATCTGATGCCAACATTTTTAGTCCTTAAATAATAACACAAGACTTCGTTTGCCATAAAATGTTGAGACGGATAGCCAGTCACCCTCATCCCTACCCTCCAATGTTTTAAAATTTGAGGATTTCCATAAATAATTGCTTATTTGAGATGAGAAAAACAATAAATTCTTACTACTTAATTACTTTTTTCTTTCTTTCTTTTCTTTTCTTGCTTTCTTTCTTTCTTTTTCCATGTAAATTTATTACTGTTACTGCCTTCTTTAGAGGTGTAAATGGCCTTAGATGCTAAAGCACCGCTTTAAAATAAAATTATTTTACTACTACTACTACTTTCTTCCTTTCTTTCTTCCCCCTCAACCCTTTTGTATTCTCACAGATGTAACCTTGATTTCTATGTAAACACACAGAGGTGTAAATGGCCTTAGATGATAAAGCACCGCTTTAAAGTAAGCTTATCTTACTACTACTATTTCTACTTTCTTTCTTTCTTTCTTTGCAAATTAAAATGAACCCAATTTTGAGAGGAAAAACAACCAATGCTATTTCCACAACAGAGTAATCATATCCAGATCGACAGGTTACGTACATAAGTTGGCAGGAACTGTTGGTTAATAAGAGACAACCTCTTCAGGCCTTCTGAGGAGTTTCCCAGACGGCTTGCCGTTTAAATTGCAGCTTTGGTTTTCTCTTTAATGACCTAAAATTTCTCAGAGTAACAATTGTCTCCACCCCTTAAAAGTCTGAGAGCTGGGCGAAAAAAAGAGAAAGCACCAATACATGTAAGAACAAAAAAAGTCTCCTTTGTTATGTAGTTTTTAACACATTTGGATAACAGCACTACCAACAAAAATTATGCTGATAAATAAAAAATGTTATTCTTTAAACTAGAATCAGTGACAAAAACTAGTATCTTTAGCGGACCAGATATTCTATCTGCAAAAGTTGCATAAACTTTTTGATATTCATCATTAATAATGAAGGTGGGAAGGATATCTTTAGACCAAACTAAATCTAATAACAAACAAATGTTGAATACTGTTCATACTGTTACAAAGACTTTAAACTGTTGTACTAACTAAAGCTTATGTGCTTATATTTTATTTGAAAGGAATTTTCCATGTAAACAAGTGTTGAAGTTGACTTGGACAAAACTTGAAGCTCTATATAATACTAGAATTATGTTATGAAGAGAGAAGTACTTGTGTGCTTCAAGATTGTATGGAGACCAATTCAAGTGGTAACGAAAAAAAAATAATCAAAATTCTGATACAAATATCATACGTGAGGCACTAAACGAAAAAGAAAGATACAATACAAAGGCATGGATTTGAATACATTTTTATGAGAAGTCTCTTTTGAAAACTCATCACCTCTATGACATAAACAAATCAAAAGCAAATATCTTCAAGAGGGGAAGTATTGGGGTCCACCAATACCCACCTCCTCTCTCTCTGATAGAATGCTTTAAGACGGTGAATGCACAAAAACAGGCAAGAAGAAAACACAGGACAGCGTAGAATGCAATGAAATCCCTAGCTAGCTTGTGTTTCATACCCTCCCCTCTCTCATCCTAGTTTTGAATTTTGTGGCAATTAAAATCATGGGCAAATTTTAAAAAAATGAACTGAAAAATTTCAACGATTGAGTATTTCTAAGCACATGTGAGGAAACCTAGCCATAAATAAAATTTTTCACTGGTTAAACTGGGATGTCGGATTAAGAGGTTTTATTACCTCTCAGACAAAGCTCGATTTCTTGGGTGTCGGACAAGCGGTGCAATTATGTCATCAATAGGAGGATTTTCTTGTAATTGCTGACTCTTTGCCACAATTTGTGCCATATTTTCCCCATTATGAGGTACATGTTCAGTTGCTGGGACCCCAACATCAAAGTCTAGTAAATATGCATTAGAGGAGACCTCTGATTTTGTATTCAAAGGGGTAGAGCATGAGTATTTCAGATGCTACGAGTTTCTACGAAAGTTCCCTTTTTCCATACATTATGACTATAACGGAAAAGTGGCAATGTTCTCCATGTGTTATTTTTTTATTTGCCGCCAGTGAAAATCAAATCGGTTGATGAGTGTTCAAATTTAGTTATAAAGGAAGCCTCTTCCGTTTGGCATAAAGCACAGATTCCAATAAAAGAAGACCATCACAGCGCAAAAAAGTTGGTGAAGCTGTATAAAAATTGGCGAAAACTCGAAAAAAGTAAAAACCGAAATTTGCCTGGTAATATCACTAATGGGAGTGCATTTACTGAAAACTTGGACAACTTGTTCGACATTGCTCTTGCATCTGCACTAGAGGACATGAAAATTGAGGAAGACAAGCAATTCTTGATTCAGCAAAGAGAAAAAGGAGGACCAGGTCATATGTACGGCCTTGACTGGGAGCTGGCAAGAAAAGAAGCTAGAAGTGCAGAACGAGAACAATTACGGATTCACCGCAGACGAAAACACAATGAAACTATGGAAAAATTGGGTGAGTTTTTATTTGTAAATGTATTTGGAAAATTGAAAATTGGGTAAAACTTTTGACGCTCATCAATAATGCTGCAACTTCCGTGGACTGCAGAAGTTACAGTAACAACACCGGCATAGTTGACGCCAGTTTTGGCTCAGTTGCAGAGTGTCAACTCAGCTTTCGGCTCCTTGTTTGGTTCCCTTAGTTTGTAACGCAGCCCCTGCTCTTCTTGTTACACTAATTTTTTACCTTTTACCACTAATTTTAAACCTTTGTACGGTGTAGGGGAGATGGAGGAGGGTTGGGACATTTGAGATTTTTTTTTTTAGGTTGGTAGTGATGACTTGAGACTGGTGAATTTATGTTCTACCCATCGGCCCCCACTGTCTATGAAGTTTTGGTCATGTTTCATCAAGCCGGTCCTATATAAGGTAAGTTTGTTTGTTTTGGCCTTCATTTACTGTGTTTTTTCAAACTATAGTAAATTTACAGTTACTGAAAATTGTTTGTAGCTATGAAATCCGCGATTGCACTAATGCACTGAGTATTCCATTGGTTTGTTTTCCACCAAGTGCCATGGCACTGCAAAGATAAGAATTTAGATTATGTTCATTTGTTGACACGAAAGTCTAGTAAGGAGGGTTGGGACACTTTTTTCGAGGAGGATTAGGACAGTAAACAAAAGTGTTCCAACGCTTCTCGGTGAAGTTTCCTCTGCTTTCTTCTTGTGTAATTGTCATAATGGACACGTTTAAAAGAACTTGCCTGTAATTTACATTATTATTTTGCATTCCAGATCTGTGAACATGCCTCAATATCACAAAAAGAAGAGCGAAAGAGGCCAGACTGAGCAAGATGCTATCAACTTGGCAGTTGCTGAATACATTGAAGCTGGCAAACGAGGGCTTCAAACCATAGCAAAAAAAAATGGTATTCCCAAGTCTTCCTTCGAGCAATATGTGAAAGTTGAAATTTTGGTTGGTCATTTTATCGGCCATTTTAATTCAGCCGTTTTTATACCAATTTATATACATTTTAAAAATTTTAGCAATAGTGGTCAAATGTGCGGTTGTGCGCTCGTATTTTAGCTTTTCGTTGTTTGACGCGTATCCGCGCCGCGGTACAAGTTTTCTATTTGTAGCCTGAAGATGAGCGTAAAGCTCGAAATGCGCATCGCTTGAAAGTAAAACATCAATCTCCATCGGGAAGAAAAAGTGAGTACAAAACCCTTATCAATATGTGAAAGGTGAAACTTGCAGTAAACTCAGTGATCGTGTCAAACAGTTTGGCTCAAGGTACGTGGTTACACAAACAAATTTTAAAAACTATATGGCCTAGAACCATTTAAATAAAAATGCGCTGAGAAAAATTAAATAATACCAAACACACTGACGAATCGATGCAACCTTTGAAGTATAAAAGGAGATTATGAGAAAAGTCAGTTTTAACTGTTTCAAGGCTTTTCCCTTTTTTATTCAGAATATGTAGAATCGGAAATACTTTAAATATGAGGTGGCCGTTTAAAAAAAATTGTTTTTGCGGTGGTATGTGTTGCCAAAAAGCTCAAGTTCTTTCAGTACTCAACGGCTGTACTAATATATTCCTTTCTACTTCCTTATTCCTAATTATGTTCCGCATTTTTTAGATTGAGAAACTGCCAGTGGAGTCAAACCAGGCAACACCCTTGAAGAATTTCCGCCAAAAAATAAAGGAGTGCTTCCTCATTCCTAATTATGTTCCGCATTTTTTAGATTGAGGAACTGCCAGTGGAGTCAAATCAGGCAACACCCTTCAAGAATTTCCGCCAAAAAATAAAGGAGTGCTTCCTCATTCCTAATTATGTTACGCATTTTTTAGATTGAGGAACTGCTAGTGGAGTCAAATCAGGCAACACCCTTGAAGAATTTCTGCCAAAAAATAAAGGAGTGCTTCCTCATTCCTATTTATGTTACGCATTTTTTAGATTGAGGAACTGCCAGTGGAGTCAAATCAGGCAACACCCTTGAAGAATTTCCGCCAAAAAATAAAGGAGTGAGTAACATTACATAACTAACATACCATAATATAACGAGGAAACCGCGAGTGTAGTAGTCAGGAGCATGGGCTTTGTCCCCGTGTTAATTCTCCACGAGTTTCGTTTGCTTTTTGTCGAAATCATTGTCGTTATTTATATATTTATTCTTGTTTTATGTTTTGAAAGTTTGACGCATTTGTAAAAGCCATGTGCACAAAACAACAAATAAAGCTATATATTATTATTATTATTATTTTCCTCGCGATGCCGGACGAGCACACTGCTGATAACGGCCATTGCGGCGATCTCCAATCGCTACAACAGCAACTTTCTGCACTCACTTCTTTGGTTTCCCAACTTGCTCAAGTTAACCTACAGCAAAAAGCCACGCCGTCTACCAAATTCTCCTTCGTTTGAGCTTAATTCTCCTGAGTTAATCACGGACTATTTTGATCGTCTCGAACTTCAACTTAAGCTCTGCAACGTGCCGGCAGAAAATTGGGCCTCGCAAGAATTATATGCGTCACTTTATCTTACGTCATTATTCCTCTATTGATAATGAAGCCCTATATATACACTTTCAGCTTTGACCGCAGCGTCATTCATTCTTCAGTCATATTCATCGAGAGTTCAAGCAAGCCTTCTGTGCTTTGTTTGCATCGTATGTTTTGATTGTATGTGTGATCCCTGTTCCGTAAATAAATCTTTTAAAGTTTATTTTTCGGGACTTGTATTTTATTGGCGCAGTCGGGCAAGGATCTGCTTAGATACGTGTTCGCCTTTTTACCGAATCTCGTGTCTTTCGTTTCAACGATTTAAAGCAGTTTCGAACAATTTCGCATCGCCTTTCGCTACCGCTTTAAGACGACGCAACCCGGTTTCAACTCCTCACCGTTCTGGCGTAAACAGAGAAGAAGTTGCAGTGTTTTCAGCCACTGAAAGGAAAAACAGATTCCCTCATTACCCGCTATTAGTGTGACATCAAGTGAAGCAGCCATCTTCGGCTCAAATGTGGATCGCACGATTTGTTTGTCTACCGTGAGTGTAATTGCATAGTCTGACTATTCCACTGAAACCCCTTTCTTTCTTTTTTTTGCAATCATTTTGAAATTATTTGAATTTTATATTTATTTTGAATTGAAATCATATTTGATATTTGAATTATTTGAATTTTTCTTATTTCTATATTTCTTTTGAATTTTATTGTTGTGTATATTTTATGTTTAAACCCAGTAAGTTAGATCACGTAACGATGCCACAGGAACAAGTAGTTATGAGTCAAGCTATTCAGGATATGCATGCGATGATAACTGAACTTAGTGCTAAAATTCAAAATCTCAAAGAAAATAAAAGAAGCGTCATTTTTTTAGGTCATAAACTTAGCAAGGAAGGCATCCAAGTAGATGAAAACAAAGTAATGGCAATAGCCAAAATGCCACCTCCCAAGGATGTAACAGGTGTACGCCGGTTCATAGGAGCCACCTCCTACTATCGGAAATTTATCCCTGAGTTTAGTATAGTAGCTAAGCCCTTGTTTGAATTGATTAAGAAAGATAAACCCTTTCGATGGAGTGAGGAGACAAATGAAAGCTTCGAAAGGTTAAAAACACTCTTATGTTCAGCTCCTGTGTTGAAATATCCTGATTTTAGCAAACCCGACAATTACTTACGTAACTTTTAACTTACTTCTAATGAAATGTGTGATTCACCTTAAATACGTGCTTTTTATTTACTTTCTACTCAATAATTTTGAACTTCTTGAAGATTATTTAACTTGAAACTTAACCATTTGTTATGAACAGTATTTTTGACTTATTTTGCTAATTTTTCATTTCTTACTTACTAAGACCTTTTTATACCAATTCTTAAATTCTAAAAATTTCATGATTCAAACATTATAATTTCTTCATCACCAATATTTTGACTTGATATTATTCCTCTATCTCTGGAGTGTAAAACTCCCAGAACCCTACACTGATCTTGCGTACAAAGTAAAGGAAGCAGTTCAAATAAAGTCGCACAAAATTGTACTTTGGACGGATTCAATGACAGTTATTCATTGGATCAGCAACAAAAGAGCTGAAAGCTGTTTGGCAATATGTGCCGACGAAGGAAAATCCAGCAGATCTAATTTCAAGAGGAGCAGGTGCTAAAAGCTTAAAATTTTCAAAAACTTGGTGGGAAGGATCAGATTTCACTTCTACTGGCAAATCAAAATAACCTGATCAGTCCAAAATTTTGACACCGAATTCGGAAGAAAATGAAGAAATTGTTCTTTGCTCAGCACTGATAAAAACGCCTGATGAAATAACAGACCTCTTAAATTCTAGTTTCAACAAAATACTACGAATTTTTGCATAAATATTACCGTTCATTGGCCGTTGCAAAAATCAAATCAAATGCCCCAAAAGAGGCAGCATCAAGAGAAAAATGATTGAAAGCTCCTCAAAACTGCCGTCTATGGTAGAGATTGAAAAATCAAGACACCTTCGCATGTGCTGTATTCGAGAAGAAACATTTTCTCAAGAAATTGAGCACCTGTCGAAAGTCTGGAACGGTTCTCTCTTCAAGCAGTGTTAGGTTGCTGCACCCTTTTCTGGACAAAGAAGGGATTTTGAGAGTTGGTTGCCGTTTGACAAATTCTGCACTACCATTCTCACAAAAGCATCAAATTCTGCTACCAGCAAGACACCAGTTTACACGGCTATTATTTCATAGAGAGCACGACAATATACTCAACAAATTTTGAATTTTTCTTTCCTTCTGTTACAGGTGAGAGTATTAAAAGGGGAAGTACCACATAACATAATTAGCAAGACAGCAAGGGGGCTGCTGGGGAAAGCGTGTAATGTTTTTAGTCCATGAAAGGGCAAAAAAGAGGGACACGCCAAAAAAAAAAATCGTTGGTCAAAACTCCGTATTTTCAAGAAGTAATAATGGGTAAGTAACCCAACCAGGAAAAACACTAAAAAGAAAAGCACATCAAATCCAAAGACCGACGCTTGCGTCTCTCCAATCGACCCGGCGGCTCCTAGTATCCATTCTTTACAAATTTCAAGTACCTATTTATCATTTATTTCAACCACCACACAATCAGCTTTTAGTTCAAAGTGGTTGGTGTGCAGAGACCAGCAACAAAATATGACTAAATCAGAATGCACTATAACGTACAGAAGATCAATAGTAACTTTTGACTTTCGTTGGACAATGCTAACAAAGGTCCTGTTAAATAATGGGAATGTTTTAATATTCTAGGAATTATGTAAGGCATGTCTAAAAAAAGAAGGACCTCCTTACATTTTTAGAATGAGTTTGAAAATGGGAAAAGGATAAACATATGTGTTTCATTGTGCCAAGGCAGGCACAAATTCCATATGTAAGTATAGGGTAGCGAGAAGTTCTGAAAATTGCCCTTATTTCGTGAACCATACATTTTCAAACAAATTTTCCTCAAATCAAAGTGAGAATTTATCTGAAGGATGGGGAAAGCAAGGAGATTTCTATCAATTTCGAGTAGAAACCTCTTTTATCTGTCACTTAGCTGTAATTAGAATTTGATCTAGACAAAAGGAAGTTTCTGGCACTAACTTCATTGTATCAAAACTTATGAAATCATTGAAAAAGTAGATTCACTCAAGAACTGCCTTAAATCTGAGTGGATATTATGACCGTCTGAGGAAAAAGGAACCACAATGACTTTTGAAAACCTAACTCTCTGGTCATGAACGGTTCTTTCACAAACATCCAATTTTCAAAATTTCCGACATTTCCAGTCAAGTGTAGTTGTGAACATCGTAGAAGAAAATTTTGAGCATATTTAAAGCTTTGCTCTGTGTCCCTCCCAAAGAATCGTAACTATTATTACAATAATTGCACCTCATTTTTTTTAGTACTGCTGCTTCCGCAAGCTGCTCCACCCTTAAGCTGCAAATCCCTTGGTCTCCCTTGGATGACCTGTGCCTAGGGATTTTTTTACGCGCCTTCATCTCATGCATTTCTAATCTTTTGCACTGCAGTGAGCCATTACGCTGTCCTGTCCTTCAACTCAACTTAGATGCTTCTTCTCTGTTCTACTAGCAGCAATTTTCATACAATGATAACCACTTTTGATTCCATTGGATTCCATCGTGGTCCAAAACAAGGCCATGAAGCCAAAAAATATAATGAATACGGCCGAAATAAAGAGTAAACTATTGAAAACTTTGATGTACGTGAACGGAAGTTCCGTCTGGTAGACTAGAAGTAGAGCGATGAAGATCACAGTGACAGCTCCGTAATACCATGCTTTGTCTTTGTTCAGTTTTCTGAGGGCTGATTCGCAGATCATTATCGCTTCCTCCAAATATTCGTGCTGGAGCTTGTTCTCTTCCTCAACAAATGAATCTGAAAAATATGTTTACGTGATTAGAGGAGAAGAAAACACATTGGACTTCAACAGGTTAAGAATTTAACCAGTGCAATCAGGGTGTTTACAGACGCCATGGAAAGATATTCCCCAACTTTTCCCGGTTTATCTTGATTGAAGAATCAAAATTCCCTGGTTTTTCACTTTGACAATTGGCATGTAAGAAACTGAAAATGACAAATTTGCAATGATTCCACAGCGAATGACAGAAGCATGTCATGGAAATGGTAAGAATGGCCATGAGTGTGGCTGGTGATAACCATCAAAAATGGGGTAGTTGCATGAAATTTTTTTAATTCAATTTCTAAAAGTTTGAGGTCTACTGAGTATTGAGGTATTTTTAAAAAAAATTTCCGGTCACTGGAACTTTGAGAAAAAGCTCCTTAGAGTCAAAAGCCATTTGAAACGGGTCTTTTCCCGCACTTCGAAACTGGGACTTCGTGACGTCGCATGGTATACACCAAGGTTCGCCCTATGTCAAACACGTGTAAATACAGTCTTTTCAAAAATTCGGGAAAAATCGATTTTTTTGTCTAGACTTGATTTCTTTGTGTCGATAAAAAATTTTAGGATTTGATTAATAATTGCAAAACAATTTTGAAAGCTCTCCATCATGATTTTTTAATGAAAATAGGAGTTGAAATAGAGCTTTTCGCGTATCTTCTGCCGCTGCGTGATCCGTCGGATTCGGGTGCACCCGGACTGCTTCAGCAGTGTTCGTGCGTTGTAGCCAATCAGAGCTCGAGTTGGGCTCTCTAGGCGCTGGTGGCGCCGGTGACCAAAAATGGCAACAACACCATAACATAGATTTGTTCTTATCACTTTTCTGATTTCAACTAGCGCTGTGTTTGAGATTATGATCAAGATACGGTTCTGAACACCTTTTGGCATGATTTCCGACAGTATTTTCTGAGGAAAAAAGATACTTTAGACACTTAAAATGGCACAACAGATCATATTTCGGCTTGGTAAACACACGATTGAGATAGGGATGACGGCAGTGGGCGGAGCCTTGTATACCAACTGACGTCACAGTCAATGGAAATCGTTTATTTTTTACTGCGATTTTGCGACTTTTTATCGAGCTTTTACCAAGCTTCCGACTCAATTTCGGAACTTGCAAATGAAAAAAAGGGCTTTTTCGCGAAAAGGTCTGCAAGAAACAGTCTTCAAACCTAAAATCCCAGCTGCATGCAACTACCCCATTGGCAACAACTCTCCTCCCACCATGAAAAACGAAAACAAAGCGTCACAATTTTTGGGTCCTAGGACCTCCATGGGGAGTGGAGGGGTGTCATGCCCATACTCTCTTCATCAAGTTACCCTAATTGCAATCATCGCAGATTGATACATCAGGTATTGAAAGTATCAGGTAGCCATTGAATCAATCTATAGTCGGCATATCTCCGGCCATCAACAGTAGGTAATTTTCTCAAAATATAATTTGAATCTAACATTCACACCAACTGTTATTCAAGGCTTACCAGAAAAGTCTCCAGATGGCTGAGAAAGCCGGAAGGTGGCGGTGATTGCTTCATGATCAGAATGACTAAAACTCTCGTTGCTGACTAAATCAGAGAGAGGCTGTGCATACGAAAGGAACTGAACCTGCCAAAAATAAAATATTAAGGTCTATGTACTTGATGATAAAACCACAAAAAAAATGACTAACCTAGAAAAATGTTCTTCTTCTCCTTCTAACAATTATTTTGAGGGTTCGACGAATACTTGTAAATGCGGAACATTCGAGTTTGAACATTTTTCTATGATATTTGATTTCAACTCTAATCTTAATTCCCTGATATTTCTCCAATTTTCTTGAAACAATTTAGGGAAATTCTCTAAAGATTGAAAATATGGCACTTTGTTAAAGAGACATAATTTGAAAAAGTTTTCAGGGATTTGTTGATTGAAACGTCAATCCCATTTTAGAAAGCAAATAAAGGTGACTTAACAATTGTTCGCTGACACTTTTATCATTTTCTCTATGTTTTCCCTCACTTATTGAAATTCCCTGAACTTTTCTGGTATTCCCTTACTGTTACAACCCTGCTTAAAATCTCAAATTTTGACAGTTTAAGCCTACTGCTTTGCAAAAATGATGAGACCTGTTAAAATTTGAAATGGCAAGTCTCTAGGTCCAATATGGACGGAGATATCCCTTATAATAAAACTTTGCGCATGACATCATCCATCACCGTCTTGCAAACCATGGTTTCTTTCTTCTTGGTTTCATCTATCAATGATACACATATATTAATACATTTTGCCTTGATATATAGGTTACTCAACGTAACATGGATGGAACCACGACGGATAAAACCACAGTAAACACTGCCATGGCTGATGATGTTGTAAGCCTTATTTTTTGATGAATGATATCTTTGTAAATATTTAACATAGAAATTTGGTATTAGGGCAGATGGAATTCATTTTTACCAATCTATAGATTTACGCCATCAAAAGACTAATCTGTGACTATCCCAACAGACCCATTCTTCCTGTCAACTGACTGACCACATTCTTTCAAAAAATACATTAGATTAAGCATTGGTTAAAATAGCTGCATACATGCTTGATAGATTGCATCGCATAGCTATATTAGTGGAAATTTACTCAGAAAATCATCAAAACTGTTTCCGGTAAGATTCTTTTGAGGACAACCTTGAAATAACGTAAAAATTGAGCGGTCTATTAAAAGTCGCAATTTCCAAGTTTTACTGAATTATGAATTAAAATAACACAGTATCATATTATCAAAACAGAGTACCTTCACAACTTATCCGCAGATAATACACATTGAATCCCTAATTTGCAAGAAATTTTAAATTTTGCAAGTTAGAACTTGCAACAAATAAGTAGGCAGATGTTTACTTTCTGTTTGCTACCGACTACTTAGCTGCTGTCCATTGTCGATTTAAGATTGACTGAATGCAATGACGATGACATCAATGCCCTTTTGCGCAGATACTGAAAACCAATACCTCCCTTTGAGAGGGTATTGCTAGAACTGTCTGCTGCTTCTGACAGTTAGGAATACTTTAACTGTGTACTATTAACTACAAACTTATCAAGTGCCAGTTCTATTACGATTTCACTAAAAATTTCCTTCTAAAAACTTTTTGTCAGAAAATAGGGTTGGGTTTTATTAATGTCCTGGCTGCAAATTGGTTCGGAACTGGAATGATCTTCCACTAGATCTACGAGGCTATCCTGAGTTGGTTTGTTGTAAACTTTTAGCTAGGGGGTAGGCTTAAGGTACGTACTGATTGTTATTTTTGTTGCTTTATTGTACTGCACGGTTGAAACCTGCATTTGATTTTCTTGTTTGTTTATATTGGATACAACCCGTAGATTGTTTAATAAATGAGAAAATTAATATTGCCTCAAATATTCATTTACCTTGTGAGGCGAACATATTTTATACAGTATGTGGTCAATCTTTTGGTCTACTTGATACTTCAGATTCCTGTAGCTATTCCTTGTATGGTTGAAAGTTCCTAGCTCCGATTCATTAGCCTGTGAAAAGAGGATAATTGGATTTAAGAAAAGTGGACTATGCTCCTAATTAGAAACGTGGCGGTTTTCCTTTTCCTCTTTTTTGCAAATTCATTTTGATTTCTTTCTATTTCATTTCTCTAATTTTTTATTGGAATAGGACACAAAGCAAAATCATAAAAATTCAAATTGCAACATATTGAGATTTATCTCATTTTATTTTTAGAATAAAATTTGTGTTCGAGATGAAACCCGTGAGCATAACTCTGTGAGATTAGATTAAATTTCTTTTTTCTCTTATTGATATTCTGCAGAATAACTTTTCACCAAAGTAGTGAAAGGAAAACCTTCAAACTTAAAAAATTTGGCGGTAGTTTGAACTTACTAGAGAACCTTATATTGAGGAAGAAATAATAAGTAAAATTAGAATTTCGCAACTCAAAAATCCAGAGGTGCACTCTCCTGGTTTCATCCAAGATATGTACTTAACTTTCTGGAGAATCCTGCAATATTTCTTAAATCAGCTTAAAATTATTTAAGAACAATGGCTGGATATAAATTATGCATCCTGATGAAGATAAAAATAACAAAATAACTTAATCCGACTCAACTTTAAAAAGCATCAGAATACATTCATGAGAGTAATATTTTACCTGTTCAGAAGCATCACACATATTACTGTTGGTAAGTATCAATTGGTAACTGAGCTGAGATGGCTGGGAGTTCAAATCACCGGCCAGGATCGCCAAATCAGCATTTTGAGATGTGATTCGAATAAATTGTGACAGGTCGAATGCTTGAATGATTCGATGGCATAAATATTCATCACTGTGTGTACTATACTCTGCGTGGAGCTAGAAAAGGGGGAAAATGTTACAAAATGTTATTACAACATTAAATATTCAATTGAGAAACTTACTTGCAACAGAAAAAAAAACCTTTAATTCAAAATTTGAGGGATGAAAAGTTGGTGACATCCATTGAGAGGAAATGATCGTAATATTGCAAGAACTGTCCAAATTATCTTTTCCTTAGAGCAATCGATTGCAAACGAAGAACCAACTTGTGTGACCGGATCTGTAGAAAGGGACCTTATCTTTCAGAGGAAAATTTTCCTTTCTTTTTTACAAAAACTTACACCAAATTTTTCTGCCACTTAAGAATTTTAGTCATAGAACTTTACTGCCGTGCTAAGAAAAAACGCTGTATGAACCTTCAGGCGTTGCTAAATTTCCTTCGATGAATCACGAATTTCCGGAAGATTCGTAAATATTTTTCTTCCAATTTTTTAGATAATGCAGTTCGCAATTTTACCTAAAGATTCTGAAAATATAAAGGAAAAATATGAATGAATAATGTTGTCAAAAATACATGAATTATCAAGAGGAATTTGGCAACTCTCAAATGTTCAAACGGCGTTCTTCCTCAGCACGGCAATTTAGGACTCATATCTCCTTCAATATTTGAGCTTCAATGTGCAAATTTGCGCCTAAAATTTTCAGATTTTCTTCCTCAATGCATTTATGAAAAGTTAAGTAAACTTTTCTACCAGAAAATAAAATTCCTTTTCACAAATCCGGTTACATTTTATACCTTGGACTCCTTTGTCCATTACTACTAATTAATAGAAAAATGGTGAAATGCTTTCTGAGGTTTAAGCCAGTAAATGAAAAAATTTGAAACTTCTTGAAGCAGAAATGCCGTGATGATTGAAAAAAGGAGAGAAAAAACTTACATGTACAGAATAAATGTTGATTTTGATTCCCTTAATGACGCATTGAATGAAAGCGATACCTTTCCCGCCAAAAAAGTCTGCATGCATGACTTTATGGAAGTAACCATTCAGTTGCCACTGATGAAAAAGCACTTCCTTGATTGGCCAGCGAGAGAAAATACAGACTCCAGAGCCCACAAACCCACTGTTACAAAAATCAGAGCATTCAATTGAACTGGCAAAAATAACAAATGTGGAGGAAATCACCAGGGTCAATGCTTTTAAGGAACCTAAGTAGCACGCCTTGCGAAAAACTTGCAATAAGATTGTCAAAAAATTGCAAATTTATTATGTGTGACAAAAACAGCGATTAAACTGCCCAAATAATTTCAATTTTTCGTGCAACAAAAATGGGAATTAAGTTGCGTAAGTAATTTCAATAAAATTATAGCAGATCCATGTTAGGTCTTCAGGGTTTTTAAAATTTCTTCATTTTTCAATTCTCTGACTTTTTTTGCTTTTCTCGGACTCCAAAATTTTGTCTGACTTTCGGACGAAACTTCCTCTTGGATTTTTTCCTTTTGATTACGACGACTTCTGCCAAACGCTGTTTGCAAAATTCCCTGACTTTTCTTAAGAAGTCCCTGACTTCCCATGACATTTCCAGTTCTCTGCAAAGTCCCTGACCACAGAATATATAGGCTTCACCAACAGAAGGTTCACTCCCGTTTACTCCAATGTATCGCGTTTTGTACTTTCCAGCGGCTCTGCAACGTTGCCATGTGAATGTGTTCCGGTAAAAAAAGGGGGTAGGGAGGAGCGCGTTTCGCCAAACAAACCGACAGCGTTGAAGGTCTTCCGAGCTCCGGACTAGAGGCAAAATGTAAACAAAGCTTTCTAGGTGTGTTCTTCTTCTTCGACCGAGATACGCTGGGAGTGAGCCTTCTGTTGGTGAAGCCTATATATTCTGTGCCCTGACTTTCCAGACTGCATGTCGGCAACCCTGCCTGTTGCTTAGCTTATCGCATTTTTCAAGCAAGCGTAAAAATGTAGGTTTTCCCAAACATCGATTCAATTTTTGTCATAGAAGAATTGCAATTTATTTGTATTATATTTATTTGCATTTTTTGTAAGTACCTGTAAAAGTACTGTGAATACGGTAGGATGTTCTGCGTTTCCTCTTTAATTAGTTGGAAGTCATCTTCAACCCATACTTCCTGCAAACAGACAAAGTCATACTTCTTCTCGACCAAGTGCGCAGCGATTGCTTGCATTCGTGGGACTCGATCCTTGGAAAGGAGGAATATGCCCCTGAAAGCGTTAAGAATAATTTATAGGCAGGAGCTTTGAAATATTTAATGCAGGAGGAGTGAACAAAGCTGCAGCGCCGATAATCACCTACCTACTTTAGAACCTAAGAAAGATACCTCCTGTATAAATGCTAATTTTAACACTACAGAAGTTTTCTACCATTATCAATATTTTGATACTCATGAAATTATTTATGAAAATAAAATTCAACATGGTAATATTTCAATCAGGATTGATAGATTTGTCCCTCATTCAGAATCAGAAAACAGACAAAATTGTTCCACTCCTCTGTTAAATATGTATTCAGAGATGCAGCTATGCAGAGTATTTTTCTGAGCAAAGATTTGAAAATATTACTGCACTATTTACCTTATGGTCCAGTTACACCATCAAATTAAAGCTCAGATTGGAAGAAAAAGACCTGAGGTGAGGATGCGACCAATGAGAGGCCCAACTTAATGGCTCAATTTGATTGTGTAACTGGACTTTTGAAAATTTCTTCCATTTTCAAAGAAATCCTATCATTCACAAAAAATGTATACAGGGTGCTCACTAAAACTGTGCCGCATTTCTCAAGGTTCCTTGCTTAAACTTTCCAGATTTTAAGTTTGATGGGCGCTTTGGCAAGGGGGAAATGTGGTTAGTATCAAATCAACGTAAACTTTAAATAAAAGGAATGAGCCTAGAGGTAAAAAGGAGACATATTTTGAGTAACTTCACAAAATTCAAGTTATTACTTGACAGGCTTATTTTTAAAAACATTTGAATGTTACAAATTAAACGTTCAAAAGAGCAAAAAACCAAAGGACCCTGTCCTTCTACAGGCCCTCAGGGATTTTGTACTCTCTCATTTAATTTAAAACTCTCTGTTGCCATCCTTTCATTCGACGGTATCTTCTTTAGTAGCTTATCCGCCCAGCAAAAAGTGTGCAAAAACATTGTTACAACGCCCTGTCCCAAAAATAGTATTGCTATGACATTGCAACAACGTTTTTGTACCATCATATTTTGCCAGGCGTGTTTTCTATCATGTCTTCTGATTATTAATTTTTTTTTTTTTTTTTTGAAGTTTACGGACACTGTAAGTTTTGAAAGAATGCTCGTGAGGGAAAACAGCACTACTGCCTACGTAATTTGTGGCCCCTCTGACGTAAGGGTGTATCTTGATTTCCACAAAAGCCCTGTTGTCCATTTAATTCCATGCTTTCCAGGGCTGGGGTGAAAATGATGATACGCCCGTACATCAGAGGAGCGACAAGTTACAGCGGCAAATTTTGAGAAAAAAAGGAAATCCAACAGGCTTGGAAAATATATACTCCTTGTTTTCATTTTAAACCATCAAAAGTTATGGTTTAGCTATTGATGAGCATTATTTCCAAGGTATCATTCCTTGAATTATCCTCATCCATTAATCTGATGAAAAAGGGAAAATTTTAGTGGATACTTACCACAAATTAGAAAAGAACAGCGTATGTACAACTGTAACCTAAGATGTGTGAGCTCTTCTTCTGTTAGCACACACCTAACTTACCTTCATCGTGAACTGACTGGGTTACACTTTACAGCACTACCTTTTGATGTACCTTTTTAATGTAAAATAAATTCTTCTCCCTATCAACCTTTGTAATATCTTCTTACCTCAACAAAAAAAAGTCGTTAAGCCTTTGACAAGAGTCAAAATATATTTTTAGATATGAAAATGCTAATTGCTTGAAGGTACCTAAATGAGAGCCCAATGAAAAATGATAAAAATTTGGAGGTTTGGACCTCTTGATTAAATTAATGTAAGGAATGCAAATGCAGCCTAATAGGCTAGCCATTTACAACAAGTCAAGTCCTTTGCCTCCAAGAACTAGAAATTTGAATAATTTTTCAACTAGGTACGGCTTGAGAACGACGATTCTGATTATAGTAAAAAACCAAAAAATTAACAGTTCTAGAGCTTAATGAATTATGCATTATTAATGCATTTATGAGCAGTATTGAGGAAGAGAACTTCCGATTTTGAGGAGAGGCCAGTTGACATTTGTAGTCAATTCCCTTTCGAACAGAAATTTGATGTCTTTTACCCAAATTCTAATTACTCGCTGGTCTAAAAAATTGAGCCATTTGAAGTTAAGGGCTCTTTCCCTATGACTAATCATCGATTTTTAAAGACTCATGATTGCTGTCTGTCAGGTTATTCTTGCCTATTCAATGTTTGAAACATCTTTTACGCTGAGAATATTTCCAGGAACGCTCTCTTTCATCGGCGACTGTGCAGAAAAAATTACTCACTTTTCTACCATTCTTGTTATTGGTCAGATTTTTAGTATTGTGGAATTAATTTAATTTGCAGTTAAACCCTGCAACATTCTGAGTAATGAGAAGAAAGACCTACCAACAATTTAACGAAAAGATAGTGATAGTTGTGGAGTTAGAATCTTTGGAGGATAGCTGATCGCAGGTGGTCATCTTAACATTCAATTTCAAGTCCTTCTCTGATGACACATTTGATACGACTCTGTGTTAGTGTCTAAAAAACACAAAACCAAAAAGTGTCATTAGTCTGCGGTCGAGAGAGTTTTTATTTTTATTCGGTAGACTTGGAGAATTCGTTGACACAGAAATAAGCATACAGTGAAAAAAAAAGTAGCTTGGATCAAGCATGATGATTCTTAAATTTGCTGCCAAGAATTTTTTTTATCTTGCTTTCAGCTGACTTTTTCCTGATACAAGACAAATGAGACTTGGGTTAAGCAAAAAAGTAGCTTATATTAACCAGAAAAATTCTAGATTTAAGAAGAAATACTTCTTGGCGGCAAATTTAAGATTCTTTTTTTTTCAGTGTACAGTAATGCCCTGATTATCTGGCAGCTTGTGACGAGGGCGCGTCGGATATGAAAAAAGTCTGATAGTTGAAACCACCATAATAGACTGAAAAATGCCATTTCAGGCTGTTGATAACCAAAAAATATAAGCTTGGTCAATTTTCTATCGTATTTGCAAAACATAGTCAATTAATTGGGAGAAAAAAAACATATAACCAGACCACTTATGTAATCAATTTTTGGCCAAAAAAAACTGGTTTCTGTTGTGTCAGCTAACTTGTTTTTGATCGATACCAAACTTACTTTTGACGATGTCAGATGATCGGGGCATTACTGCATTGAGTCTAACCTTTCTGCGTTCTAGCTGTAAGAATGGCTGCAAATGGTATTCATGGCAAACTGATTTCTGAGACAGTAGGTACCTACATGGCGCTAATTTAGATTGCATAAACTACAATTCAAAGAATTCATAAAAATTAAGTTCCTAGCGTTTTTTCTGCAGGACCAGACAAGTTTTCTTGCAAGTCTCTTTCATATGAGACACTAGTGGATTCTCAAAATAAGTATATGACTTAAGTATGCTGCCTCTAAAACTGATCCTAGTATCATTCTCCAAGTTTTTGCGGCTACAAAATCAAATCACTCTTTTTGACAGTGAAACTGCAAAAACGTATTTCAATGAAGAAAATCTCAAATGTTTTCAAATTCTCAGCTCCGAACTTTTTTCATCTAAGGAGAACAATCCAACATTATAATTTTTACAGAATATTCTTCACGCCGGGAGGGAAGATTAAGTTATGTTTTAAGAAACGATGCTTTTCCAATTGGAAAATAAATTAAGACAGGATGTCTTTAAAGTCATAAAGCAAGTTACGCATTCCTGCAGTTTCACCGTATTCATGCTTTGAAGATTCGTGGTGCCTTCACTTGGCCTTGGGTAAGTAGTATGTCAGCAGAGGCATGGCGTCCTTTGCAATACATCTATTAATCTGCCATTTAGATCTGTGGAAAAGAATCGATAGATAGGGTGTTCGCAACGAACACATCGATAATCGATTCTTACCATAGGTTTAAATGGGGAAATATCGATAATCGATCATTCAAGCCTCACCACTGTTAGTCAGGCATGGTATCGCAACATTTTCAGAAAGCAATAACAACCTCTATCCAGACACTGAAGAGAGCCCACATGCTTTTAATTCCTCCTTCGCAAGGACCTCTGGTCTATTTATTAAGCAGGAGTGCACAGAATAAGGGACCGTGAATGATATTACTTAAAAGATTTACTTGGGGAAACTTAAGATTTTTTGTTCGTTTTTTCCCGCCCTTCTTTTTTCATTATTCGAAAGCTTGTTTTTTTTGGGGGGGGGGGAGGTCATACAATGAGGAAACAGTAAGCTGGACTGACTTTCGATTTCTAAATAGTGGGTAGATACTTGCAAGTGCTCTTCAAAATTCTCTAAAAAATTATATGTATGAAGCCTCACGCTCTCAAAAAACTGGGGAAAACAATATTACTTGCACTCCTGCTAGGCACATAATGTTCTCTTATCTCATAACAAACTTTCCAGTTCATTTTTACGTACAAGATGGGATGATCAGGCACACTGAAACGATGGACGGAAATCAACTGCGAGGGCTCTTCCAGTGATCAAGAAACATTGTGACTTATATTTCCAAGGAAGTTTGTCATAGGTAATCTTTATTCCAATCAGAGATGCTGGTACCTGACAACAGAAAAAATTGAGACTTTAGAACGGCCCTCTTGCTTTTATACTCAGTTCTAAACCCACATTTGCCAAGATCAAAAATGTTATTTTGGTGGCCATAGTGCGAAACCACATATCTTAATTTGCGACGCTGTAGACTTCCTGTCATACTGTACTTTTTCTTGGTCAACTTAGGAAAATTAGTCAACGTATTTCCTTGAAAACTGCCTTGATTTTTTCTCGAAATTGGCAGAATATTCAGCAGAAATTTCAAGCTAAGAAGTTGTCTTGTTTCTCTTCGAAAACATAAAATTGGAGCGGGAATTTTGAAACACCGCATCGGACATTCGTGGTTTTGCACTTCGGGTATTGAAATCTTTAAAGGTTTCAAACATTTGCTAGTTGATTTCGAGGAGAATACCTACACCTTTACTCCAAAAATTCTGTTGAGATCCTGGGCCTGACAAAAGAGGATTGCTTCTTCGTTTAAGATGCTACAGGATTGTTAAAAATATTGGGCCAAGGTAAAAAAATGTGAGAGAATGGAAATTTAATTGTAGTTTTCATGATTTTAAAACATTTTCAACAAAAATTTGGCACTGAAGTTGAACGATGCAACTGTTTCCTCATAAAAGAGGAGGTTGCTGGTAAAAATTTTGAGATGGTATTTGGAGAAGGGTCATGGCTCTAGTCTACATTTTTACAAAAGTGCTCGATCAAATGAAAGTTTACCATTGAAGCTCGTTTAAACTGGCTATTATTTGTGATAAAAAGTGAAAAACAAATGCCACTGAGCTGAGGTCAAGTAATTTTTCAGAAAAGATGATTCCAATTCAGGACCTTAAATGAACTTGATTTTATAACTTTTCAGTACTTTTGATGATGGAAGAAAAAAAGTGCTGTTACCTCCTAAATGCAGTGCTAACGATATCTCACAGTCAGATCAGCCTTGAAGAGACGGGAGGCTTTCTGGCAACACAAAATTTATGAACTAAAAAAAAAAAAAAAAAATGAGATGAGCAATAAAGAGGAGAAAAAGAAAGACTTAAAGGGGAAAGAAAAAAATGTGGTTGGCTCAAAAATTGAATTCTAATTTTTCTAACTCTTAGGAAAACAGGGTAATAAAAGAGAGACTGAAGTAAATGCAGGTGGGTTTGCTGAGAAAAAAATTTATTGTTGTGAAATAACAAAACGTTCTTAAAACCCATTAATGACAAGTCATGTCTCATCTCTGATTACATATTCAAGAAATTCATTACACTTGTTAATGATGGTAAACTATGTTCTTCAACTGCATTTGAATGCTAAATCTGGGAAGAAAGAGTTTACAATCATATTTTTTTTTTCAGCCAACTTGAGGTTTGTTAGAATTTGCAACATCTGAAAATCTTAACAGATATTGAAGAATTCTTGATAGTCTGCAAGGAAAAATTCTAAAACAGCAAAAGTACTAAAATAAATTAAAAATACTATCAAAGTATGTCGCATTAACTTGTTGATCCCTGCTACATCGAAACAATTACTAGAATTGGGAACGATGGGATTTATGAAGGAATCTGTCTTGAGTTTCCAAGTTTAAGTTTCTTCTGGACTGATAAAACTTGGATTAACCCAGATGACATGGAACCAATATAATTATAGGCAAAGATATATTGAGAATGCCTGATACAGTTCTCTCATTAAGGCATTTGAAAGAAAACGAGAGGAAAATTTTTTTTGCAAGGAACCTAAGATTCTTAGAAAATCCTAGATAAAAATCGTTATTTTTACTTAAAAAACTAATTTCTTAAATCCAAAACAAAAAAAAAGGTCAAGAGAATGTTAATGAAGCTTAGTCTAGCAACATTAATCTATGACGCTCACTAGAATAACCAAGGCGATGTCATATCGATAGCTTAAGTCAGGAAGTGTGTAAGTCTATTAACGTTCCAAAATTACTGATTATGTTTCGTTTCTTTGAAAAGAGACTAACGATTTTAATTAATTAAAAGTTTTTGTGATTACATTTGAATGAATGAAGAAAATAAACAGAACGTTACAAGAAAAACTGTCGCTTGGTTTTCTTTTTAAAAAAATAAGACATCAGCGGGAGATATACCACGGTTCTACTGGAGGTATCCATCTTTTGACTATCACCATCGATATTATAAGTCTTATTACCTACATTAGGCAACCCAAAGTGAATTACTATGTTGCTAAAAGTGATAAAATGGTGCTTGTTCAAAGGTTACAATTATTGAAAACTGTCATACTTCAGAATATGGTATCACTTACATTCATGTAAAACTAGGAGCCTCATAATGAAATGCTGGAGAAAAATGAGGAGAAGGCAAAATGTTACATTATTTCATCAAATTTTCTTGACTCGGAAACTTTAATTTATCAGTGAAACTCAATGAACTTTAGGTTTTCGAAAGACAGCATAAAAAGAAATTTCACTTGTCAATGAACGATCAATCAACATTTATGGTTCAGAATTCAATGCCCCTTGTCTGGCGTGAACTTAAAAAAATCTCAGAAGAATTGAGTCTCATTTAAGAAGAAAAGGAACGGCTGCGACGCCGAGGTGAGGGTGATCGACTGGTGCTCCTCCTGGCTGGGGATTTACTCGTACGCCTGGAAGAAGAGCGTGGTGAGCGACTTCTACCTGAAGAGCGATGACGAGAAGTGGATTTACTGCGATCACGGTCAGGTGTTGGACTACGGCGTCGCAATGATGTGCTTCTACCTCGTTCTACAGAAGTTGATCTACGAGTGGGCGATTTAGAGCCTCTGGGACGATCTGCTGAGGTACTACGACGGCTTTTGATAGAGCCACTGCGATGACTTTTTGGTGATCCACTTCGGCGACTTTTCGGAGAGATACTGCGCTCCTTGGCCTTAGATGTGCTGCGGCGTTTAGAGCCACTGCGAACAGGACTGCGAGAGCGCCGCCGAGGCGAAATAGAACCGCTCCTCCTTCTGGATACACTGCGTTTTTTAGAGGAAGAACGTTTCCCAGAAGGAGATCTTGTTTTACTGGTACGGGTGGGAGAGCGGGATCCACGCTTAGCAGGTGAACGGCTCGAGGATTTTCGCCGAGGAGTGAAGGACCGGCGACTGGGAGATGATGACTTTTTAGACTTATCTTTATCATCAGTAGTCTTATCTTTGTCACTGGACTTCTTGTCTTTCCTTTTATCATCATGTCTTGACGACTTGGAATCTCGTTTCGAGTACTTGGATCTAGATCGGGACCTGGATCTTTTAGAGCGTGATTTGGAACGAGAGTGTCTTCGATGATCACGGGTGGATTTTGATTTGCGATCCCTAGATCTTGATCGTTTGCGATCTCTGGAGCGAGAGCGACGGCGGTCACGGGACCTAGATCTGCGACGGTCACGAGAGCGAGATCTCCTGGATCTTGAGCGAGAGCGTTTTGATCTTGATCGAGATCGGCCATGTTTGCGAGAATGATGTCTTGATCTAGATCTACGAGACCGGGACCTAGACCTTCTGTGACGACGACTTCTGTCACGGGACCTTGATCTAGACCTGTGCCTGGATCTTGATCCACTTCTGCTTCGTTTCTTATCTTTTGATAAGATTCCTATGACTGGATCTATAGCAGCTGAAATCAAGCTTTGCGCCTCTTTAACTCTGGTCATAGCTTCCTCAATCTCACGCTGCGCTGCCTCATTACTTTTCGCCATAGGTTTAGTGATAGCTTGAGTAGCGTGGTGGACTTGGATCATTTTAGAGCCAACTTGGGCACCGTTTAACTTTAATGCGGGTATGATGCTGCTTTGCTCTGTGAATTCGACCAGGGCATAACGATTGCTGTCATTGTCCCTGGAACAGAACTTCAAATACTTCACCTCGCCTGCATGTGCGAAGAAATCTATCAACTGCTCAGCAGTGTATGAATCATCAATGTTCATAACCATAACAGTGCGTCGAATTTCTTCGATTCTGCGGGAGTCAAAGGTCACCGGAAGAGGAGGATACAGGGGTAGACCGTTGGATACCAGCACCGGGTCATGAGTTACTATCATTTGATTAGGAGGAATACCCTCAATTTGGTTTGTGACGTGAGGCGGCAGTTTGGGATCAGATGGGTATAAACCTGGCACACCACTTGCTTGATGGGCAATGTCTAATGCTCTGTACTCGTCAGGGATCTCCGATGAAGAATAGGGTGTAATGATCAGAGCGCGGTCAATGAAAACAGTGTTGGTGAGATGTTGCGCTACGCCTACACTTATGGGGTCAGCATACTTGACGTAGCAAATCCTAGACTGAACAGGCACGACAGCATCTCGAACGGTGGGGTAGAGCCTAATGTCATCGATCTTACCGATGAAACCGAACAAAGTTTGCATTTTGTCTTTGGTGGCTTGAGGAGCTATGTTGGTGACCTGAATAATCCTAGACCCACTTGAGGGTTTGTCGTCACTCGCTGTCATTATTCTCGTACCTGAACGACAATATTCACAGGAAATTAACGAATTAACTGGTGTTGAGTACCTGATAAAGCTTTCGTAGTTGAAGATGCGGGGGTTCCAGCACACGTTCACTCACGCAGATGGTCACTTCACGGATGTTAGGAGTGGAACGATCGCAAGTTTATATACTTAGTAATGTCAGCGCGATGAAACTACGATTTCAAACGACGGAACACGCTTGAGAACGTTCAAAAACGTTGAATTTGGTAATTTGCACATGATGAATCGTGTGCAATCATGGCCGGCGTTCGATGTCAGATTGTCAGGACTACGGACATAGTCGTCAGATAGTCGGAGAAAATCAATTTTAAAATAGGCGCCTTTTTGGTTTTTTGTAACAACTTGGCAACGTATACGTGGAGTGAACGATTCTCAACGTTCACCATCTCCGATGAGTCATGGTGAGTGTTGCAAGAACGCCACGTGACGTCACCTCTTTGACGTTGATAGACGTTCGCGCGTCAATTTGTTTTCTCTAGCGCGTTGTCAAACAGCGGAAGAGAATAAAATTAATCAAAAGGTAAACGAGAAAACCGAAGACGTTTGTTTCGGAAGAATTACCTTTAATTTGAATATTTAAGCGAAAAGAGACCACTGCTGGCTTCTTTTCCCCTGATCATCAGGGGCTTTAAAGTGTTCCATCAAAAAGGGACTTATACGTTACGTATGATAGAAGAGGGGGAGCTGCGGGGGTGAAACTCAAATACAAATTTTCAAATATGCCGCTACCCTCATTAAGTAAGATATCGCTGGAGAATGAGAGAATGCAGAGAGAAAATTTTTTATACTAATTAAGAGTCTCTTTAACTACCGCAGTTTCAGACACTACATTGAAAACTCTAAAATATGTGTTGTTGGACCTACATGGACAGCTAGATACCCAGAAAAAAAAGTCGCTGAAATAACATCGCAGATCAGGGCCGGATTAAAGGGGTGGCTGGCCACATGGGCCGCGGCCCATGGCGGCAAATTTTGCAATTTTTTTAAATGTAGGTATAAAAAAAATCGGATTCAGAAAAAAAAATAATCAATGAGAAAAGGGGACAAAATCTCTCTTTCCTGAGAGTATAGTAATTTCTTAATTTTGTCGTTTTCCGGTGATACCTACAAGAGACAGCATCTTCAATTAGTCGAGGTAAGAGAGGAACTAAACACGCAATTTGGCCTGAGATGAAAAGGACAAGCCCTCGGCGCGGCGGTCGGCATGTACCACATGTTAGCGCCTACAAGACTGCATGAATACTTCACTCATTGCGTCAAACACAAAGCGCGCGGTCAGGAGCGCGAGCGGTTGGCGTGAAACGCATAGCGCCTACAAGACTGTAGGAATACTTCACGCATTGCGCCAAACACACAGCGATCAGCGCGGCGCGGCGCAGCAGCGGAAGTTAAAATTATTAAACCTCCTTTAAAACCTCCTATTAAACCTGTTTGTTCTTTCATAATTTTTTGGTTAATTTCTTATAGATGGAGGACTTTGTTCACACAGATATAGGTTTACGGAACTTAACTTTTCCGCAAAGTTCCGTGAAATTTTGCTAGTAGTGTTGACACGGCTTTCGCAAAAAATGTATCCAACATCGAGTAGGTAAACGCGTCTTATGCACCCCTCCCCCTCCGTCACGTTCACTTGATGGTTTTTATCAATGTTCCAAAACGAATGAGAAGGGGGCGGCAAAATACAGGCGGCCCATGCGGCAAGTAGGTAACTCCGGCTCTGTAGCCGATGTTAAAAATCTGCGCGACAACTCTTGAATGTTAATATGAATGCTAAGGTTAGCTTAGCTGGAATGTTACTTCAACAGCCACAGTGTCCATAGTAAGATTCAAGAGGTGACACGCAAACTTTAAACATCCAAAATTTCCCTTTTTTAAAAAATTCATGCAATGACAGCCCTAGCAGCCTTAGTCCGATCAAAAATTGAAGTTTTCTTTAAAAAGACACCCTGAGTTGATAGTGTCAATTGAAAAAAATGGAAAAAGAGCTTCTGGGCAGAAATTTATCTTGTGGCTTAAGGAATTTGGTTTTCTTATTAATTTTTGAGTTGTGACATCCCACTTCGATTTCTGTTTGATGTCAATTCCCAGAAACTTGACTAGCCCTACACTTTTCATCCCTGCAATGCTTAGAAGCTCATTATTGTTGTTAAGTCCTAGCAAAAAAACAAACATTTAGTTTTGTCTTCAGGCAATTGGTCAAGCTCAAGTGACACGGTCGAACTGGCATGCAATCAATATTGCACCAATTAGGTCAAAAATCGCAGCGGATTTTGAATTTTTAGCAAAACAAAGGACAATAGCCCCTGCACATAGGCCTAAATAATCATTCTACATCCAAAAATCGGCAAAATTCGGAGAAATGAAAGCAGAATGGAGTTTGGAAAAAAACCTTGCATACGATACAGAAATCGATTGCTGAATCGAATGCAAGGTTTTTTTCCAAACACCATTCTGCTTTCATCTCTCAGAATTTTGCCAATTTTTTAGTTTAGAATGATTCTTTAGGTTCATGCGCAGGGGCTATCGTCCTTCATTTTGAAAAAACTTCCAAATACGCGGAGATTTTTTACTTAAAAGATGCAATATATCGCATGCCGGTTCGACCACTTCTTTTGAGCTCGACGAATCACCTTCATTGAGGCTCAGTAAAGTATTCCTTTGCACGTTTTATTTCATCATGATGGGCACTGATAAGCTAGAAGATTAGGTTCAAATTATTTACTGACTGCCAACCTCCACTACAACAAAACTGAATCCCCTTTTAGCGAAAGTACACTTTCAACATGATATTCTGATATTGGCAGCAATGACCACCACGTTCGAAATTTAACCTCCTTAGGTAGAGCACGAGATATGTAAATGGATGCAAACGTTGGTCACATGTTATTAAACCTTTGAGCTTAATTCTTGACTATTGGCAATTATTCTTGAATATTGACTTTTTCTTTGTCATTTGGCTTAATTTTACAAATAAACCAAACCCACACTCAGAAATTTTCTTACTGAAAACTTTTTTAGAGCATGATTTAAAAAAAAAAAAAAAAAAGGAAACTAATGTATTTTTTTCAAAATTGTAAACGATGGCCAAAGTGCAAAACCATGTATCATTGCGGTGTTTTAAAACTTTTTCCCTTATTTTATTCTCTCGTAGAGAAACAAAACAACATTTTGGCTTGAAATTTGAACTGAATATTGAAAGAGAAGAAAAATGAAGGAGGGTTCCAAGAAATTATGTTAATTAGCTTTCCAAAGAAAAAATAATAAGTATGACAGGAAAAGTGCAATATGTATAGTGAATGGATAGACAGTTTTAAACTTTGGTAATCAAAATGAGAGATTGTAATCAAATCCTTCGGCTATCAGAGGAGTTCCATTTAGATCTCTTTTCTGTTAATTTCCTGGAGATATAGTGTTGTGATGACTTTAATAGATACATTGAGTGATTAGAAGACAAATTGTTTTATTAAAATACATTTCAAATAATTACATTTTTTACAACCAGTTCAGTTATATGATACAGTTAATCAAAGTAAATCATACGAATCATGGAAAATTAAATTAAAATAAAAAATTGTAGAAATTATAGAGGGCATACTTAGTAACCATAATAATAATCATAAGTTTAAGATTACATGTCTAGAAGTCAATACATGATAAGAGTAATTACGTTACTAATTTAAGAGTTATATTAAGGGCATATATAGCAAGCACATGTAGCGATAGCAGGGGATAACATTGATGCTTCATAATCTTTCAAAATTAGCCAGCTAACCAAACTTAAACAACGAAATTTCAAATGTACATGGGAATTCGCTGTTCCCTCAGAGTGCTTTCTTAAAAAAGTTTTGCTAGACAACACAAACAAAAAATTTTAACGACGAACTGGATGATCGAATAAATTAAAGGGAGAAAACTTATTGCCACATGGTCCTTCTAAGGGAGAATTATACTACAAACAGGTCTGAATCACGCAAAACATTTAGAATACTTGAGGGAAAAAATGAAGTGACTTCCATAGAGACAGCAGTAAACCTCAAAAATAACTTGTAAAAATTGGGGAACGTCAATGATAAAACAACCATTTTAGTTTCTCAGAGCAACGGAACTTAACAAGATGTGCTGTATGAGCTAATTCTCTATTTCTTTTTTTTGCTTTAACCATTTTACATGAAGCAATTAGCGATGGGAGCTCTTGTCCACAGAATCATTACAAATCAGGATTGAAAAGCAATCAAATGAGACCTAAGCAATACACAAAAAAACTGTCCACAGCTAAACCATCAAGATGTGCCGATGAATAAATCGGTTACCGATTTTTACAATACCTGCTAGAATTTCGTATGCAAAAAATTGCATTTTGAGGTAGGTGGAGTCAGTTGGCTGAGCAAGTATTCACCACTCCCATATCATTAGGGCCTTTGTTAGAGAATCAAAATATTTAGGTTGAATTACACACAAATTATCATTAAAACGGAGCATTTGCTGACAAACAGTCACTAATTACCATCGTATTGAGGTTATCAGCCATCACACTTTATCACTCGGGACATTCCTGTCCGATTTCTGTCTTACTGAAATAACTGTTTGATGGTTGATAAGCTTCTAGACGCCTCCATTTACTTTCATGAGAATTTGCTTGTACTTTGATGGTCTAACAAGGGCCAAGGCAGGGAAAAATTGCGAATTTCAATTCTTTTGGTGTGCTGCTAAGGTCTACTCTCAAAAGAACAAAGAGAAATGAGCTTGAAAAATTCATGCATCATTTCACTGGATCACTACTGAGTGTGTACCTCTTCGACAATATACTTTCAATGAACTTATTATGGACTCAGAGCAACTCTTGGTTTTGCTTCAATAAACTAAAGCTCTTTGGAAGTGTGAGAGATTTTTGTAACAACTCCAACAGGACATAGACAAGTTAAGGCAAAATTCAAACAATATTGAGATAAAGTCTAAAACGAAGATTTCACTGCTTCTTTTGGCTTTTTAAGTGTGCGGTAAATTTCGCCAGTGGCGGATAAAACCGCGTATCTGGACACCACTAAGCAAATGAATCAACGATCATTGGTCTTTCTGAAACATCCTAACTGCTCAAAGGTTTTCTGTGGCAGACATGTGATTTTTCAAAACTGCACAAAAATGTAAATCCTGTATGCTCAAAGACACCTATTTGACAAGCTTGAATGAAGTGGAGATCTGAGTCTCAGCACCATAGAATTTAGAAGGCAAGATTGAGAAGAAGGATGCTTGCGGACATTCTGCTCACCTAAATTGGTGAGAGTCAAAGCGAAGAAACCTCCGATACAGTTGAAAGGTTTTGGTAGAAAACAAATTATTATACATGGTGATAGATGAATGCAGAAAATGCGTATCTCAATTGCAACTTAAGAAATCTCCAATAATGTTTAATTTTCTTTCAGGAAAACTGATTAAAATGGATCGCTGCAATTTTAAGTGATCTATTTAGAGCGAGTAAAGAAAATTTCAATAGAAACTGTTGATATGTTTTCCTTTAAAAAATATAAAACAAGAAATAAGACTCACTACACCCCAATCTGAGATGCGCATTTTTCGACTAAAGCCATCGAACCGTAATTTTTATGGGGTCATTTAAAGCTTCACTTTCATCTTTCATCAATTGAAGTGTCTGCTAAGAACACAAACTATTTTTCCTTTTCTTCTCTCACCTCCTATTAATTTTGATTACAAATACTCGAGCAAGAGCTGTTAAAATTGCCAGGGAAAAAATACGGGTGGGTATAAAATCAAAACAAAATTAAAAAAATAGGATACAAATAATTTTGGGTGTATTCAACGTCAAATCTGAGAATCAGATGTTTCAGACATTTTAAGGAGGAAAAAATAGAAAAAATTAAAATTAAATAATACCTCATGGTCGACTGCCTACTAACTGCATTTAATGATTCAAAGTGTACAATAAGTTGTTACTACTAGTAAAGGCTTCAAAACAATACCAGGGATGTTTGTTCATTTAACCTGGCCAAAAAACAGAATTTGAATAAATCCATTCGATGGCATTCTATATTAGCGGTTCTCAACCAGTCGTCCGCAGGCTGATGAGTAGTCGTCCGTGAGGGCTTGCTACAATTTAAGATTCAATGTGAAACTTAGAGGTAACCTCCCGTTTAGTAAAACAAAAATTAAAAGTTAACTAAAAAAAAATAAAATGAAACAAAAAAATGTCGTTTTTGGTGGTCCGAGGCCTCTTCTCTGGCTATGAAGTGGTCTGCAGCCAAAAACTGTTGAGAACCGCTGTCCTACATAAAAGAACTGAACCAATCTAAGGTAGAAAATATTCAAGTATATAAGTCTCAATAATCTCAGATAAATAAACTGCTGGAAAAACTGTACAAGCGGATAGATGAAATTGGAGAAAATAAAATTAGGAGTTATTTCTTACAGGGGAAAATTAGGAATTCAGAGTAGCTTTGAGCTTAAAATAAAAGAGTAAATAGATAAAGCATAATTTTGGCATGGTCTAAGAAATACGAAAGAAATAGAACTGATAAAAAAATACAACTAAGAGTAAAATAAAATAGATACACGATTTATACCTCCACAACTCACCTAACACAATAACATTATAATTGAGTGCTACATTAGATACAATAGAATGTTTAAAAATTATTTTTGCATGTGAGATAAAGATCAGATATCTATATTTAACTGAAATGACATGAAAACTATTCCATTTCTCCAAAATCATACATCATTCATTTTCCTCTTAACACGAATTGCACCAATTCTTTCAGATAAATTTGTTTTTGAAAACAAAGAGCTAACTAAGAGATATTTACAAGAATAATATACCTATGCAATGATTGCATTTTAGGATAATCTAAATACAGGAATACTTTAGAGAGAAAACTGTCTGCGCTACAGCCAGGCGAACAAAACAGGAAAATTCTTGATATGGATTCAACGCTAACCCAGCTTGTTTCAAAAATAACCAGTCATTGATGTTTAAAAACTGAGAAAGATTTAAATAATAGATCCTTGCTCGATAAGGGTAAATAAGTCTTCTACTTCACCGCAAGGACACTACATCTTTCAGCAATGATAATAGGCTGCGCAAGACTTCCTGCATTCTTATAATTAGAGTAATGACTTAAAAACTAAACAAATTGAAAAGAATAAAATAAAATGAATAGAAATAAAAAGAAGTAATCATCGAATAAAATATATAAAAAGTGTTAAACAAGCAAAATACATATTTTGAAGTTGCAGAACAGAGTATCTATAGAAAAATGACCTGATTAAGTCAGTTATAGGTGTCCTGGAGACGTTTTTTGATAGAAAATACTTACAGCCGACTGAATGAAACATAATGATACTGGTCCAGAAATTTGGTATTCCGCAAACGTCAATATTTTTCACTCAGCCATTAATATGGACCATCTCACTATGGTTTATAGTGAGCCCATTAGATTGGTCTGCCAGACTAAATGTTGGATGTTTATCTAACAAAGGTAAATTGAAATCCTTCCTGTTTGCTCAACAACAAAACTAACTAGTGGCTACAATCTACTGTGATTAAATTTATGTCCTACAGCATGATTGAAGAAAACATCAAAATTATAATACACATGATAAAGTCAATAATAGTCAAAAGTCATTTCATTTCTTACAGTCCATGAATTACCTACTGTAGGTGCAAGATCAGAGTATAAAGGTCTGCTTAAATATAACATACTTAATTCACTATAATTTGTTTATAAAAAAAGGACATTTCATGCAAATTACACATAGAAAAAAAGCATATAACAGGTCAGAGTCCATCGGGATTCGATTTAAAGACCGCGAGCAGCATGAAATTGACAGGAAGTAAAGCTATCAATTTCATGTAAGGTCATAAACTAAATTTAAAGATTTTCAAACCGCTATCAGTATGCTTGCGAACCACCAAGCTTAAATTTAAGGTCCAAGTCCATTTTTTAGGAACTGAGATTCTTCAGGCGTCAGGGTTGAGATACGTTAACTAGTAACATAGTCAACACTCTTCTTGCCTTGACAGGAAGAGACGAAAGTTTTCATTGATCAAAAAAAAAAAAGGAATCTTCTTTGTTTCGAGACATCTCAAAACACTGCATAAAAGGAAGATCTTCCAGGAATTTCGAGCGGTGAAAATTCAACGACGCGGATCTTGATACGTCATGTTTGAAGGCACCTTGCCATAAAGAGACCCACGTGCACTAGGGACGTGGGACTGTGATTGCTACTCGTCCGGTAACAAATGATCCGCTCCAGCTGGAATCCATACGTAGAGTGTGCTGGATTCTCTTTCGAGAGATTCTCTAGAGTACGCGAGCCCGTCATCAGAGTCATTGTGTGGACGAATGTTCAAGTTGAGAGGAGCGGAGCAACTTGAACCGTCCGGTAAGGCAGAGTCTTGATCTTCTCCAAATCGCACGAGGAGTTGAGGATTTTTCATGTGTTTATAATGATCATGAGCAGCGTTTGCCGCATGAGCATGAGCATGTGCGTGGGCATGAGCATGCGCGTGAGCATGCGGATGTGCATGCTCGTTCGCTTTGGCCAAACCGATCGTTCCATCAGGGGCACGGACCACAGCCGAGTGCGCAGCGTGATGGTCGTTAACCGTCGGCATTAGGCCGAGCCTCTGACTAACATCGTTACTTTGCAAGTGTGACGATGTCACCATTGCTTTGTTGTGAGTTGCGACGTGTCTTTTCATATCTGAGCGTACTCGGAAGGGTTTTCCACAAATTTGGCACTGATGTGGTTTCTCACCTGAAAGTAAACATTATTCAGATTAACGACGTTATTCATATTCAAATTGACGGGTACGGGTATATTATTTTGCGGTTGTGAGTGAGACGCGGTGACCGTAACTTTGTTGTGAGTCGCCACGTGTCTTTTCATATCTGAACGTGCTCTGAAGGGCTTTCCACATACTTGGCACTGATATGGTTTCTCACCTGAAAGGTACAATTTCATTCACTCAATTATATGATGCCGATCAAAAGTTCACAAAAGCACAGAAAAAATTGTAAGGTTAATCAGAGGCGTATCTATATTGCTCACTCAATGACCTAGAAAACTCATATCGAAAACAATCAAATGCACCAAAAAACACTTTCAAAAGCAAAAAAGCTCACAACCAATTTGATACAGCTGGAAATACTAAACTTTTGTTCAACTCAATCATCCATTACAATCGATTCTAGAAATAACTGATGGATAAAAGATAAAATGGGGAAAAATTTGCTCTAAATGGAAAGTTTTGATGACGACAGATTGATACCAATATCCTTGCAAAAATAGGAAGTATAACTGGCAGTTCCAAGCTAAAAGAAGCTTATTTACGTGATTACACCAGCTCTCAAACACAGTACGAAAATAACAACTTGAAAAAGTTTTTGTTTAAGTCTAGGATTAACTAACTTTTTGATCCCAGAAAAAACTGGATGTGGTTGGGATTGTAAAACCATTTTACCTGAGAATATTCTTACTTTTAGTCTAGTAAATATCACTGATACATCTGATATATGGAAATTTGGATACAGTGGAACATATTGAGCGCAGTATGCGTTTTGGTGATATCATTAATCCTAGCAGCTGCCAAAGTACTGCGTGTCCGAATTTCCCGACTTTTTCTGACTTTCTCTGACGATTCCCTGACCTTGGAACCAAATTTCCACTGAGGCTCCTTCTCTTTGAATTATGCTGATTTTCACTAAACTTAGGACACAATTTCCAATCCTTGAGATTCAAATCAAGGAACAAGGCACGTGGTTGTTGTTTGCACTCTTTCAAAATTCCCTGACTTTTCAAGTGTTTCAGATCACCAGAAACCCTGAGAGAGAACTAAGATTGATAGATGTCAAACTGTCAAAACTTCCAGGGCGAACAAGAATAATAACTCAGAATTTCCAGCCTGTAGCAAATCGGATTAATTTAAATGGTGCTGTAAATATTTATTTGTTTCGAAAGTTTTCTGAGGTCTTGAGTAAACCTTAAGAAACGGCTCTGTTTCAATCTGACTTAGCACGCTGGGAGTGTAGTAGCACTGCAAATGATGGCCGAATTAGCCCACTTTGCATTGCTACCTGAGAAACCAGTGATTTCAGAAGCTTTCTTAGACATTCTTTTTCTGCACTCCCACAACAAAGGTCAGATGAAATTTTAACCAACAGTTTTTTCAGTGAGGCACCAGTCTGCATTTCTGATCCCAGCTTATAAGGGTCCCAGCAAAAGATTACACCTTCCCCGATTGAGCACGTGTTCAGTGGCGATGGAAGTTACAGTCGCCCCATTTTCTTTCATTTTAAAGAGCGTATTTTTGGACCTGCATCTGCAATTTGCCGAGTTTCAGGGTAGGAAAACGCAGGATTCTTGCTGATAGAGTAACCCTTCGAGGCCGATCTCCATTCACTTTTAAGATTAATCAATGATTATGAAAATTTGAATCGAGCAGATAATGTAAACGTGCATGACAGAACAAATAATCACAGTTGGGAAGACGCTGGAACTTTGGCGAGATAAGACTTATTAAATGAAACATCGTAACCATGCGATATTTGATAAGAGAATGAAGATTCTAGCAATTATCGCTTACGCTTTGAACATAGAGCTAAATAACTGTCCCGAGATGGAGAGAAACTGACTCAAGTTGGAAATCAGTTTTGGAGACTCGGTTGGAAACCCAATAATAGGGAACATGAAAGTCATGCAGGCTGGTGAATAAATTAGGAGGATGGTATTGAAAATCAATTCAAATCCCTTCCAAAATTAAATGAGCATGCATGAACATTAGGCAACTTTTATTTACAGATCCAGTACCAACTTTTGACCCGACCTCCTTAAGTTACCTACTTGCATTGCATGCAGATAAATTTATTCTTTTTCGTATTAACAATTCAAAGAGGCACTTAGAATTTTAGGTAAAATCTGTCCTCCTGTTGGAAATCAAAGACAGGTTCATTCAGTCTGCAATGACCGACAAAAAGATCAATAATGTTCATCGGCTAGTGGTCCTGTGTTTAGCTACCTTGAATTCTTTCTAACTTGAGACGAAATGAAATTCTCTACCACAATGGACCACTACACAAGGTACGAATTTAAGCATTCTGATACATGTTTCTTAACCAGAATTTCACGAAAAACACGATTCGTGCAACGAAAACTAATGAAACAAACTCCAAACGAAGATATTGACGTTTTTATTTCACATTGGTTGCGAGGAATTTGAACTGCCCGCTCACAAGAAACTCAAAGCTCTATTGTGAGTCAAATCGTGCACTACAACGGTTTCAACAAGCTTCTCAATGGAGTAATGTTCATTTCCCACCATGCGTTGTTCAGACTATGAGCAATTTGCTACAGCTGAGCCAAAGCGTCAAGATTAAGGTTGCCAGATTTTTATATCGCAGAGACTGTCATGATAACGTTTAGTGCACGATGTGAATCACGCAGAGCTTGAGTTTTCATGAGCGGGTGGTTTGAATTTACACAGCAAGAATCATTAGATATCTTTGGAAGGAGTTGATTTTGGCAATTTCTGTTGTGAACATAGTATTCTACATGAAATTTTAGTTAAGAAACATGTATCAGAATGCTAAAATTCGTGCCTTGTCCAGTGGTTCATTAACAGGAGTAGTACATGATCAGTTCAACCCTGCCCTCTACATTTACGTCAAAAATAAAAGTTTCAAGCTTCAAATAAGTTTTTGCACCTCTGGATTGAGTCATAATTAGTTCTTGGGTGTTTCGTGGGTTAAGTTATTCACAGATCAAGAGGAAAAACTATAATTTAAAGTAAACACGAATTTCCAAGTCTATGAATTTTCTTCTGAGTAGAAGTCAAGACATTTAAAGCAAATTTCTATATGAATTTGTTAGAAAAAAAAAGGGGGGGGGGAGGGAATAGGTGGAAATTCCGGTAGCCCTTGTCCGGATTAGAGGCCCTGATTAGGACTTCTGGTAGAGTTTAAGGATGAAGTATAACTTGGACGCATTGGTTCAATATTCAACGAAATGTCCAGTCACAAATGTCGCACTTCAAAATCGAAGTAAATTCTACATGATAGAAGGGTGTTAATTCCAGCAAGATTCGACCCACTAAACTTCATTGATCATAAAACGATTTCAAGAAAGAAAATGATGTTTTCTACTCCAATATTGAACAGATGGTTCTGCCTGACTTCCAAATTGTAAGCAAAATCCCAGCACATTCTTTTTCGAACACATTAAAAGAAGGGAATCAGCTTGGTTCTGGTATTATCAAATTCATGCAATTTCTTCTTGGCTTCAGTTAAATACGAAATACACAGGGTGATCCAAAAGTTCCGCACAACCTCTGTAGCCCATAAGGTTCTTGCCATTTTCAGGGTTATCTCATTAAAATGTTGAAGGCGTCCCGGAGGTCTTCTCTTTGACTTAGGAACACTCACAAAATTTCAAGACTCTTTCTCAATTTGCTCAAAGGATATTGCGGTGATCACCCTGTGAGTGCAGTAATTAAATTGACTCCATCGTTTTACTTTAAAAATTAGATTTTTATTTCATTATTTTTTTTCTTCATTTTTTTTAAAAGAAAAACAATAACTACCTAATTGCTATTCTAGGCCTTTTTTAAAGATGAAAATGTAGATACACAATTTTTACAACACTGTAATCGAGCTGATTCCCTCCTTATAAGTCAGTCTATTTAATCCCTGACAGGCACCACTGAGTTAAAATTTAACCACTTTGTGATGTGGTGGTGAACAAGCAGCTTCGTGAGATAATACAAACCAAGAATAAAATCACGACATTTCTCCAATCAGGAAGGATAGCAAATGCTTCTGCTAGTTTTTAACATTACTAATTTTTAGCGAACAAATTGTGATTTTAAGAGTGCATTCTTTTTGGTGTTTTAAATTAGGGTAGGTATTTTAGTTTTGAAAAATGCTGCTTCTAAAAGCATTATTTTTCAGTATTTACTGTATGAAAATTCTGCCAAAAAAGAGTGCATTCTGCTACCGATGAATCATTCAGTTCAACTATTTATCGATACTAATCATCGACTAAGCTCCTACAAGACTAGCATGAAACTGCTGAAGAAGGGTGTCAAGATAGAAGAATTCCATGCGGCACATAGAAACTAGGCCTGGATCTTGCAAATAAATGTGGGCCAGGTTGATAAATGAGGAAAGACAGAGTTAGAAGGATATCATTAACCCAGCACCTTAACAAGCATTTAAAATCTCAAATCGCAACCTTAGATAATATAAAACATGATTTAACCACAAAATTAAGTTAACTCTCAAGCTGATCTCTATCTTTCTTCCCATTGATTTGGTGGTTTGAGGACAATATTCCAGGGAACTATTTATTATTGCAAAGAATTATTTGTCTTCAGAGGAACCTCAAAATCTAAACGATGTACTTCTTAAATTTTATGATGGACTCGTTTCATTTTGGTCTCAAGAATCAACTTAATATTATCTATCAAGAATGCTGATAATGTAGGAGGATGCCTGCAAACATCACCGATGATGAAAAATGCATCATCAAAGCCTCAAATGGAGAGAAAATCGATGGCCACAGAGCAAAACTATTTGCGTCGTTGATGACTTCCTGTCATACTTCTTTTATTCGATGGAAGATTGGTTTGCGTAATTTCTTGAAAACTGCCTTGCTTCTCCACAAGAAAATAAAACAGGAACGGAAATAGAGATACGCAGTCTTGCACTTTAACCAGCAAAATAAAAAAATTTGTAACCAAAAATTCAATAGGTTTAAGAGCATTTTCAGACTGTAATTTCAACGGTAGTGCTAGAGCTGAAATTACAAAAACATATGATCCAGAATTAATTTTTTCCCTCTCTCTCTTTTTCATGCCTATTCGTGGTTCTGTTACAGAGACAATAGTGATCATTTTTAGAAGGTTTTGTACCTTCCTTGTAAAAAAAGACTCAAGAAAAGCACAGTGCGACAGGAGAAGAAAATTTTCAACTGATCTAGAGATGCCTTCATCGTCATCGGAGAAAATGCAGTCACCCTCATCGAAAACCCATAACCTTCCGAACCTGAATAAACAAGAGACTGACAACTCACCAGTATGAATTCTGCGATGGTTTTGAAGATAAGATGAGGCGCGGAATGATTTGTGGCAAAATTCGCAAATGTAATTCTTCTCTCCAGTGTGAATTCGGCGGTGGACGATGAGCGAGTATTTTCGTGCAAAATCCTTGCCACAGTACTCGCACTGGAACTGCTTCTGGTCAGTATGGATAGATGTGATGTGGTACTTCAGATCTCCCCATTGTCGGAAGTGTCTTTCACAGAATTCGCACTTGTATGGCTTGGCACCAGAGTGCAATCTCAAATGCACCTGGTAAAGTTAAAAAAAGAAAAATAGGGTTTAAAGACAAGTTAAATAACATCACTGATCAGACAAAACCCTAGAATCAAGAGTGAAAACAGCTAATTTAATAGAATTCAATTAGAGCAATGATAAGAAAATTTGTTTATTTCTCATGATTCCAACCAAGTATATATATGTATATTACTAAGGAGAAAATTATCCTAATATATAATAGTAGGAAATTCTTTCGTGATTGATCACTCCAAATTTCTCGCTCATCTTTACCAGCTTTCGCCAAAGCTGGCGATTAGGAAGTTCATCAGACTAAAACTTTTTATACTCAGCAAAAGCCTAAAGCTTTTTCAATATTAGCATGGCAAGTCATCATATGAACAGTCATGAAGTAAGTAGCAGCAGCAAGTAGTACAGCAGATTCATCATAAAAAGATTTCATCAGTTTAATAAAAGGCAGATCTGTTTTTGCTGGTTCTAAAATTTTCTACGATCTCACTGCTAGAATCGTAATGGAAATATATTGCTGATCTTGAGCCTATATTTTGAAGATATATTTACGGCAAAGATTGTAAATTATTTCGTAGTTTTTGTACAAAGCTTCACAGATGGTCCATGTGATTAAAAAGTAAAAATGTACACACTGAGCGGTGTTCCACCTTCGTCGGGCGTCATGATTTTTTCAAACTTGCAATGGCAAAGCAGCGGTGGCCCTCTCAACGCACCGTTCAAGACGCGGCTCAAATTTCATGCGCCATGATGCAAATGCAAAGGGTCAATTAGGCTCCTAAAAATTGGGTTATCAGGCCAGGGTGGCTCCTAAAATTTTAAGGGGAAAGGCAGAACACTGACAATGAGTGAAAAAAGGCAAACTTACTTTTAATGCGCTTGTAGCGAAGAAACGTTTACCGCAGACTTCACACTGATGCGGTCTCAGACCGGAATGTGAACGAACATGGTACATGAGAGAGTTTCGATGTGTGAATACTCGAGGGCAAAGGGTGCAAGCCAAAACTTTGCTGTTGAGCAGAACAAAAGATGGAGCGACTTAATGAAGAGAAAATTATTTCGAGGCGATCAAAAATAGAATCTGCCTTTGAAGGAAGTACTTCATCAAATTGTCTTACAATGTATCATTCAATCATTGATAATTTTCAAACAAGAAAGCAACACTCATAACTGAGCGCAACTTCTACCTATGATAGGAAAAAAGATAGTTTCCGGAAGATGAGATTTTCTGGGAGAGATGAACTTCATTCGAGCACGAAACTTTTGGCCTCAACTCACTAAAATAATAGGAGCGCCAAATTCTATTGTCCCAGAGCAGGCAAGATGATATTTTCTATCAATTTTCTAAGTGTAATTGGCAGGTGTGAAAATGCATAAAGATCAATTGTTTACAGAAGCTTTGGACTTAATGACATTTGGATGGGAATAATTGAACTTAATTTTAATTATCACTGGGAAATACTTAACAGACTATGTGAGGAGACCTATCAATATAAAAATATTCAAAATGTTTTGAGGTATCTTTGGGAGGAGTTCAGGGGTATCAGAGATTTCTTTCTTTCTTCTTTTCATAAATTTGCAGTGGAAGGATATTGATCGAATGAAATTAATCTTTTAGGTTGCTTTGCAATCAAACTGACTCTTGAACTGCAAAAGGAAATGAAACATTTAACATGGCTTTCAGAGGGGCATTTTGACTAAAAAGCCAGCAACAACAACTATGATACTGCTCATTTTAGGTTGATTCTAAGGGACATGTCACTTATCTTTCAGAAATAGAGTAAAACCGAAGCAATGCGTTGTTGAAGCCACTTCAGCTCAGAGATTGCTTTTTTGTATAGATGAGAAAAGAGTATTTTTGAAATCAGCTTCTTGTATAAACCTGAGGCAGAGCTATCAAAATGCTACTTGTTTTTGACAGATTCCATGAATGAATTACTTTTCAAGTCTGGTGTATTTAGGATAACATGAACTCGTTTTGTGGGTGAAGTAGTTTTAAGCTAAGTGCAAATCCCTTTGAAACATGGTGCCTAGAATTCTGCCGTGCTAAGGAAGAAAGTTGTATGAACATTCGAGAGTTGCAAAAATTTCCTTCGATAAAATGTTTATTTTTGAGGAAGGTTATGAATATTTTTCCTTGAAATTTTCAGGAACTTCAGGTAAAATTGCGAAAGAAATCATCTGAAAAATTGGAAGGAAAATATTCATAAGTTTACCAGGAAATTAGTGTTTTATCAAAAGAAATTTAGCAACGCCTGAAGGTTCATACAGCGTTTTTCCTTAACACAGCAGAATTCTTGATCATGCTCATTCCCTGATAAGAGACCAAAGTATTCTCCCATTTCTCCAGAATTTCCTAAGAAACACTATCGGATTACTTCCATCTTGCATCCGATTTTTTGGCACACATTCAAATTTTTAATTTCAAAAGCGTTCCTGATGTTTGTTTATATTATATGGTCAAAGGAAGCTTCTTTTTTATTATGATGATCATTTGAAGATTCAAATACGTCATTAAAGAGGTCAATAATGGGGGCTTAGTAATAAAAACCTTAATAACAATGGATACTTAAAATTTCTGCTAAATATAAAAACGAAATAGCTCAAAGCGGTAGAGGAAAAGATTCCCGGCTTCTGGAGCAGGTTCCCTACTTTTCTCTGAAATTTTTTATTTCTTGATGAATCCCAGTTTTTCCTTGTTATTTTCAGTCTTGGACACCATGACTTAGGAAAACATGAAATCGTTTTGTGGTTGAGGTCGTTTGAAGTTGGGGGCAAATCCCTTGTAAAAAAAATGAATGAATAGATCCATGAGATTAAAGGTTCAGGGGGAAAAAAAACGAAAGCACAAGAAAGATAGACAGGGACGGATTAGGATAGTATCCCTACCTAGCTAAATCCGCTTCTTTCCATGTTTTCTTCGGTCTTCCCCTCTTCCTGGTACCGGGTTCTGGCGGGGGTTGCCAAGTGCCGTCTGCTATGGCTCTAGCTTTAGCAGCCTCCCTGCAAACCAAAAATGACCAGACGTTGACGCAAAGACCAAGGTAGTGCTTATATCAGGTTCAAAACACTTTCGAAGTGAGGAATATACACAATCAAGCTTTTGCTTCTCACACCTTTACTCTTTCTCGCTCTGTTTACTCGATGCCAATTATCACGTCATCCTGCTTTTGCTCGGCAATAGATATCAGAGTTCGACAAATATGTGCTTACGAAACCGAAAGTAACGAAAGAGGAAACGAAACAAACTGGAAACCAAGGTAAGGAACTGTGAGCTAATGAATGAGCTAAAGAAAATCGCAAAATTAAAAAACTCAAACTCACAAAATTAAATTAACGTAAATGCCGACGCTTTTCAAGACTCCCCAGTCCCTCTTTCAAGGCTGAATTCCGACTCAGTTGCAGCTGGAATTCAGCCTTATAGAAGGGACTGGGAGTCCCGAAAAATGGTGGGGTTTATGTTACTATAATTTTGTGAATTTGAGTTTTTTAATTTTCTGATTTTCCTTCTTTCAAATGTGAGCCTGTATCTTTAAATCTGGTTTTGAGCAATTTTCATCTGTCTGTGACACTTCGTCACTTAATTATTGCTAACAATTTCCTATGCCAACCAAAAATGTGACTATCTGTAGAGAAGGGACGTTAGTTCCTGGATGAAAATTTTCAGGAGAGATTCTTGTCAGATCAAGCTCAGAAATCGGTGTTGGAGTTTTGGTAGGAGAATTCTTTTCAGTATCGGAAAAAATAAGTTGTCAGAAGTTCAGTTGATTTTGGTCTCCATAGAGTTCTACTTTAAAAGAGACAAGGCATATCAAAACTTTGAAGACATTTAATTCCCAACTTTTCCTTTCGAGCTGAAGACTATTAATTACCAGACTTTTGATTAGGTTTGGCAGGATAGGGTGAAAATGTTCCATGAGTCTTCTGTTATGCCACCTTAAAAACTGCCAAATTTTGAGTCCCTTGCCCTTCAGCGAAAAAAAATAAAAATGAAGCAGGAGGATAACCCATTCAATTGTATTTAGGGGCATGTCACCCAGAGCGCGAGACAGGAGTATTTTGACGAGTACACTAGCTTTGAGACTTAGGATTGATGTATCTGCTGATGCCATCATTTTCCAACATTAGGAGTTACTTGTCAACTCTCATGCGAGAAGCGCTACCAACCCAACACTGTTTTATACTGTAATTCTTCCCCCTAGAACGAGAATTTTTTTAGTGTGTACCCAAAAACTTCACAAAACTTCATTTCAATTGATTTCAGTTGATGACACAACTGAAGAGCCACTTTATCGATTGACATTACAGGTTTGGCAGTCTTAACTGAGGAAAATGAATATTAAAAGGCTACGCTTTGGCGCCAACTAAAATTTTTTTTCATAGGTGTTAACTATTTCAATTTCGAGTATCAGCGGATGAGTTTTAAGACAATTTTGAAGTACCAAAAATAAAAGATTTTGACTAAGGAAATGGGTTACTAGCACCAAGCACTGCCGTCACCAACATTTTCACGGTGGATAATGTGTGTGCAACTAACTAAAAAATCACTTCTCAGAACCGATTTCCACAAAAGATTGACACATAGAAAGTTTGATTTCAGGAGCTCGTCTTGCTTGAGAGGTCTTGAGGAACATCCTAACAAAAAATCTTAATAAAACTTAGCCAGTGCCAACTTTCTTAGTATATCCTTTCTTGCATAGTCCTTTGTTGTGTCTTGATAAATATAAGTAACATTCTTTCGAGAGATGAAGAATTATAAGGAAATGAAATAATCTATAATGGGGGCTCTGAATGATCAGTTAGCAACTGCTCACAGTTGGCATTGGATTAATCATTTGTGACGTATGGCTCTCTGAAGCATAGCCAATGAAAATTGTTTTTAATTACTTCGAAATTTATGCTTTAATTTCAACGTTTAAAACTCTTTCGAACTTTTTCAAAGGTGAAAAATGCATTTGGACTACATTTCTCTTTCACTGGTTTCAGGGCCGTGCAAGGGACTTATAGTAGAGCTGGACACGACGTCCGAGAAATTTATCATAGAGAAATGGCTCGTCTTGAGAGCCACAAAAACAGAGATTAAGAGTAAGCAGTTGAGATTATTGATGTAGAAAAATGATGGTTTTAAAAGCCTTACCTGGCAGCAACTTCCGCTTTCCTTGGCCTTCCACGTTTCTTCTTCGGTTTCTCCCTGGAAATTTAGAATGCATTAGAATGGAAAAAGATATAAACTACATGATGAGATGCACCACTAATATTTGAGTGAACAAATCATGTGTTTTTTGTTTTGAAAAAGCAGCACCCAGATTATAGCAGACCTCATAGAGCTTGTGGTTAAAATTAAATTTCATGAGAGTATCTCTCTACAAGAGCATAAAGTTCTTGACTTTCCCATTTGGCGCATCTCTCTTTTTCCAAAATTTTCAAAGCTGCAACCTTTTGTCGACTTGAAACCACAAAATAGCTTGATTTTTCGAAAAACTAGCAAATTCCAAAGAAAACGCAAATATTCTACAATGATTTTACCAAATAAATGCAATTATGACACTGTTGCTAATAGGCTTCTTCAATTTTGATACCATTCCTATTTTTCGCGCGAGCGACCGCCCGATCATTCAGGAGAAGTTTCTGCACTACTGTACCTTTCTTTCCCTTGGAATTACTGAAAGCTAATTTCATTTTCTTTGTGATTTCTTCTTTACAATTCAATGATGTACTGTGACACCCTCTTCATTACATTCAGATTTCTAAGAATTGAGATTAAACTTTCATAAAAATTTATCTCCAATCAAGGAAATTTCGTTTTCATGCTCTATCTTACTGAAAAAACAACACAGTTTGCTACCATTTTGGATACCGACAAAAACTTGAGAATTTCTAACAGAAGCAATGGATAAAAAAAATCATTCACATGGTAGTAATCAGATTTATTGATAACGGGTAATAAAAAGAATAAAAAAACCTACTTCTTCTTTCCTTCGCTAGTTCCAGATGCCATGCCAACAACATCTCTGATACCTTCCATCATGTCTTCAGGCTCACTGAAGTCATCCATGTCATTGTGTTTACCATGATTCATGGCAATGTGCGTCTCCAGCGCTTTCGGGCGGCGGAAAGTCTTGCCGCAATGGTCACACGACAATGTGGGAGCATTGGATTCAGTTTTAACCTACGAAAAAAAATGAGGAAAATCAGCTAAGTTTACCTTGGATGTTTATTTCGTACGTTCATTTCAAGTTTTGGATGATAGTAAATTAATTAATCAGATTTCAATTCTTTAAAGTTTGAGAGAAAATAAGATGCTGCTGAGAAATCTTTATCTTTACCAAGAAAAATAATAAGGATAAAGTGGTAACAGCAGATGAATTCTCGGAGTTTTAAATTATATCGAGAGAGGACATAATTCATCTTTTCTTCTTGTCTATGGGTTATAAGTAATAAAGATTCAGAGATGGAATTGCAGATTCTTTTCCCGCAAGAGAGATTCTGAACTCATGATTCCAAGAGTCTTGACACATTGCATCCCTGATAGTGAAAATATTTCTGTCAAATGACTTTACAGGGTGAGGTTTTTAAAAAAATAATAAGGGATTCAAGTTTGATAGGGTAGTCATGATTTTTCTAATTGGACAGAGACTTGGACATTAGAAGGTATCCAAGATAACTTACAAGTCAGAACACCCTCTTATTTCACATTGATCTGTCTCCTTTTTTAATGAATTTTTCTGTCCACAAAAAAAAAGAAATAAGAAAAAGCAAATATCACTTTTTCCCTGCAGTCTTGAATGCCGTGCTGCTATGAATAAAAATTTTGAATAAAAATGAAAAAAATGATTACCTGGCTTTCAGATTCACTCGTGTTGCCAAGCTCCAAAGCAGATGTGAAATCAGTCTGGGTGATGTTGTTGGAATCGTCCAAAGAGGTAGAGGAAACAGCTTCAGACTTGCCACTGGTTCCAGGTGTACTGATTGTGATGAGGGGCTCGTAATGAGATTTCAAATGTTCAAAGAACTTCAGCTGATGGGTGAATGTTTTCGTACAGAGCTCGCATTTTAAGGACAAGCCTTGGTCTTTCTTTTTTGACTGCAAAGACAGGAGATAACAAATTAAATTATAAATTTATTGAGAAATCTTTGAGACGATGGAGGCGTGCTAAGAGCACATTTGACAGAATAAGAGCAGAGTTAACTCAAGATTGTTCGTGGATTTAACTAGGCATATTTTTAATGACTCTAAAAGACAGTAAGTAAATACTGCTCCTAGGAGCATATACTAGCTAATGAAGTTATACTAGCTAATGTTCATCAAAAAGAAAGAATTATGGTCAAAATTTAAAATGATTTCTCTTATTAAAATTAGAGTCCCTTTATACCCAGAGTTAAGACAACTCGATTATCAGCTGACTGGCAGCCGGCCTTGGCTGGCCATGGAGGCACAAACGAGTGCACCCAAACGAACGATATTGAGGGATAAGGATCAGGAATCCTGCGATGTCTGTCACACAAAAACAACAATATCAACAAATTGATCAATTAAAAAGAAAAAGGGATTGGTTTGTGAATAATTTCTTAATCTATTTTCATTTTGGACCGATGGAAATGACAATTTACTCTTGATAAACCACAATTAGGTAATATTTTCATTATTCTTGTTCACATTCGAGGTACAGCCATCTTGGTGCACTCGTTTCGGCCTCCATGAGTGAGAACCAATCAGAATTGGATTTTTTTTTAGGCCACTTTCAGCCCAACCAGAGCCCAACCAAAAGTGAGTTGTCTTAACTCTGGGTATAAAGGGACTCTAATTAAAATATTTAAAAAAAGAGTACCTTATATTTTGGCACATAATTTTCTTTTGAATTTTTTTACTTGGCCCACTGAGAGTGAGTAATGCAGAAATTCAAAAATTAAAATCTATAATCCATTTTTAACGATAAAAGTGATGGTAGAGGCACAGCTTTGCTATTAGGGTTAAAGAATTTCTAATTGGGTGTGCCTCTGAAATTCTTGGAATCTAAAGCATGAAAAATTTCCACAAATGACATTACCTACAACAACCAATACTCGATGGCAAAACGAAACTAATCTATGATCTTTAACTTAAAAGAAAAAAAGGTTTGTAATCTGAAAGTGTGCTGATTGAGAAAACCTGATTATTTTCAAAGGCTTTTATGACACTTGTGTAGAAATATGTTTTTTTTTAAAAATCCACCCTGCCTGGAAATTCATGGAGCATGAAACACGAAGGAAACTATGAGGGCATACCTTGTCTTTTTTGCCTGACTTGTCTTTGCTGTTGGGGCTTTTAGGAGCAGTATTTCCTCTCTTCAGTTTTTTGGGGATTCGCTTTTTGTGCGGTAGGCTTTTCCGTGATTGCTTGGATTCACCATCGAAGTCCGAATCTTCCTCTTCTTCATCTTCATCCTCGTCTTCTTCCTCATTTCCGTCCCCGTCCTCATCTTCGTCCGATGTCTTTCCATCAATATCTCCATCTTCAGTCAGTCCAGTTGTGTTTGCGTCCGTGTCGTTATTGCTTGATGTGTTTGACTCGTTTGCATTGCTGTCGTTCCCCATATCGTCCCCCAAGTCATCTTTTCCATCATCATTCGATTTCTCGGCTTTCACTTGGGAGAAATATTCCTCTTTGACTTCAGCCTTAACTCCTTGCACCTGTTGCAGAAAATTAAGGGATTGTATGAAATATCGCTGCATGTGCCAAAAAGAGCCATTCTGATACACGTTTCATAACCAAAACTTCACGTAGAAAACGATACGCACAACGAAAATTACCAAAATCAACTCCTTACGAAGATATTTAATAATTTTTAATGCGTGAATTCAAACCATAGGGCTGTAGACTAATGACAATTGTAGAGAGAGTAGAGGGAAATTATAGTTGTCACCTTCATTCTAAGTATTTTCATTGTGTTTTTTTTTCTTTTTTATTTTATTTTTTTTTCATGAAAAAAAGAATGTTTAAAGTACCTAGATACTAATTGAAAATAAATAAGATTTTAGGGATGCGGAAAGTTCTTCGCCTCCTCATGATTATGTAATATCCCTTTACATTTGAAGAGGCAGCCTTCACATTGCTGTCCACTCAAGACTGAGCACTTTATTATTTTTTTCGTATACTTAAAAGAGCGCATGACCAGGGTGTCTAGTTTTCTTCATTTGAGTTTTCCTGATTTTTGACTGCTAAATCCTGATTCCACAATTTTTCCGAATCCTGATTGTTTGCTGAGGAAAAATTAAAATTGCTGCATAAGCGTAGGCAAAAGCAGTCCGATCGGACGGCTGACTTTTCTCAAATCCTGATTTTACGACCGATTTTTCCTCAAATGCTGATAGAATTGAGAAGATTTGGAAAATCTTGATGCTAGACACCCTGATAACACAATTCTTTTTGCCAAAAATAAAGAGCTCTCATTATTTCCTCCTTAAATAGTAGCACAATCAATGGTTTCATTTTTATTTATTGTAGCATAAGTATTTACTATTCCTATCAGATCATGAGGAGAGTTGCATTTTATGTTCCAGAACTCTTGCGACAGCTCCTACATGTTAGGATTTAAAAAGCAACAATGTTGTCATTTTTCTATTGGCCCGATTACACATTCTTAGAAAGAAAACAAGAAGTGCTAGGTCAAAACAGCTGACAGCAGCAGAAATTCCCTTAATATAAAAAAAAAAAACAAATAAAAACACCATGCAACTTTGAAAAAGTGGTCGCTGAAAAAGAAGTTGTCTATACACATGAACTGACAGTAAGCATGCAACTATGGAGTAAAGTTAATTTGAAGTGATCCTTAGTTCATCAATTTTCTTCATGCGTTGAATTTGGAAGCTGGATAAGACAGACTTCAAAGCAAAAGAAGAGTACAGGACAGGACGAAAGAAGTAACGGCTTTTGATCACTGATAAATACAGGGTAGAACTGGGGAAAGAAAAGATAAGACAAATGTCACATCAACCTGGATGCATTAAACATTAGATGGCCTATTAGTTAGCATGTAAATTTCTGTTGAATGGTGCAATTTTTGGAAGTGACTTTTGTCTTTTCTTTCCTCTCCCCAGTTCTGATAGTAGGTAAAAGTAATAAATCATATAATAAGTTATTCGCACGGTTCAGACTCTCCCCTATTGTACACATTGCACAGGTATCGGATTCCCACTCTTTCACGCTCACTCATATCAGTAAAAGGCATTCAATACTTACATTAGATGCTGAAGTCTGAGGCGCTGTCTGAAGAGTTGTTGTGGTTTGCGGTGGGACTATGTTGTTCAACTGTTCTTGGAAAACTGCGTCATCTACACTTTGCATGTAATTAGGAACCATACTAGACATTGGCGGCTTGTCAATGGGAGCCATCGCTGTCAGCTGCTTAGAGTTGAGAAGATCATTGGACAACATTTGCTGTTGCTGCATCGATGATGCTTGTTGCTGTTGCGCTTGTTGATCGGCTTGAGAGGGATTTGCCTGGTTGTTAGTTTTGCTGAGTTGGACAGCAACCAGCGCTGCTGCCAGTCGACGGTCATCGTCTGTGAGTCCTTGCGAGAGAATGTCATCATCGTAATACTGCGAGCCTACCATGCTCTGCTGTGAGAATTCCGATGCGGCTTCCAGGTCAGATAACAGCCCTCCAGCCAAAGACTCTGATAGTCCTTTAGACATGGAGTCAGGGGCTTTCTGAACATTCATATACTGAGGATTCATTATGTGTGGGGGAATGGAACCGTGTAGTCCACCGTTGGAAGACGGGATCTTGAGGTGAGAGTCTACTCTGGGCCGTGACAGGTCAGAGCCATTATTCATCATCCGTGATGGTTAACACTGGTATGATCTGTTCAAAATGTTCAACAGACAACAAAGAGTAGATTAGAGGGGTGGGAGGCGGTATAAACAAAACAAAATCAGTAAAAAGCTTGGAATATGTCACAAGGTCAATAACCTTGGGGGCTGGTTTACATTTTCGAAATCAGCCTTTATTTGAGGAGAGGTGGGGTATTCAACTGCACCCCAGTCAGTGGATGAAGTCGCGGATAGGAGTTCCCTTCGATAACGCCTAAAATCTTTGGAAATAACGCCGGATTGGGCAAATTAGTGTGCATATCGGGCTTCAAATTTCCCGGTGACAATTTCACGAAAATGCACACGAAACATGGAGGCCACTTTTACACAGAAGCAACACATTACAGCACAAGGTCAAAGATATAATTAGAACTGGGGAGATGAAAACGGAGAGAAATGATTATCTCCGACGGTATTGGGGGATTGAAACATCGAGCGTATTCATTGGAAAACTGATTTTCAATTAATATGATGTATTAAAACGCACAATCAAAGAAGATCACCAGACGCGAGAAAAAAAGTGACAACAGTGCCTATCTACCTCCAGACTCGACGAGCCACAACTATTTTTTAGGGGAACAGGGTTGCCCGAACCTCAGAGGTGAAATTACCATCTTCAATTAGGCTATTTCGGCAGGTTTTAAACGGATTTTAAGCGTTTCGAGGGCTCGGGACACGTTCAAAAGTTGAACGATAGAACTAAGTAGACTGAAATGAATTTTTAGTTACTATTCCAAAACTCCTTTCTAAATTTTGGGCGGAGTGCCGCGACACTTGACTCCATTCCATTCTGGCAACACCTTCACGGCGCCTTCGCCATCTTGTCTCTGCCCAAATCTCCTCAATTCTCAGAAAAATTAATTGAATGTTTTATCACAAAAAATTACCCTTACCATCAAACTAACTCGAAGAAATTGCACCAGATTTCACGGGAAATTGTTACGAATCGTTTCGGGAGCTTTTCGCGCGCGGAAACCACCGTAAAACCGATTTTAACGCGGAAATACCTGACACCGGCTTTGTTCAATCTGCAGCTAACGCACCGGCGCGGCGGCCCGAAGCAGCCAAGCTTCCATGTTGATTCTACGCCATTGAAAAAAACATCAATTTTACTCAAAAAATAATTGCTGAATTTCAAAGGACATCTGCCACTGCTGGTGTTTCGGGCAAATCTCCCGGCATAATTGATGCGGCAAGACGGCTCGGATAGACACCCCGTGCCGTTCTTTTCGATTTAAAATTCGAAGTTTCCCTTATTCCTCGTGAAATTCTGACGAGAATATTGATCTGGCTCGGGCGACGAGTGCCTTAGAGGGTACCTCGCGTCATTATCCAATGGAGATGGGTGTGGGTGCAATGCACGGGATTCTACGTTTAGATCTGTCTCCATGTTTGAAATAGCGGCGAGGAGACATAGGCGAAGGGACTGAATTCTCTTGCATTGCGTTAATTTCATGGCGCACCGTCCTTTTTTAATCACTTGCCGAATCTGCGGCATTGAAAAATATTAGACGTAGTTCTCAGGGAATAACGTAGTCATGATTTTTCTAGCTCCACATGTCCACGTATCGTGATCCCAGTGATGGGAAAAAAGGAGTAGGTATATGATGGAAAATTGTTGGAGACGAACGGAAGGGTTGGGGGTGATTGCAGTGTTTGAAAAAATTGAAAATTTTAAATTTTGAAAAAAGGAATTTTTAGAGAAAGTTCGTTTGAAAATTCATGGCGGTGGGTCACACCTTTCTCTTTTATACAGGAGGGAGAACCATTATCAGGTATCGACCATTATGCCACAGGCTAATGAGCGAGACTTACAGCCACAAAATAACTGTGACTCACCTTCCTCCCCCCGTCAATCTATATATTTTTTTTTAAATTTTTATTTTGTGCTAATTTTTTTTACTTTCGTATTTCTATTGGGAGAATTCCAGGAATTTTCCCTATCATCACCCGGCCATCGCTTGCTTCGTAAAGATTTTTTTGCAACGCCCTGAGGGGCTGAGTCCGCCTCACAAGAAAGGGAAGGCGAGGGAGGGGTTCGCGCATGCGTATCCTTCAAAATAGACAATTTGAAAATATTTTATCCCATTTTGATTGGAAAAAGTGATTCATGCTGATAAAAAAAATCGAAGTTGCGCAGTTGCACCCGAGCATTTTTTGAAGTTTTGCGCAGTAAATTATCCAAAACTTTTTATCCCGGAAATTCATCATTTTTTTATCGTGATAGAAGTTAATTCAAGTTGCTCCTAATTTCTAGACTCCAAGAGCATGAACTTTGTGCGAAAGTTAAGTTTCGTAAACCTATTTCTGCGTGGACAAGGCCCTCCATTCATAAGAAATGAACGGAAAAATTATGAAAGAACAAACATAAATATGGATTAATGATTTCAACTTCCGCCGTCGCGCCGCGCTGACCGCACCGTGTTTGGCGCAATGCGTGAAGTATTCCGACAGTCTTGTAGGCGCTGCGAGGCTGCGAGTTTCACGCGGCGGCGCGCGGCGATGAAACTCGCAGCGCCTACCACCGACCACTGCTGAACGCACTGTGATCGACGCAATGACCGCACTCTGTTTGATGCAATGCGTGAAGTATTCGTGCAGTCTTGTAGGCGCTAATATGTGTTACATGCCGATCGCCGCGCCGAGGGCTTCTCCGTTTCATCTCAAGTCCTTTTCATCTTTTCTCTCTAAGTCGCGCCGCTCCGGGTTCTGGACCAAATTGCGTGATTTAAATATTTGGTTACTCTCTTAACTTGAATTATTAAAGGTGCTGTCTCTTGTATCTCTGAAAGACGACGAAATTAGAAATTATTATACTCTCAGGAAATGAGATATAGTGTCGCGCCTTCTCTCGTTTGTAATTTTTTTTCTGAATACGATTTTTTTTTATACCTACATTTAAAAAAATTACAAAATTTGCCGCCCCTGCCGCCATGGCCCGCCCCCTTAATCCGGCCCTGTCCGTATGGAAACTTCTGTAACTTAAATGAAACCCCCATACTTAAATTGATACACTTGCTAGATTACGAAGAGAGAAGTGACTTTAAACTCGAATGCCAGATGACTTCTTTTTTCCTTATTATTAAGTCATGACGGTCATAACTTGAGAGTAGGTAGGTTTGACATATTTTCCCTCTAATTCTCATCAAGAGCGGAACCATAGGGGTTGGCCACGGAGTCCTCTCCCCCCCCCCCCCCGGTGTTTCACGCACAGGTCCATGCGCCCTCCAGTGGCGCGGCGTGAATTTCGATGTATCGATTGTTATGCCATTTAAACCTATGGTTAAAAATCGATTTTTAAAATGTTCGCTGCGAACACCCTGTCTATCGATCCTTTTTCACAGGTTTAAATGGCATAACAATCGATATATCGCAAAGCACGCCACGCCACTGCCTCCCACAAGGACGAGTGGAAGTATCTCCTCTGTAGAAGGGAATATTTCTCCTTCTCAAAGAGTCCCGATTCCAGCCACGTGTCTTAATTTTTTGTTTTTACTTTCACATTAAGCTCTGATGTCACATTTCAGCTTCTGAATCCGGAATAATTTTTTTAACATTTAAACTCACCAAATTTTGTTAAAAAAAAAAAAAATAAAAAATGTCTCGGTATTAGGATTGTTTCCTTCGTGTGCAGTCTCTCCTTGAAGATTTTCAGGACTTTAAATGAACGGAGTACTTTCATTTGCTACGGAAAAAAAAAGAGCTCCTTCATTTAGTGAATAGGCAACACACGTGACACTGATCCAATATTCCAATGGCAATAATTTGACAATATGGATTGCATTTTACAAAAAGGAACCAGAAGAATTGCGATGATGCTAAGATTGTGCATTTTCATCCTTTTCAATAAAATTACTGAAACCATGACAAAATATGAAATTTACATTGTAATTTTGTTGTAAATTCACAGTTTTTAGCTAGTAAAATAGAAACTGTTAGTGGATAATCAGGTTTTTCATCCGAGACAAAAGAAGTTGCACAATCTTAGCAACATTGCAATGCTCCTGGTTCCTTTTTGCAAAATGCAATCCATATTTTAGTGCTATTTATTCATGATAACTTAAACGTCAAGATTAAAATGCACTCTTTCAAGTTGCATGTTTTAGCGTGCAAGGTACTCATTCAAAACTGATGCTTCCCGATTGTTGTCTATCTTCAGCATTGAGGAATAAAGTCCTAGAAAATTGAGTTCTTGGAAAGTTTGAAGGCATATCATGATGAATGCATCATGTTCATTTTTTTATTACCTATCATGAAAGTAAAAAAATTTCTTTGTGGAAACAAGGCACAACAAACGAAAAATTGACATCTTTAAACATGTGTGCCATACTGTGCATTTGAATCCTCAGCGCCCTACGGTGTGCATTTTAATCTTAATTCTCATACATTTCAACACACAAAAAATGCCCTTGGAGAAAGTAGTATTATGAGATAAATATGTCACATTACAAATTAGCCAAAGATTCAGGGGCACTTTGTGATCATTACATCCATTGGTTTTCGGACCTACAATATCCATGCCAATAATTTTTTTTTTGCAGAAATGCCTCCACATATTTGTTGGGACACGTTCAAATTCAATCATACAATTGTCTGCCCATTTGCAGCTACAACATGGTTTCTAGAATTCTTGACCCTGCTCATCCTCGATTTTCAGGAGCTCCTTTCCTTACGGGCAACTGAAGTTTTCTCCCACTTCCCTGGGATTTTCTAGAAAAACTATGCCACTTTCCTGAATTCCAGATATGAATATCAAGCGATTTTTTCTTCTCCTTCTTTCATATTGAAGCCGATTCTTCAGCACATATTAAAATTTGTAACTCTAAAAGGGTTCCAGATGTTCATATTATCTAGTCAATGAAACCCTCCTTATTATTCTGATGGTATCCAAGCAGAGCAAGAGAGGATTCCCAGTTACTGGAACAGAGTCCCTAATTTTTCCAGAAATTGTTCATTTCCTGATGAATCCCTGTTTTTCCAGCTTTCTAGACACGATGAAGAAAAACAAATTCATCAAAGGAGAAGACATAGACTTGAAGGAATTTGACAAGACAGACATCTACTGAACTGTTCACTTACAAAAAGGCTTGTGATTCAAAAATGCTAAAGCCTGAAGTTTCTTCTTCCATTATAACTTTCAAAGCTAGATGGTTTATTGGAGTTAGGACCTATCTGAAGGTAACTTATTAGTGGTCAGAATAAAATATTATGACAAATAACAATCAGAAAGTAGGGAAAATTGCTTGGGTTTAATACAATACAGGGGGTTGAAACAATTCTTTGACATGCAACACCACCTGAAATATTTCCTAATTATATCACGATCGATTTACCTTCGATTCTGATTGATACTTCTCAAAATATTAATTTTAAAACAATGACTGATTCGTTTAATGTGAATTGCCAATGATTTGAGTGATCGTGACTTGGAGATAAAAATAATTCGAGTAAAATGTTGTAAAAAAAATACTTTAATAATAAAAAGTCTGGCTCTTCACAGTCAAAAAAGAAGCGTCAGAAGTTAAGTCAAGAGTGTAGAATCTAGTCAAAGAGACCGAAGCCCATGTCATCATCCTCACTTTCGCTTTCCTCTTTCTTCTCTTCTTTTTTGGCCTCTGGGGCAGCGGCGGCAGCTGCAGCTGGTGCTGCGGCAACAGCAAACTTGCTGGGATCCTGAAAAAGAAATAATCACTCATCAATTAAAATACTGACAAAGACTTTAAATTTGACTCGCATAGAAACCTACAGATAAAAGTACAATCAAACTTTAAGGAAGCCTTTTTTTTCTGACGACATTCATCACATTGGTCATAGCAATGTTCACTTTTCCACCTCAGTTGACAAAGCTCTTGGATGTGTCAGGAATTGGCGGTTTATGCACTGATTCCTAAGTAAAATTCCGTGAGAAACACTGTGATGCCACTGGTTTTTTCTAAAATCAACTCCAAAGCTTAAAGAAAGCTCTCAAAGTTGAGGTCATGACGAAGGGGATATCCCACGCTACCTTGAGAGTCCACCTCTATATTTAGTCAAACTCTCCATGCAAAGATGGGGAGCAAATACATTGGCAGGGTTGCCGTGTTTTCAGTTTTAGAGTCCCCAAATAAAAAGGCAACCCTATTAATGTATTTGCTCCCTGTCTTTGCATAGTGAGTTTGTCTTCGTATGAAGGTGCACTTGCAGGGTAGCGCGGGATATCCCCTCTATTACAGCCTCAACATTGCAAGCTTCTTTGGAGAGAGAAAACTAGTGTTACCATCGTGTTTCTAGTGAAATCAGTAATTAAATCGATAATTCCTGCCACGCCCAAGAGCTCCATTGATAGGCGTGATTTTTTTGGCGATGATAAGTTGAAAGTTTTGTAAAATTGCAACAATGCTTTAGACTCGGAAGAAATTTCATCCGCAGGATTTGCTTCTTAGAATACAAACTTGACAACTAATTCTTGGTGCATTCAATTTTAGCTGTAGTAATTTTGAGCCGACAAAAACTGACTTAGAAAATTTTATACAGCTTAATTCTTAACGGTTTCAAAAGACTGTGAAAGAAAAGTTTGATTTTGGGCTATGTTAGGAACTGTTGAGACTTCATTCTAAGGTTCTTCCCATAAAACTGGTATAATCATACCTTTTCACAGAAAATTGGTAAGATTCCGTATTTCTGTACCGAACTTTCAAAAATTGAGCTTTTCACAGCAAATATCCGCATTTTTCAGTACAGTAGAGATAATGTCCCAAGATTTGGGCCATTGCTAGAGTCTTTCCTTTGTAAAGGCTAACAATCACATCTGAATTAATTGTTAAATAGTGGGTACAATGATAGATGGATAGAGAGTGTCTAGATCTAGATAGAAATTAAGATGGCAACAATGCAGGATTTCTGCTTTATACAAAAATTATTTTTTTCCATTTCTTCTCTCTTCTTCATAATTACTTCACAGAATTAATTCTGCTTGAAATATTGAAATTAACGTACCTTCAAGAACTCCTTCACAGTCTCAGCTTCCTTGAATGTAATCTCAGTAGCCGCAGCAACGGCCAACAGATTCTTGAATCCGTTGACAATGCTGTGAGGCACAGAGACGATGGTCGGATATCCAATCTTGAGACAAGTTGCAGCAACTCTCGCGACTCCCTGAAAATTAGAGGGCGCATTATTGAAACTCAATTGGCTGATAACCAAACTAATACTTGCAGGATAAAGAAGATTCAATCTCCAAAAACCAACTTAATCTTATGTTTTACCATACCTAATATGTGATAACGCTTTCACTGACCCATGCAAAAGGCATAGTTGATGCTTAGCATTTGTTAGAGACTTCATTACATTGACATATCCGGTAAAGAAATTGATTAATAAACAGACAGAATTGGACAGAGAGGAATCAGGTTAGATAAAACTGAGCAAAACAATATTGGGAGCTTCTTTCTGGTCAATTTACTTATTCTGAATGAAATACACTTTATTTCTTAAGTATGTGATTTTCTGCCATAAAATAGTTTAGAATCTAGCTTTTCAGAGTCAAAACGATTAGGAAAGAGAATGATTGATCCACTCTACACTAATTCATTCATCCATTTCATTTAAGGACTTACAAAATTCATCCCATAATTTTTTTTTTTTTTTTTTTAAAATATTCTTCTAGCGAAGACATTAGGATGGTACAAAGTTTATCAAAGATGGTATTCCCCATCATGTTAGTATGACATTCTTACCTCCAAGAATTTAACACGAAGATCTTCTGGTTTGATATCCAAAACTCTGGGTTCGAAAACAGTACCAGAATCGTAGACCTGATGAACAACTAAACCATACGAAAACGGAGAAATGTTCAACATGTTGAGTAGAGTTGCTTCGCTGGGACCTACTTTGTCACCTTCTTTTAAAATGTGGACATCGCTCTGGGAGAGAAAGAAAACAATAGGATGAAATTAGATAGCAACATTAAATTAGACCTTGATTCCTTATTCTAATGCTAATGAAAAAGATGAAATTTTAAAGAAATTAGCGGCAGCCGATGTTTTCAACTCTTTAAAATGTAAAGTGACTATATCGAACCCCAAATAAAAATCCCTGCAACTGTTAATACATTCAAGTGAAAAACTCCAGGAATCATTCAGCTCCCTTCAATTAACTTTTGGAAGTTTTACATGATTTTCTGAGAGGCAAAAATTAGGACAAAAATTAGGCAAAAATGACGACCTTGGTAAACATTTGTCTTGCTTATGCAAACATAGCATTTCTTGACGAACACAGCTCTAAGAGGTCTTAAATGATTTTCCAAAAGGGAGAGATTAACATTTGTCATGTTTTAGCAAGCATAGCATTTCTTGACGAACTCGAAGCACATAATGCTGGTTAGAATCTTCTAGGTTGATAATTAATTTACTTCAAATTAAGAGGAGGATATTGAGCCCTTCAAAAGGACTATGCTCTCGCTGTTTGGACAACGAATGCAGCATGCAACTGCACGCAGATTGACGAACCATAACCTTGGTAACCCTGTAATGATTTTGCAGTATTTCTTGTTAGAGGTGTTGTCAGCTAAGTTGACGGTTGTTTACTTTCGATTTGCAAGCGCCAATGACGAATTTGAGCCTCTGAACAAAGCGGCGTTCCCTACTATCCACATTGAAAACATCAGTCTCATGATCGTATCGTAAAAGAACTACTTATCAGTTATGATTTGCGACTTTCGTGTGGTTGTGATTTCTGTGGGGCTAAAAATTAAAGTGTTACAGGGTTTGAAAGTATTAAAAAACTTATCTAAGCTTGTGTGCTTGCTTCTGAGAGAGTCTGATGTTTTCATGTGGATAGCAGTGACGCGAAAACGCCTGCAAACTGAAAGTAAACAACCTTCAACTTAGCTGACGACACCTCTATCTACAAAAGGAAGTATGCTTTCGGTGACTTTTGCATCTGGATTTAAAAAGAATGAATACTTACCACAATTTCAATCGTTCCCTTGGAGATCTTGGTGGGGATGGAAAGAGCCTGGAAGAAAGAAGTCTTTTCCGGACCAAGACCGGTGTTTTGGGCGGGGATGACGACAGGGGCAGGAGCAATGGCTCCAGCTCTGGCAGGGGCTTGCACTTTGTTCTCGAGAAGCTTGTCACGGACTTCGACGAGGTCTTGACGCGTGAACACGAAACCAACATTGCCAACAATATGAGGCAGTAATCTGTAGCCAAGCAAAATCCCAGGATGAGCGGTTGAAGATTTAATTGGATTGAGAGGGCAACACATTATTTCCAAATTGGCTCATGGGTAAAGTAAGTTAGGAGCCTTCCCCTAAAATCAATTGGTCTTCCAACTTCATTAATGAAAATTCAAAAATCAAATTAAACCGAATGACTTGTTTTCAATCAGTGTTTGAATCTCATCAAAATCTTTAGGAGCCATCGTGGCCAACATTTTAAAAATTTGGGAGCCAAAGTGGTTTTTCCTCTTCTTCTGAGAAATTAAAATTATTGTTACAGTATCGCTCGGAATGTTAGAAATTATTAAATTGTCGCGACTCAGCAGGATTGGATTACTTCCAGACAAAATCGCAGTTTTGAGGAATATTTCTGATACCCGCGCATATTTATTTACGCTTTAAAGCCGAATATTTAGAAGCATTGAATGCCTGATTTATTTTTCTTTGTGGGCGCAATGCAGAGTGTATTAAATAAGACCATTCACCTTAGAATTTAGAAACCCAAACAATAAAGAACCCAATACTGGTTAACTTAAAAGCAAAGGTTGAGCAGATTCGATTCCAAGTACGTACGAGATTGAAAAATGGGAAATGAAACAAGTAGGTAATGATGCAAGAATGTTTAGCAACTTACTTTTCAAGAGCTGGGTTGTGTTCAATGTGACCACGGATAGCTTTCCTCATCATAGTGTTCTTACCCATGAGGACGATGGCAGTTCCTCGGAGTGACACACGGATCTTTTGGAACTGTGTTGAGCCGACATTGTTTGCGCCCACAATGAAACATTTTGGGTATTCTTCCAAGTATTGCTGCACAGAACAGAAACAGATTGGTTACAAATTCAGGTCAGTGGTTTCAAGAATAAATATCATTATCACTAGAGGCTACACAGGATGTAATGAACATGAGATGATACTTTGTTGCCATGGAAAAACTTATCCTTTTTGGACCCCAAACCTTCAATTAGTCATTCTCAAAGCCTTGGGAAAGATCTGATGCTCTAGCAAAAGTAGCTTCAGAGTAGCACTTATCATTCAAAATAGTTGATCCTCATAAATTTAAACTGCTAGACTAAAAAATTTTGAACAAAATGGTTGGTTTAAGGGTATCTGCAGCATTTCCGCTTTCAGCTGATAATCAACCAAGATGGCAAATTATGTGACATGTCACTGTGCTAGAATGTGGACCATTTGAAACATAGAACATTAGAAAGGGGTGCGAGCAGTAATTAGAACTGTTTTAAGCCAGACAAATTCTCTATTATTTCAATAGTGTAATTCATAATGAGAAGAGCTGATTGTGAAAAACAGAGAAGGTTGTTAAAGGCTGCTTTTGTTTTAGATATTAATTTCTTGGTAAAGTATGCCCTAGCCAAGGCGGATAAAGAATGGTGGTCGCATTTCGTACCCTCTGGACGTCACACGGTATCGGGTACATCGGGTACATGGGCTGGCCGAGGCCGGGGGGGCCGACTCAACCTCGGATTGCACGGCATAACCCGTACCCTCCTGACGTCACAGTGCTTCAAGATGGCAGCCAAAATCGAAATGCGACCACCATTCTTTATCCGCCTTGTGCCCTAGCGATGAACTGAAAATTTGAGATATGAAAGAGAATAGTTAATTAAAAGTACCCTATTGGTTTTAGAGGTACAGAGTTTCTGGCATGACCGGAGTATATGAGGCAGGTTTGAATGCATGAGAAGTTGTTTGTTACCTACATTTTCGTTTCTGTAATCCCTTTTTGGACTTTATTTTTAAGAGAAAAATATTATCAAGAATTTCTGTTCTACGCCAAACTAAGAAACTTTACTGTGATTTGTGTAATTTATGTGTTCCATTTACTTTTGTTTGCACCATACAACACAAGGTTTCTTAAGGGGTAATAAGCTGTGTTATTATTGTGTACTTAATTCACCTATTTTATGCATTGATACTTACTATTTTATTCTCAGCGTGTTGTGGTTGCCGAACTCCTGGTGTAGGTTAAATATAGTGTGGCATTTGGAGTGTTTGTTGTCGGGTATTAGGAGTTAAGAGCAATATTATGCGAATTATGAGATACTGCAGGTTTGCAGCTCCCTAGTGTAAAGAGAAAGATACAAAGGATTCTATGAGGAGGTATGTAAAATAGTCTGATGTACTTACAACTAATTTGGAGAAGTACTTGGCTTTCCAGGTTGTCCGGTCCTCCTTACCCATCTTGTGGCGTAGGGATGTCTAATGTGACGTTTAAGAACTGAAATGAAAGAGAAACATAAAATACATGATTGCTTGTATATTTGAATGATACAGGATGGGGAGACACGTATGGTATCAGTGCAGACTGATTGGCATAGGGTTTCATAAAAGATGCACTTTACTTTCCATTACGCAGAAAAGAGAGGAAAATTTACAAACTTTAAATTTTGTGCATTTATTTGAGCTTGCCAATATATTACTTCCAAATACTTCAATGAGTTTAGAAGTGGAAAATATCCTCACAGGACCTAACTTGAATCTTGGAAGTCCTAATGTGGAAAAATTTCCTAGCTAAACATCAGCGAGTACGTGGAATTTGCAACTCCCAAAGTTGCGGACCACAGATTGAACACACTGAAACTGGCAGTTGGATAGACAGTGTTGGTTGTTGTAATTCCAGTCGGGAGTTCTCGCTGAACCACCCTGAGAAGTTTGCGATATTTAAGACTAAGGAAGTGGAAAAATATTGTTCAGGGGAGGAAAAGCCACTTCGGGTTCTGCGTCCAATTTGGTTTTCTACTTACGAGGCATTTTCGATCTAAATGATACAATGCATTTTTTTGATTAGGGTCATGTCAAGTCAATCCCAGTTATGCAGGTGGCAATGACGAACGAGCAAAAGATATCTTGACCTATCTCTTAAATCAAATTGAAAACGCATGTAAAATCTGAACTGAAACACTCGACTTTGAGCGTCAGTTAGGCGAATCGAAAGATTTGAAGGGAAAACGATACGTGGGCTCATGATACCCCAGGGTATACAGAGAGCCTAAAACTGCCCTTCCCAGTGACGGAATAGAGATCTTTGTCGGTGACTTCAAGTGGGGACTTGGTGTGGGGTGATGGAACTCTTAGGATAAAGATGATGGAAGAGGAGGATAAAATGGGTGTAAATCTATCCAAATCAGGGGATATTGCAAGAGTCAGTGGGTAGAAGCCGCGGCAAAATGGCTTTCACGTGACGGGACGTGGACAACGGGTGCACGTGCTGACGTGAACACCTAAACCAGCAAACACGGGAGGGATTCGTCATTAATCGAAAATTGGAATAGCTGGGAGTTCAAAATTGAAAGGAGGGCCGAAATTTGGATGAATAAAACAAATAAAACGTGATTTTTAAAAGGAAAATTAGGAGAAGTGAACCTTACCTGGACACGATAAGTGGACGTTTGAGGTTACGTTCCAGTCCAGCGGCGGAGGGACTACCACTCCTGCGAGTCCAAAGGGTGAAAAAGGGCGTAGAGATGAAAGTGATGAAAACCTAAAGGAAATGATGAATTTGTTGAGTTTAAAAAAAATTCTGCTGATAAGTGGTTTTATAAACTAAAAGCCATGATTTTTCAAATCCATATTAGGTTTAAAAGCCATGAATATTGAAGACATTTTGGGGAATTTGTGGAGACATTTCAGATGGCTATATTAGCATCATTGAAAAGAGAAATCCCTCATGGGAAAAATCCCTTCAATTCCCTGTTATCTAAAAACAATAAAAAATTAAAAACACGTCGAATTGACGGATAGACGAATGTGTTTTTTTAAGTCTTCAGAATGTTGTGGTTGTTAAGTGTCACATAAATTATGTAGGAGATGGTTAATCTCATCTGGAATTAGGAACATTTGGAAGAGTAGTAATCAATGATTCAAACTATTACTATTCAATGATGCCTTCCTCTTCTCGCCTCGGTGTTCCCCCCACACTTTCCTCGCAGACCAGTTGGACGGATGACCTGCCTGTCTGCAGAAACTCAGGTAGGTTCTGGTCACACATCCTAAAAATCATTGGTGTTTTAAAGATTATAGCTCACTACAATTTGAATCATAGCCGCATGTTGTCGTTCTAGGTAAGTCGAAGCGTTAGCACAGCAGAGCGTACCGAGGGAAAGTGAACAATCAGTAGGGATGGAAGACAACATAAGAGTCGCATTATTGTTTTTGTACTCATTCCAATGCAGATAGACTCTTCATGGTCATCATAGCAGTCCCATTATGCCGTTTCTCTTAGGATGATAGACCTTTAAGCGAAGAGGACATGCGAAAGTGTCAACTCACACGATTTTTTTCTCACAAACTGGAGAACATAACCATAAGTATTCATACGGAACTGATTTTTCATTCTAGGAGCTGGGTTTTCCACCAATCAAATCTACCAGGAGGATGGTCACAGACGAGAAGAACATCCTTTTGAGGACCAGTGTTTCCACTGCCGCTCGGATGAGAATACATCATTATATTGTGTGTTTGACGGACATGAAGGTGTCTCTGCTGCTGAGTTTGCCTTGCAAAGGATGGCAGCTGAGTTGCTCCTGGGTCAGTTGGAAGATGCAAGATCTGATGCTGATGTACAGGAGATTTTGAGGTGCTAATGCTTTGTCTAGTCATTGAAGTAATCGTTTTTCGCATGAACGGCAATTTTTTCCTTATTGCACTGACGAAACAAACTTCATAAGTTTTAGAAGTGCCATCTTAAAGTTTGGCAACTGTTTTCTCTCTGTTGAAGCAAACTATCATTCTCTGTTCTTCCCTTCTTAAGAACAATCGAGGAGCTTGGAGAACAAGGCGCATACCTAAGTGCAATTTTTGAAAAAATTGAGATATTAATATGATATTCATTCAAGTAAAATTAGTCTTAATGTACATTCTATGAAAAATTCGCTACCTACTTCCAGCTTTTAAGCATCAACAAGTCATTTTGAATTTTTTTTTCCGCCATAAGAATCCATGTAATGTGGAAGCTTCAATCATGTATTTCTCAAAATAGCAAGAACTGCACTCATGCGCCTGGCCCTCCAAACTCCTCAATGACTTTGATCGCAAGAATATTCTTTGATAAAAGTGGTTTCAACCTAAGTATTGATTAAAATGTAATACCTTTCCAAAAATGTGGGTCTCTACCACAAGTATCCACTTGGTGGCAAACTTTTACCAGGCAGAAGGAATTCAAAAGTATAAATTTTTGTAAACATTCAGTGTTTTAAGTCTAGCGCCAAGAGGTGTTGAATATTCATATCTGATCGAAGCGATGGATCAGTTCATTTGAAACGACCATAGTTCATGCTGGTGATATTTGAGGTAGAAAAAGAAATAATTGTTGATCATGGTCCATTTTTTCTCTTTCAAATTTCAACTGACTTAGGGATTAAGTTTTCTAATGCTTTCTTTGCAGGCAAGCTTTTAACTCAGTCGAGAAGAGCTACATGGAAACTATGGATGACTTAGTAGCAGAGAAAACAAGCCTAATTTTTGAGATCCCTGATGGTCTAACCTCTTATGAAGCATATCAAAAATATCCCCGAGTGGTAAAGTATTTCTCATAAATTTTTAATTTGTCCATTTTGCACCCTCTATCTTGTTTCTTGACTTTATTCTTTTCAGACCATGCCGCATTCAAGCATGGGTGAAATATGAACTTACTGTGTTGATTCAAAGCCAAGCACACCTTTTTCCTCCTAAAATTCTTCAGAAAATTCATTCTGCATTGTTCAAATCAAGTGGGATGCTCAAAGGTGAATCAAGGATGAAAAGTTTTGTGTACTGATACATGCCTGATTACGAGTTTCACTCACGTTAATTTCAACAACTTGTACCAACAGGAGGTAGATCTATGCCTCATGAGTGTATTTTTAAATTTTGTAGTTCATTAGCCCAAAAATGAAGTCAAAAGTACGTGGCCACAAAAACCTCACCAATTTATGTCTTGAAGAGAGGTATTCTGTATCACACCGAATTGATTTTAAAGATTTCATTCAAAATTTAGAGTTCCTAAGACCCCACTAATAAGTAGGGAACAAGTCGAATTTCCTCAAAAAATTCCGTATCCGTCAAAAAACTTTCTGTCTTTATGCACATTTTAAGTTGACAATTATAAGATCAATCATCTAACTGAATTTTAAATCAAAATATCAAATATTTGTCAATTTTTAGTCCGTGCCGACTTTGTGCATAGTTTATGTGCTCCAATTATTACTTAGTCAATGTTCAGTCAACATTTGCTTTAATCCTACTGTCCCAAATGGGACAGGATCAAGGTGTTTTGAGGGACAGCTTGAAACCTATTAAGGTTAATTCTGTAGAATTTTTAGGTATGTAGTAAGATTTGCATTAATACAGAATATATAATTGGAATTTTTGTTTGTGCATTAGGTAGAGAAACTCAATTCTATCAACACAGAGCTATCCTGTGGAACAACGGCTGTGGCTGCTCTCGTTCACAATAACAAGTTGTTTGTGGCAAATGTTGGTGATTCCAGAGCCCTTCTTTGTAAAACAGACCCAAATGGTGCGCTCAAAGTAGTCCAACTGTCAGTTGATCACGATTTATCAAATCAGGATGAAGTTCTTCGACTAGCTCAATTGGGATTATCTCTTGATAAACTTAAAGGTAAAAATAAACTTTTAGTTTTTTCATTGCGAAGATTCTAGGGATCAGGAATCTCTAAGGATCCAAATCTATTAGCCATGTGAAGCATGGAGAAAGAGAGTAAGTTGTGTCAGGTTTGAGATTTATGATTTGAAAGATTTTGCAACCAAGTCGGACTAGAAGCTGCTGTCAAAGTTGCAGAAAATGCTGGATCTATCGATCGCAGGAGACATGTGAAGGCGCACATTAAGGAGGGACCTATGTGATGGGAACCATTAAATCTGTTATTTCTTGAGAAGAAAACCACCAAGCGCATAGACACAGGAAACTGCACGAAGCTCTCTTATGCAAAAAAAATAGTGAAGTGCGCAGTCTTACATGGACAGCAATAAGAAGGCAGTCTCTAAAAATGTGAAGGTTGCCTTAAAGAGTGTGAACGCAAAAAATTCTCTGCACCTTTGAAGCTGTCTCTTGATATGAGTCAAAAATACAAAAATAAGAACTTCAGAGTTTAAAGAGCACGACTGCCTGGTATTCATGAGGAAACCTGTAGAAACAGATAGGAAGAAGTAATAAAGCAAAACTAAAAAATGTGAAACTCAAGTCGGATATTGTTTGAAGTAAACTGTACTGTCAAGATCCGCACAGGTGAATCAGAATGCAAATGGTCATTTAAGCCAGAGCCCTATACCCCTACTTCAGGTATATCTACTCCTTTGAATATCTCATTGTTAGAATGAAGAATATCAAGAAAAATAATACAAAGTTGATGTACCTAGTACCTTGCCCAAAGCCTGTCAGCCTGCAACAAAAGTATCACCAGTTAAAACTTTTTCATCATACAGTTGACACAAAGAATTTAGGAGCCAGAAATGTGCACTTAGTGGGAGGGGGTATGGTAGGGTTGCTGTTGGCTTTGGTAAGTGTATTTTTGCCAAATTGGCACAACTCAAAAATATGTTTCAAGGCCTTAAATAGGTATGATAAATATGCTCCTCGAAATCCCCAAAAATATTTTGAAATAATTTGAAAAGTATTGAAAAGTTTTTAATTTTAGTAAGTAGAAGGCCTTGAGAAAAATCTTTGGGATCTTTGATTTTTATTAAAAAAATGTGATTCGAAAAATTTCTATTAGCCATAATCAAGAACTATTCTAAAGAAAGATTAATCCAGCAGGAATGCGACTTGGCAATCAAGAAAACACACGGTGCCTTGGAAACTACTTGGTCAAAGGTGGCTACAAAGAATTTGAGGATTTATCTCCTGCAATCTCTGAACCAGTTTTAGCGGACCCAGAAATCCACGAGACAATCCCTCTTGATGAATCCTGCAGGTTTGTTGTTGAAGTAATCTCGATGTAGAAGTGTCCCTTGACTGCTTGCTTATCTGCTATAATGAGCCTGTTGCAAACTTTCGCTAGAGCAAAAATAAGAGTTGTTTCCTATAGATAATGCCTCAAAAATGCCAATGGGCGCATCGGCAAAGTCTGAAATGCACTCATAACTTCACAATCTGCGTAAGAAATCTGCGTTTTTTTGAGTTTCCCTCTTCAAAAACGATACTATGGCACAGGTGAACATTCTGTTAGAAGAGTTGCTCCATCGTCGGCAATATTCATCATGGCCGATGCCTCTGCAGTTCCGTGCGTAATTCGACGAGAGTTCAAGTTCAATCAAGGCGGGCGAGGAAAATATGAACTTAAACACGCCGATTGTTCTCTGGTCTAATCCTGCTCAGGTGTTATCTCGTTCCATCACATGTGTTTTGGCGGATTGGCGTCGGCCATGATGAATATTGCCGATGATGGAACGACTCCTCTAACAAAATGTTAACCTGTGCTGTAGTATCGTTTTTGTAGCGGGAAGCTCAAAAAACCACAAATCTCTTACGCAGATTGCAAAGTTATGAGTGCATTTCAGACTTTGCCGATGCGCTCATCGTGATTTTTGAGGCATTATCTATAAGAAACAACTCTTAGTCTTGCTCTAGCAAAAGTTTGCAACAGGCCCATTCTACAGTTTCTAAATTCTGGCGTTTTTCTCTCTCTTTTTGGTAGTTATTATGGCTCCAAATTCTGTGATTTATTTAGTCACAAAAGTGCCTATAACCAAGGAACAGTGGATTGTGAAGCAACAATCAGGCTTTGAAAATTTATTTTCAATGAAGTGTTCAACTGCTTAAACCTTTCATCAGCGCATGTAATATAACATTGACAGTGAAACAGCTTAGGTGTGCATCTCGCTTTTGAAGTTTCAAAATCCCGCCCTCATTTTATTTTATCATAAGAGCTCAAACCAACACTGTTGCCCAAATTTTTTACTGAGTATTCTTTCCTCAGAGGAGAAAAATTATAGGAGTTTTTAGGAAATAATGCTGAATGGTTTTTCATTTAAAAAGTAATCATGCGTTGCGAAACAAGGTACCGTTTTTGCAATTGTTCCATCTATAAGATGTAATGAATGATGTTACAGCAACTTCATGAAGCTTCAAGTGATCTAAATCATGGTATTATTTATTACTGCTTCCAGACAGAAATACTGCTGAGCAATGGAAAAACGCTGAATGGACTTTCAATTGTCTCCAAATTTTTGGTGATAAAAAATTCATATTGGAAAAAAGTTAAACTTATTTTGCCTTAATTTTTTTAGATTGAATTAAGAGTAAAATTATCTGAAAAATTGGAAGAAACTCCTCGCAACTTTCCCAAAAAAATTCGTAATTTATCACAGGAATTTTGGCAATACCTGAAGTTTCATACAGTGTTTTTCTTTGGCATGGCAGAATATTCCTTTATCAAGCTTATGTGCCTTAGTCTGAATATTATCAGATTTTTTTTCGTTTTCACGATTAAATGTTTTTAATGAAACATTTATTGTACCAGAGAATGTTAGACGGGTATCCTAAGTGAAAAAAATATAGGAATTCTCATGAAGAATATTACTGAGACATTTTTAGATTGAGGCCTTCGGCAAAATATTGATTCTATTTCCTTTTCTGTTTGTCACATTTTCAATGTTTCTTCCAGGTTTTTGATGCTTATGTCTGATGGATTATACAAGTCTTTAGAGGAGGCATCTGGTTCCGGTCAAGTCAACCAAGAGCTTGCCTTATTGGCTGTTGAACAGGTAACCCATGCCATGTTTTTCTCTCACTACCCTTGTCGCAATTATCCGTTACTTTTGAAAATGCATGGAACTCATGAATCAGAAAACACTTCTTAATATTGTCTGCCGATAGAGGCAGGGTTGCTACAGTCAGGAAATACTGGGAAAACCAGAAAATGTCCGGGAATTTTAAAAAGTCCGGGAAAACCTAGGATGTCAGGAAACATGATAAAAGTGTTCAGTTGCCTTTATTTACTTTCTAGAAAGGGTTTGACTTTCTGAAAAATAAATTTTGCCTGAAAACGTTTTCAAATTATGTCTTTTTAATCATCTGCATATCTTCAATTGTCAGGGAATTTCATTTTCTTAATCCTGCAGCAACCCTGCGGTTGCGGTCTTTCACAATCTCTGCTCCTACTTTATTTTTTAAAAGGAGACTGAACTAACACCATGGCTTGGAATTTTCATAGAATATTGTTCACATAAAATAGAAAAACCACCTATGTTTTAAAAAAAACAATGTTCAGTAATTTTATAGTAGTAAATAATATAATATATAACATAATAATATTAATATAATTAATTATATAAATATATTTATATAATTAATATTATATAAGTAGTTGTATAACAATTATTCAGTAGTAAAAATAAAATGTGACATAAAATCAGCAACGTCCTGTAACAAGATAAATACACATTTCTGCAGTTTCACCATCAATATCTAGAACCTATAAAAAGCTTAAAGAAGCAGCCTTTTTTGTCGATTGTAATTTTGAATTTTTGTTCCAGTATTCTCATTGCTTTTCTGTAAATTTTTATACCTAGATGTGAAAATTTTTCATCCAATTTTTCTCTGTAGACAAAATATTTTGGTATAATTATGTCATCAAGCTATTTTCTTCTCCTTGGCTCTGCTACTGTGTTTGATTCTCTTTAAGGGATACTATTTCCCGTGATGATGTTGATTTCTTTTTCATCTCCAAGTAATATTTTTGTGGTTCTCTTTTTTCAGTTCCAGATCCAATCCACATTGACGGGTGTTGCCCAAGCCGTAGTGGACAAAGTGGTTCGAATCCATCATGATACCTACATGACAAAAGCAAGCAAAGGTGATTTATTGACCGGCGGAAAGAGGGATGATATTACTCTCCTCATTCGGAATTTCAACTACCCCATGCCTCGTTCCTTGACCAGTGGTGGCCCCCATGTTCGGTTTGATCCTGTGCCAACAATAACCAACTACCCCCGGGCTGACCCAGAATCAGATGCTGGTGAGTTGTTTTGCTGTGAGTTACTCTTAAGGGATTGCGCCAAACAGACTTCTAATTTCTCTTGATGCAATTTCTCTTATTTTTTTCCCCCACACAAACACTAAAGACCTCACCCAAAATCTGCTGTATTCAATCTCAGCTTGATCGATGAGATATTTTTAAATTTGGTGGAGAATCTTTTTCCTGAGTTCAAATCAGTGTTCGAAACTCACCTTTGAGCTTTAGGAGCCGAGTGGCACTTCAAGCCAAATTTTTAGGCGCCATTGAAGATGGCGAAGTAGTGCTGAAAATTCTGAGTTTTTTAATTTAAATAGATTTGTTTTTCTTTCTTCATGTGACTTCCCGTGAAAATCCAGATTTTTAGGGGACAATTTTTACGGGCCACGTTGGCGCAGAGCCTTCATTTTTTAGGCGCCATGGCCGATTTTCTAAGCGCATTTGGCATGTTGGCGCCTGTGAGTTTCGAACACTGGTCCAAATTACGTCAAAGTTTTCAAATGGGGTAATTAAAGGAGTCAAAATTGAAACTTTCAAGCAACTTATCTCCACAACGGTTTGTTGTAAAAAGATGATCTTGGTTTAAAAATCCAGAAGAAACCATCAATTTTTCGCTTCCCTGGTGCCCCTAGCCCCCTGTCTACAATTGTCCACAGTACCTCTGAGGAAGCTTAATAACAGAGTGAATTTTCTCCCCCCAATTATTTTTAAAGCTACAGTCAGATTCTGTAAAATTATGTTCCTGTCCTTCCAACCAAACAAATTTTACAATTTTTCAGCTTCTCTTTCAGCCTTTCAGTTGTGTGGATGGGTGTTGAACCAAAAGCAGCAGTTACAATTGCTGGGGGTTAATGTTTCAATTTTTTTCTTCTTTTTTTCAGCGGATGAGTTAGAGCAACTTTGTAAAGAACTATTATCGACTTTAGCAGCAATGGACGATAAAGCTTCCCTTAAAAAAATGTATCCTCTCCTTGATAAACTCTTGTCTTTAGTTCCTACACACAATGTGAAAATCCTGACCTGCCCTGTGGTTTTCCCCAAAAGCTACTTAAACTTTTCACAAGTCATCTACCCAAGGATTTTGTCCGAGTTGGTCAGACTTATCAAGCCACCCATTTCAAAGAACGTATTGCATCTGTTTGTTCTGGAAAATGGAAATCCGTACACTCTTCAAGCGGCTTTGAGCGTATTGAGTGACGTTTTAAAGGGAACAAAACCAAGTATTTATCAAGACAGTATTATAGACATAATCGAAAAATTAGTCAAATCTGAAGCCCTTACCTCCGCAATAATTCTAAAGTCTCTCAGTAAAGAGTTTAATGATATATCATGGAAAGAAATGATTCAAATTTTGGTGTCAGTGCCAAACAGAATCGCAAATAGTGCAGAAACAAAACTTCCTAAATACTGTATACCAAGTAATTTTGTAAAAATTATATTTTGTCATGTCATCAAAGCCATCAAAATTTTGAAGGAGGCTAGAAATTTGTACGAAATTGAAGATGAAAAACCATTATCCTTAGTAGTCAGTAAAACAGTTTCAAACTACGGAACCGTCAACTTAGATATGTTGATAACGGTTTTTGAGGAATGGATTGTGCAAGATGACAACTATCAATATGTTATTCATTCACTGGTGAAACATCTTGATCGAATATCAATCGAACCGATACTACTATCAATCCTCCAAAAAGTCTCGAATCTCACCACATTGGTACAGATTTTGCCAAGCTCATTGCTGGACTCACAAAATTGGACGTATGTTTTAATGAACAAGATTCCTTTCATGACTTATTACTCAAACAATCAAATTTTGACCAACTATATTTCTTTCCTCGGGAAAAATGACAAGTTGAATGTTTTGAACGATTTGATTGTAAAGTTACTTAAAATATGGGGTGACAAAAGCGCTCTGAATCATACATCTTTTGAGCAGCATTTGTATGTTTCCAAATTAATCTTGCTCGGTATCAATTTTCGATATCGTTGCAATCAGTTGAATGAATCTTTCCAAAAAGAAATCGAGCGGCAGTTGCTATCAGCTGTGCCTCTTCATTTGGATTCGAGTGATGAAAAGATCCGAGCAATTGGAATGGTCTTATCCGAGTCAGTGACAGGGTATTTCTGGAAACCAACTAAAGATGACTCCATCAAAAAACTGGAGTTCAATTATACGACTATGAAAAATGAAAGTAAAGCAATTGTGGAAGAGCTGAAAACTCTGGCAGACTTCAAATTTGTGTTTGACACTCAAGTCAAAACAGACCCAGAGATGGAGGATCTGTTGAAACATTTTGAAGCAGTCATTAAAGTAAATGATGAGTCTTTTAAAGAAAAAAAAGAACCGGAAATTATCGGTAATGTTGTGGACGGTGACTTGCTTTTAGATAGTGATGACGATTTAGAACCTTACGACTTGTCAAATGATGTGAAATTGTCAGTTAAAAAACAGCCAAAATACTTACGGGACCTAAAAGAAGCTTTGATGGAAGACAAAGACTACGATGTTTGGTCTGCAGCTGTGGATGTCTGTGAAGACCTAATTAAAACTCAGTTACCGAATGAGGATGTATCGTTCGCTCTAGACTTAGTCCAATTGTTGATCAGTTCAGAAGCGCAGTTTTATTCCGAGAAATTTGATGATGCCAGATTTTCAAGCTGTGTTGCCATAGTGATGGTTTACCCAAACGAAGTAGCGACTTTGATCGGTCAACAGTTTCATGAAGTTGTTAATAGATACTCAATTGCCCAACGACTTTTGATGTTGGATATTCTTGCAGAATCAGCTAAACAGTTATCAAGTCCACATTTAAAAGAAACCAACAAGTCTCTGGAAAAAGAAAAGGATGTTGGCTGTATGATCAGTGAAAAAATTAGAGCGAATACCCGACGGAAGTGTCGACCAAAGATCATTCCGAAACTTAAGATCAACGAGTATTCTAAAGCTTGCGGATCCTTCTTTTTTCCTTTGATTCGAGGTAGTCTAAAAAACAAAGAAATCATGTTTCGAAAGAAAGAAAAAAATTCGGCAAATAATGTCGATGATTGTAATCTTTTACTGGTTCATTTTTTGAACACACTAGCAATTATCATGATGGCTGCTGTCAATTGTGCCAAGGTAACTAGAATGGCTGCTGAACTTTTGGAGTTTGTTTGGTGGTTACGTTACCATGCAGAGGTGAAAGTGCGTCTTGCAGTAATTCACTGTTTCGCCTCTGTAATTTTTGCTGTTCCTAGCTCACAGCTTTTAAGCGATCTTATCACTGAGTTAAGTGAAATCAAAATTTGGTTGGAGGAAATTGTTAGTTCAGGGGGAATTGCATCTAGAAACAATGAAGTTGATTCGAATTGTCGTGTTTTTGCATCGCAAGTTCTAATGTTTATCAACTTTAAAATGAGTGATCAGTTTGAAGGACTGAACTCATAGATCTCAGCCCCTGTTACTATCTCAGTTCCTTATTTTCTGTTTAATTTTAAGCCTTTTGCCAAGTGTTCTTATTTCTGGAAATTATCTCAAATTTTTCTTTGCAGTCAAGAAAGTTCCAGGTCTCTTTTACCAAGCTAATAATTTTAGTTGAAAGATTTGTCAAAAGAATAAATTCCATGTCTTATATAGACCAATTTGTATGTAGAATGTAAATACTTCAAAAAATAAATTTGTTTCGTTTTCGTAAAGAAGAAAATTGTTTTTATTTTTGATTTTACAGAAGTCACGCTTAGTACAAACAATACAAGTGTCTCAACGCAAGATACAACAACCTCCTCAACAACCGAAGATGGAGAATCAACACCGAGATCAAATAATGCGGCAGCTGCTAATCAACGAATACCTGCGTATGTTGATTTCAGTGATTATAACCAAAATGTAGAGAAGGCTAAGTTGAATAATACTTTACCTGAAGGTATTGATTTTTTTTAAGGTTTAGTATTGGAAAATATCTTTAAAAGGAATTATTAATATGGAGAACTCCCTTAAACATCTTCCCAACTAAATAGGACCCTGAATCTAAATTTGCCTGATCGCCTAGGTTCCCAATAAAATAATTTCAGACCCGGTCTTGAGCCATACCTATTGGAGATGAGAAAATTTTGAAGGTATAGTGGGAAAGTGCAAAATGAATGAATAATCCAGACAGTTAAATATGCGAAAACACTATTTAATTAAACATATGGACAACACTTATTTTGAAGCACCAAGATGAGAGGGCAGCATGTTCGGCAAAGCAAAGCGCTCACAATACTGCCATGCTAAGGAAGAATGCCGTATGAACATTCGAGAGTTGCCAAATTTCCTTCAATAAAATGTTAATTTTTGAGGAAAGTTATGAATAGTTTTCTTTTAAATTTTCAGAATCTTTAGGTAAAATTGTGAACTAAATTATCTAAAAAATTGGGAGGAAAATATTCATAAATTTAGCAGGAAAATCGCGTTTTATGAAAGGAAATTTGGCAACGCTTAAAGGTTTATACGGCGTTTTTCCCTAGCTTGGCAGAATAGAAAATAGAATCCATGTTGAAGAATCCTCCACTACTGGGCGCACATAAATCTTTATATTTAGTAAATCTTTATTAAATTGCACCAAAAAACACAAACAAAGAATCACAAATTGTAATAAATAAGGAAAAACTCTCCCCAAGGTTATCATGTGTGTCGTGTGGAGCCTTTTGCCTCTTTTTTTTTAAACATATGAATTTTTTTCCCTCTTTCTTCTTCTTTTTTACACTTATAAAGCACTGTAGTAAAACTGCAAACTTTCATTTTACAGTTGCTAGTAGCTTACTGTATCACATGAGTGTCCACAAATGATAGTTTTCGGATCTGGGTGTTTCTCGGAAATTTTAAAACCACCTAGTGCAACACCCCCCCCCCCCCAAAAAAAAAAAACCTGACCCATTTTAAACAGATTGCGATTTGAAGTTTGTCGACTCTTGCACCTGGTTGATCAGTTCAGATACTAGGTCAAGTCTTAACGTAATTCAACCTCTTCCTGTTTTCTTAAGTGGTTGAAATCATGAATATAATTTTGAAGGTAATGTTACATCTGCCATTTTCAATGGAGCCCTCTTTTTAACAAACGGAAAAAAGTTAAATTTGATCTGGCTGAAAAAACACCGAAACACTAGGGTCAGTTTTGTGATATAATTTAAGTTCAAGTACTTTTAAAGTCTCAATAGCGCTGTCATCATGAAAAAGGCACAAATCCAACTTTTTTAAAATCAACTTCTTCCCCTTAACTTACTGCCCTGCTACAGAAAAGCTCAGCATATCAGGGAAGAATAGATATTTACCATTCATTGTTTTCTTCCAAATGATTGTGTGCATTAGGAGGAACAAAATTGAAAAATTGAGGTCGCCGATTTTTCTCAAATGTTTTATGTTTTAATATAGGAAACTAAGCAACACTGAAACTTGAAATTTTGTGAGTTTATTCTTCATAATCTGTTAATTTTCAACCATAATGCCTCTTTTTTTTCCTCCTGAAAAATCGTTCTTACCTCTGCTCTTTTAGCATGTCTTAATTTTATTTATTTGTTGACTAGTTTTAGGAATATACTTATCCCTTTCCTCAATAGAGTTGCGTAGAGATAAACCATCTGCTGGGATTTATGTTTGCTTTTTGATGGAAAAGAGGCCACACTGTGCTGATTCTTGTGTTAAGTTTTTTGAAAGTTCAACTTCTTTTTAGTTTTTTAAAGGATTTTTCTTTGTTTGTCTTCGATTGATTTTTTTTTATCCATCATGAGGCTTTTATAGTATTACTTTTTTACTTGTTGAATCCAAGCATGTCCTCAAACAACAGTTTTTTTATCAAATCCTTTTTTACACCCACCCAATTATCTATTATGTTACTAAATATCATTGGTTTTCCAGCTGAAAACTGTCAGACTACTTTATGTAGTTCAATTCAAAAATACTGTATATGAACCACCAACAAAGTTGGTAACATCACCTAGGGTGAAACATTATGTAGGTAATCTTCAGTTTCATCTAAAACCAACTCTTGCACATTTTAAATGTATTTTATTTTATATTTTGAACTTTTTCATCAATCTTAGTTTACAAATCATAAAATTGTGAATAAATAAGTAAAAAAAAATGAGACAATACAAAAATAAATTCTAAATAATCGGTCAATGTAACCTACCTAATTATTTTTCAATGAACAAGACAAAAACAATAAACGTGGCCCAATATGTATGTAATAAGTTGGTAAAACAGTGCTGGGCCAAACTATTTTTCTAGGAAAACAAGGCCAAAAATTTCAATTAGATTTAAACATTTTGAGCTCTAATGAGTACCTGAATAAGACTGAGGGGGGGAGGGAGTGGTCAGCTCATGCAGTTTGCATTGGAATATTAAGCTGAGGTCATGCCGAGAGATCTACTATTAACATTTTGGGTCTTTTTAGACCTCATCAGCAGATCACATTTGTTAGTGATTCCAACTTATCATCCTGCAAAATCCGAGACTGCATCGAAACGCCGTCATGAATATGACGAGAGGCATGACACAAAAGTGTGATCCTTGCGCCATCTACGTGAACACTCTCCTTCCTCAGTCTTGTGGTACTCATTAGAGCTCAAAATTTTTTACTCTAATTGAAATTTGTGAACTTTTTGGCCTTGTTTTCCCCACTAAACAGTTGTTATTTTTCAATATTTACCTACATTTGTAACCGTCCATTTGAAATGAGATTTCAGTAAACAGTGACTGCTGATTTCAATCTCGAGCTATTTTCAGTGAGGGTTTTAAAATGGACGCTTTAGAAGCCAAATGGAACTATGTGCATTAAGATGTGAGCCCTCCTGTGCAAATATTCCTATGGGTCTCAGGGCTCATGTCTTACTGCACATAGTTCTGTTTGGCAGAAATACGTCCAAATTTGAAACAGTAATCCAAAAAAAGTATTTTTCCAGTTTCTTTGTCGAATAAGTCCTTGCCCGCGCGTGGAAAAATTTGATTTATAGCTCCATAAAGAAATTAACTGACATTTGCTCATAATCTCTTGAGGATATAAACTATATAAAATCTGAATCTCAACTAATAATGTCTCATATATTCTGTGATACGAAGAATTAAGTGCTGATTGTAAATATTCATCCTCAAGTTTTTTACTTGTTCTCTGTTTGTTATTTTTTACCACTTACAGGAATGGTAGAGGATAGGTTCTCTGGTTACTTGTTATATTTAGTGAAAAGGCAATAAAAGTGTGAAGTATTTTTTAATTGACTGCTTGTTATTTTTACCCTCTAATATTGGCCTCCAAATGGGCAAGGATTGGTGTAAAAGGTCGAGGCATCAGCTAGTTTGAGAGCTATGTTCAACAGTAGAACTCGTTTATCATAACGAGGAGAGAGGGAGCAGGAGAACTTTAGTTGGACTGCATTTTGCAATTTGGAACTATAAATTCTGGCTCATCTGAAAAAACACTTACGTGCATAGGGAAACTATAATGGCACATACGTTGTTTTTAAACCGGGCCGGAATTTATAGTTCCTAATTGCAAAATGTAGTCCAGTCATTGTTTACTGCAATGAAAGCTTGCGTGCGAAAAGGGAACTTCTTCGTTACAGTGTTTCAGAATCTTCATCAACAATTTAGGGCCGTACCTATTAAGGGGGTGGCCACATGGGCCGCGGCCCATGGCGTCAAATCTAGAGGGCGGCAAATTTTGCAATTTTTTAAATGTACGCATAAAAAAATATCGGATTTAGAAAAAAGAAAATACAAACGAGAAAAGGCGACAAAATCTCCTATTCCTGAGAATATAATAATTTTTAATTTTGTCGTCTTTCAGTGATACAAGAGATAGCACCTTCAAGTAGTCGAGTTAAGAGAGAAACCAAACACGCAATTTGGCCTGGAACGGCGCGGCGCAGAGAGCAATGATGACGAGGACTTGAGATGAAAAGGAGAAGTCCTCGACGCGGCGGTCGGCATGTAACACATATTAGCGCCTACAAGACTGCACGAATACTTCACGCATTGCATCAAACACAGTGCGGTCATTGTGGTTAGCATGAAACGGATTGTGCCTATAAGAATGCATGAATAATTCACGCATTGCGCCAAACACAGTGCGGTCAGCGTGAAACTCATAGCGCCTACAAAACTGTCGGAATACTTCACGCATCGCTCCAAACACGGTGCGGTCTGCGCGGCGCGGCGGTGAAAGTTAAAATCATTAAACCACATTCATGTTTGTTCTTTCATAATTTTTTTGTTTATTTCTTATGAATGAAAGGCCTCGTCCACACAGAGATAGGTTTACGAAACTTAACTATTGCTAGTAGTGTTGTCGGGGCATCCCCAAAACATGTGTTCAACACGAGTAAACGCGTCTTATGCACCCCTCCCCCGCTGGCAAGCTCACTTGATGGTATTTATTGATGTTTCAATACGAATGAGAAGGAGGCGGAAAAATACAGGCGGCCCATGGGCGGCAAGTAGGTAAATTCGGCCCTGCAACAATAATTCCTTCTTTAGTGAGGAAACCATAGGGGTATTTAATAATTAACTAACAGGTAACTTAACATGTTTTAATAGGTATATAACTTGAGATTTGTGCTGGAGACATCGCTGAACTATAAAACACTGCAAACAGGACCGAAACTTAGAAGTCCAGGGTGTCTACAAGTCGGGAATTTTCGGAAATAGTACTGATTTTTTAAGGGTGGTCCGGAAGCACTGAAAAAGTGCGGAAATTCCGCAAGAACGTCCGGAATTCGTAGGCTCCCGGAATTTTTCTAATTTTTTTGTCATTTTCGTCTCAATTGGAGCGAAATTCAAATTTTTGAAATTTGTTTAATTTCGTTAATAATTGGAGCTACTTAATGCCAAAGTACTGAATTTTTCTGTTGAGGAGGTACTGAATTTCTTAGGAATGTACTGAACAAGTACTGTAAAAGTACTGATTTTTGGTCAGCCTACTTTAGTAAACACCCTAAAGTCGCGTTCAAGTTCTCAAATCGATGGCTCAAGTGCGAAACCGCGTATCTTCATTGCGGTGTTTCAAAATTTCCACCCCTTTTTTATTTTTTCGGAGAAAAATAGGTCAGTTTATTTCTAGCTTGATATTTATACAGGATGTGCAAACATTTCAAAATCATGAGTTGAATAACGCTGACTCCGCCAGATTAAATATTAGGGCCTAACACAAAGCGGAGCGGCGACGCACTGGCGCCTACAAACCTAACAGGGATACTTCATCACGCATTGCGCAACGTGTGAAGTATCCCTGTTAGGTTTGTAGGCGCCAATGCGTGTTTCGCGCTGGCTGCCCGCCTGCCACGGCGCTTGAAGCAACTATTTCACACCAGAGGTATTGCACAGTATCATACGAAACTGAAGGCGCTCTAATATATTAGTAATGGCAGGCATCCATCAAAAGTACGGAGCTTTCCTCGCAAAATAAATCAAGATACTACGGCCCAAAAAGAGAGCAGTATTCCAAAAACTCACTAAGTCCTAGCATCCGCAATTCGTAAGGTTTAGCATACACTTTATTGCCTGGCATATGCTTAATCGCCATCGGCTATAAAAGGCTATAAGAAATTGCTTAGCCGGCTACCTATAGAAGCTATTGGAAATCTTACAGCCGGCTGTAGGTCTATGGTATTTTGGAACACAGATTCTACTGCCAATTTTTACCAGGGCTGAGATGCAAAACCAGTATTCCAGATCATTGGCGAACCTTACCCCACTCACCACGCCTTAATATTATCTGAATTGTTTGACATTTTTACTGATTAAAACTGACCCACGGCAATCTCTGACTCCGATGTTTGTTCCAAAACATGACAAGGTGTGTACCTATTGTAAATTGATAAAAGTCAACGAGGCTGGACGATGAATTCCTGCATCACAAACAACTGTTTGTCGCAACTTTGTCTTGTGTCGTCTTCTTAAACTCACGATCAGTATTATTACGAAACTTGTCACACTCTCTGGAGGTGCTGAAAAGTGAAAACGCTGCAAGTACCGGTTTGAATCTTGAGGAACCGTGGTGACAAATTATCCTAGTAAATCGGCAAAATAGGAACCTCGAATATATTCGCGCGTAAACCCGCGAAAATCGTCGAAATCGCGAGTTCTTTTGAAAAAAAATCACCATTGATCTTGCCGGATTCGCAAATTTTGGGATTAATTTCAGTGGGCAACCAGTCATATTCTTGTGAGAGGGCATGCAAAAAAATGTAAGAATGCTCGACAGCTCGTATCATTAGGACGAAAAAAATCTGTTACCTTTTCCCCCTACTACATTATGTGCTAATGTTTTTAAACCAATACATTAGGTATGTGCTAATGTTTTTGAACCAATAATCACTGAAAATTAGATTTGTGTGTAAATTCAGGAACTTGAAGCCTTTCAAACGACAGGTAAATTCTGTTTATTTTTACCCCCCCCCCCTTCTCGTCATTCACCAGAGGCAATATTACAAAGGTTCAGTCAGCGTCTATAAGTTGAAGGTATTTTCTTCCTGTCTAAAAGTGATTTTAAAGCAATAAGAAAGGCATGCAGCGTTCGCCTCGTTTACTTAACCTGCAAAATGAAGGGATTTTCGGAAAATTTAGAATTCTGAGCGATTTGGGGGGGGGTTGAGAGGGCTTACTCCCCCTCCCCCGTTACGATAGAATTCGCGTGGATATATAAAAAAAATCTGATCATAATAGTCAAGAGCTTCAAGAAAATCACCATATTCAAAATTTCCGGGGGGAGGGGGGGAGGGGGTTAACTGGTCTAAGTAGTCCTGAATCCGCTTTTGAACTCCAAAATCAAATTCTTTCCTGAAACAGGTCGTAGTTTCTCTCTTGAATTTTTCAATGCGGATGAATTGAACTACATTTTGCCATCAGGAACTACAATCTCTAGGTCATCTCAGAGAAAAGACATAATATGCCGTTAGTTTTCCCTTTGCAGATCGGTATTTTAACGTATGAGCTAGAAATCATAGTTCCCCATTGCAGTCCAAGTAGTTGTCTTCATGCTAAGGTCTTCTTAACAACCGAAAGGATGCAAATAAGAATACGTTTGTTTTCTAGGAAAAAAATTAAAAATTTTCCTGCAAGGTCGATTATTGTGTTTTTTAGGCAATTTTCCAGATCCAGGTCCCTTGTCAATGACTTCGGCGTTTCTAGCTAAGCAAGTGGATGTAGAATTTGCAACCTAAGAGGGGTGCAGAATGGCCATCAACCGAGGTATAGTCTCCAGCGATGGAGTGGTGCGCTCTTCGTCTCCTGATGTGGAGATCCCAGATCAGGATTTCCCAACTTTCATCTGGAGTCGAGCCATCGAATACGCGGATCGACCAGCACTGGTAATATTCCTTCTCATTCGTTTTGAAACTCGATAAAAACCATCAAGTGAACGTGCCAGCGGGGGAGGGGTGCATAAGACGCATTCACTCGTGTTGAGCACATTTGTTGGGAAAGCCCTGTCAACACTACTAGCAAAAGTTCACGGAACTTTGCGCAAAAGTTAAGTTTCGTAAACCTATCTCTGTGTGGACAAGGCCTTCCATGTTTGGCGCAAAGCGTGAAGTATTCAGACAGTCGTCACCTTCCAGGCAAAGTATCACAAGCGCCATGCGACGTTTAAAAATTTCCGCCGCCATTATATTTTTTTACAGAGAAATTGTTCAACGAAGCTGTCCGAAAATTTCACTGAATTTTCTTTGTGCTGCCGATAAAATTTAGTGAAATTTCCAAACAGATTCAACCAACAATTTCTCAGTAAAAAAATAAAATGGCGGCGGAAATTTTTAAACGTTGCATGGCGCTTGTGATACTTTGCCTGGAAGGTGACGCAGTCTTGTAAGCGCTATGCGTTTCACGCCGACCGCTGCTGAACGCACTGTGTTGGACGCAATGCGTGAAGTATTCACGCAGTCTTGTGCGCTATGCGTTTCACGCTGACCGCACTGTGTTTGGCTCAATGCGTGAAGTAGTCATGCATTCTTGTAGGGGCTATCTGTTTTACGCTGACCGTAATTACTGCACTGTGTTTGATGCAATGCGAGAAGTATTCGTGCAGCCTTGTAGGCGCTAATATGTGTTACATGCCAATCGCCGCGCCGAGGGCTTCTCCTTTTCATCTTAAGTCCTCGTTACCATTTCACTCCAAGTCGCGCCGTTCCAGGCCAAATTGCGTGTTTGGTTTCTCTCGTCACTCGACTAGTTGAAGCTATCTCTCGTATCACTAAGAGACGACAAAATTAGAAATTACAATACTCTCAGTAAATGTGAGATTTTGTCGTCTTTTCTCGTTTGTAATTTTTTTTGTCTAAATCCGATTTTTTTATACCTACACTTAAAAAAATTGCAAATTTGTGCCGCCCCTTAGATTTGCCGCCATGGGCCGCGGCACATGTGGCCACCCCCTTAATCCGGCCCTGACCCTAAGTCAGACTGATTGTGAGTCAGGCTGATGTCAGACTGATGTCAGCCTGCCCAAGTAGCAGTGATCGCGATGAATAGCAATTTTATCGGTTGGTTATGGCGAATATATCGGTGGCGATACATCGAGATACTATCGCATCAAAAATTGCGATATATAACGATTAAACATTAATCGCTGCACATGGCAATTTTCGGTTCGATAAAAGTGTGATCAATTTTCGTCGATAAAATCGATATTAAATTGCCATTTATCGCAATTTGTCGGGCAAATTGTTGGGCGATAAAAGCGCAATTCTATTTCGATAAGATCGAGGATAATCGCTCAGATGTTAAGGAGTCTGGCGACTTTATCGCCGATAAAATTGCAATATATCCCGATGTTTCGTTGGAAAATGCTATTTGGGTGAATCAATCAATCTCAGGGTAATTTATGAAACAAAGTCTGACGTCACGCTGACTCACTTTTATCAGGGATCGTTTTCGACATCGCCTATTTCCTAGAAAAGTACTAATTTCTTTTAGGATTACCGACCGTTGCGTCGTTACTATGGAGAGTTCAGTTAAAACTTCGCTATCTAAGAAGATAAGGGTTTTGCGTAACGCATAACTGGACATAGGTGCCTAACTCTGCACTGGGCGTGTCCCTTCTCAACATCAACCCCCCCCCCCCCCNTGTTCATTTTGCCCAGCAAATCAACCCGCCCCACTTTGTCCAGGGTGGTCTCGAAGCCACAAAAAAAGAAAAGCTACAAAAATGTACCCAAAATCGGTTTGCAGGGGATGGGTCTAAAGTACGTGCAGAATTAAAATCGCGAAAAATCAAAATCTTGACTGATCCATATTTCGAGGTATCGTAATTTGAAATTTTCATTGTAGATGCAAGTTATATCCTGATTTTTATCCGCATTTTTATTTATCTGTCCATCGAATCAGTGCTGATCGGTTCACGCTTTTATTTTTCGTTCGATTTACGTGAAAACATACCCTCTCGTAACATGCAGTTTTCCTTTCATACTCTGCTTTTCACCGAATAATTCGCCTTCAGCTGCGTCCGCAGCAATTGTTGTTACGAATATGTTGTGCGCACTGATTTCAGATCATTACATACTTGATTCTGTGAAGGGGTTTTATGTGCGAAAGTAGAGCACCCTGTTGGAGAACATCAGAGGTGAGATTGTATGAATCGCTCAATCCCTACTTCGTTGGTTCCCCGACAGATTGCGCTACTTGGGCATATAAAACGCCTTCAGAGAGTCGAGTATGTAACGAGCTAAAATCAGCACGCACAACATATTCGTAACAACAATTGCTACAGACGCAACAGAAGGCGAATTTTTCAGTTAACTGAACGCACATACGCGCTGCTGCAGTTTTACTGTCGATATATTTTTCTTTTCAAGCAAGAAGATGAGGCAGTAAAGACGCGTAAAGAAATGAGAATAGATTATTTATGAAGCATCAAAATATAGGAAAAACCAATCTTGCCACCCTGTGATAAGTGCGATTGGCTCTTTAGTCCAGGCAAATAAGCCATGAAAGGGGCTATAGCCTGCAAAAATCCCGGGTAGCAATATTTTCATCGATTCCTATGTAATTTTTGACGCTGAATCCGAATTTCAACTTTGCGCCATTAAATTCGGACGGGAAAGTTGCCAAATTTGGCAAATGGCCTAAAATCGGCATTTGTTTGCGGATTATGGCCTGTAACTCGCCAAAAATTGATCTGACGACAATATTAGTTATTTTCAGAAATAAAGCTCGTTAAATTTCCTATAAAAAAGTTCCACTTTACAACTTTTTCAAGGGGAGAAATGTTGCTATTTAGGCCGCTCAGGATATTTTACATCTACTTTTGTCGCAATTTTAAGTTACGTTTTTGCAGACTTGTGGTTTGACAAAGAGAAATTACACGTTTTCGGAGGCTCGATCCCTCAGCCGTCGCTTTGGTGCGTCTTTGTTGGATAAAGGACTCAATCCTGGGGATGTGTTAGCAATAATGCTACCCAACGCTATAGACTATCCAATCGTACTTCTCGGAGCTCTTGAAGCCGGACTTCTGGTCACGACGATCGACCCAGCTTTCAAAAAGAGTAAGCATTTTTGTTTAAAATCATCGCTGGATTTTTCAAATTTTTTCTACGTGGTATCAAAACTTAAGAAATCAGCGGCCTGATTAATGAATCTATGTCGGCCTGCGGGCTGATTATTGAAATTGATAGACAAAGCGATAGACGAAGAAGACAAAAGGGATATAGAGGGATTCCCCGGTAAAAATTGGCGATAGGAGCCGAGTTTCAAAATACCATAGGAATTCTTATAGCCGGCTAAAGGAGGCAATAGAAAATCATATAGCTGGCTGTAGAAAGCGGAGCAAATCATATAGCCGGGCTATACGAAGCGATAAAAAAGTATGCAGCCGGGCTATAGTTCCTATCGCCGGGCTTTACACTTTATCGCCATCGGCTATAAAAGGCTATAAGAAATTGTAGAAAGTCGTGTGTTTTGGAAATCATTAAGTTTGATACGGAACCACCATAATATTCAAAAAACACACATTATATTTTCCTTTAATACATATTTTTTTCATCAATTAAAATGAGAATAATCCATACAGGATGTGCAAACATTTCAAAATCATGGGTTGAAAAACGCTGACTCCGCAAGATTATATTGGAGCCTAACACAGAGCGGAGCGGCGCTGCCAGCGATAAGCGCGCACCAGCGCCTACAAACCAAACAGGGATACTTCACGCATGGCGCAATGCGTGAAGTATCCCTGTTAGGTTTGTAGGCGCTGAGGCGCTTTTCGCGCTGGCTGCCCGCCCGCCGCGCCGCAGCTTGCCACGGCGCTTGAAGCAACTATTTCACACCAGAGGTATTGCACAGTATCATACGAAATTGAAGGCGCTACAACATATTAGGAATGGCAGGCATCCTTCAAAACTACGGAGCTTTCCGCGCAAAATAAATCAAGATACTACGGCCCAAAAATAGAGCGGTAATCCAAAAACAGTCCTAGCATCCGTAATTAGTAACATTTAGCATACAATTTATCGCCTGGCTGTTACTCAATCGCCATCGGCTATAAAAGGCTATAAGAAATTGTGCAGCCGGCTATAGAAGCTATTGAAAATCTTACAGCCGGCTTTAGGTCTATGGTATTTTGGAACACAGATTCTACTGCCAATTTTTACCAGGGTTCTGTTGGTGGAAGCAGGTGATTGAAATGGACAAAAGAAGTAGGTAATAGTCTAACTAACGGCAACTCACGAGAGATCCTATAGTTAGTCCATCATGTTCTCCCTCAGTTTATCAGAACCACCCACCTCAACCAATAGGATCGCCAAGTACTCCCCATGTCTTCTTTGTCTATCAATTTCAATGATCGGCCCGATGACAAGACAATACACAGCCTTATCTGAACCATGAAACATATTGCAATTTGATGTTATATCTGGCTGCTGTAAACTTTCAATAATTGGCGCATGATAATCGTGTGTTTGTCGAGTACACGGACTCTCAGTAGTTTTGTTGCCTATGCATTGATTTTGAAGGCGCATGTTAAATGGACGGCGCGAGTTTCCGACAATGGGTTCACGACATCGTTTTTTCGGTTCAATCGAAGCTTTTCGATGCCTTTTCTCCCGGATAATAATCCGAAGCACCGAAGTTTGTGCTGATTTCTCCTAATTTTGGACGAATTGCCCAATTACTACTTTCCTACGCGAGGCGTTTTTCGATACTTTCTCCGTTGCTCCCCTAACGTAAGAACATATCTCAATTTCCACGTGAGCTCTGTTCTCCGTTAAACTCAATGCATTTCTGGACTCGTGTGGAAATCAAGATACGCCCTTACGTTAGAGGCGCGACGTTTTTGGTAGAGATCTGGCAGGAAAATGTCAATGATTCTCTTTTCAATTCATCACAACATTCGAATATTTTCAGTAGTCTTCATAATTATCACTGATATACATTTATTATAATCAAACAGTATTACGATGGTGAAACTGCAAAAATGCGTATATCGGTTGCGGTGTTTGAAAATCTCCGCTCTTATTTTATTTTTTGAAAGGAAACCGAACCAACATTGTGGCTTGAAATTTTCACAGAATATTCTTCACATAGAGAAGAAAAATATCCGAAGTGCTCAATAAATTATGTTAAGTGGTTTTCCATATGAAAAATAAAGTATGATAGGAAGTCTGCAACGCTGCAAACCGATATACGCATTTCTGCAGTTTCACGTTCGATTACTAAGATGAGTAGGCAAATACACGCATTGAAAATCAGTAACCCGTGCATGCCATACTCCCAAGTGATACAGTGCAATACAAATATTGAAATATTTGGCCCTAAATGCAATAAATGCGCAATTTTTTACCATGTAATTGCAATATTTTTTCATCATTTGGCCAATAAATGCCGACTTTAAACGATCAGAAAACTGAGTTCCATTTGTGAGAAAAGTAGGCAATTTGTAATGCAATAGAATTGCCAGCTATTTCCATACTATTATAAATAAAATTCAATTCAAGGAGCCCCTTCAATTAGTGAATAGACAACGTACACAACATTTCAGCACCGTAGCAATAATTTATTGGACAGTGTTAAACAGGAAGGAAGCAGGCCACAACAGCTATTGTCAAACACTTGGCCATTTAAATCTTACAAGAGAACGTTTGTGCGGATTCCTTTGGAAATTTTGAGGAATTTGATTTGTAGCATGCAGAAAATTCACTGAAATTTGCATCAAAATCCGCACAATCAGTTTCATGTAAAACTTAAATTGTCTAGTTAAACGGCAATAGCTGATGTGGCTTGGTTCCCTTCTGTTGAACGCGGTCCACTTTAACCACGCAATGGAGATTTTGCAGGTGTCTGAAAGTTGATGAATTTCGTGTTTAAGTAGAAACTACTGAGTGAAATGAATACGAGGATACCTTTGGTGTATGAATTGAACAATTATTGGAGAAGATATGACAAAATGATCTAATCTGCTCAAATACGTGAGTTTAAATGGGAAATGCCGCCAGATGACGTCACTATCGGTGCATTTTCTCACTTTCAAATCTAATTCAATACTATTTCCCATATCAGAATTGTTTTTAAAAAATTCTGTGAGATCAGCTCTGTAAGCACTTTCAGTGAGCAATAAAAAAATTGCATGCAAATTCTCCATTGCAGTTATTTGTAATCGATGCCACTTGGCAGCTCATGAATAAGTTAAGAAGCTCACGTTAAGTCATGAATAAGCTCACGATAAAGTTTAAAAAATGATGCGTTATGTCACAACATAGTGATTAATAGTGTCCTTCGAGCCCCTCAAATGAAAAATAAAATATAATTTTACCCTCAAAGGTACGTAATGTGTAGGATTCAAGAGAGAGGTGGATTTGCATATTTAGGTGTTTTGATGGATTCACATTCGATACTGATATCGAAATTGCACTCGAATGCGATATTTTCTCTCTAAAAAAAAAAAAAAAAAAAAAAAAAAAAAAANAAAAAAAAAAAAAAAAAAAAAAAAAAAAAAAAAAAAAAAAAAACTACGCCTTTATTACGTTGAATTTCTTTGTTAAAATTGGTAAGTGAGTGCTCTAGTCTCCTGACAACAGAATCGCGAACTCAAAATTGGAGAAAAATGCAGACGAGTAGCTGAAAAAATGGAACCAATTGATGCGATATATCGCATGCCGTTCTGACACAAAATATGGCGTCCATCGAATCACCTTAAGGAAACAAACCAAAACGCCTTCAACCACTTAGGTATGCAACACGCATATTAAAAAAAAAACTGCAACACGTACATTCAAAGAGAACAAAAAATTGCGTCCAAGCACTGAAGAAAACTACAAATCATCAAGATGACACACGGTGTCGCTGATGATGGTCTTACGAAGAGGCCGAAACGCGTCCGACCGGTATGAGATAAACAACGTGCAAGTGAGTCATAAACACAACTTTCAAATAAATTTCATTTACCTGAACGCTACCTTTCGGTACGTTGCTCCTTCATTTCCGGTCGGCGCTAAGAGGTTTGGTCGGCTTTCGGCACGTTAGCCCTTCATTTCCGGTCGAAGCTAACGAGACGTCCAAGGCCCGGACCAAACTTGCGGTTCAAGTCCCTCAAAACGGCGTTAAGAACGCCTTCAATTCAATGCTTCTGCACTAAATAAAGCAGAGTATATCGAAATGTACGGCTAGTGGTATCAACGCCTTCTCGAAGGCGCTTCTTTTTGTCGTGGCTTGTTGTCTATTTATGCGTTCAAGTTCCCGAACCGAAATAAACCTGCAGTTTTTCTAGCTGTGATGGCTCCCGAAGGCTCCTCAATAACATCACATTCGGATACGTTTCAGACGAATTATCACTCCAGGTCCGCACGACAGACGCTAAGGTAATTGTAACAATACCCACGGTCGTTCCTTTGGTAAAAGCTGTGCTAGAAGAGTTAGGAGTAACGATGCCCATCATCCTGGTCAACTTGAGAGGACAAGAAACGGGGCATGATATCTGGAGCTACCGGGATCTGATCTCCAGAAGCGACGGCAGCGACACCCAGCGGCAATGGCCGCAAATCTCGCCTGACGACATCGCGATACTCCTCAGCTCGAGTGGTACTACCGGTGAGCGAAAAATGGTAGCCAGGACGCATAAGAATACCATCGCTACCATGGTTCTGTCGAGCGTCTATGGAAAAAGTCGTATTATTTCTGGCTCAGTCGGTATGTGAAAATTATTAATATTCGGGAATACGATTCCGGGACCATTCGCCCGCAGACTTATCACCCATGGTAAAGTTCCCCTAGGTATTGAAACCCTATGCGCTACGCACATAGTTCCTTTTAGCATAAATACGTCCATTTAAGTATCCGGAATTTTCGATCATCCGCGATACCTCCAAGCCCAATCCGGATAATCCGGACTGTGCACTGGAAAAACTATCTCTTGAGGTATTATTCTGACTTGAAGCTCCGTTTCTTGTCAACAAAAGCTGGTTGTTTCGAGTTGAACACATGCGGATTTAACGCCAAGTCAGTTGTTTTGAGTTAAAGGAACGTGGTTTTGCTATCGTTTCTTAACTTGAACTTAACGATGACAAAACGACGCTATTTAAACTCCAAAACACTGATGTTGAGTTTAATCCGCCCGGATTTAACTAGAAAAAACCCACATTTTGTCGACGAGAAATGACGCTTTAAGTTAAAATAATATATCTCAAGAATTTTTTTTTATTTTTTTTATTTTTTTTGTTTTTAATGTAAGTACTGTACTTTATTACTTTGGTCAATTGACGATAAAAATTCTGTAAGTAGATTATGTGAGGCCGTCGTAGTAGAAAAGTTGTATTCAATATTTTACACGCGAGGGCTTTTACAAATATGGTCTAATTTTCTTCTCTATTTCGAGATCCATACCTAACACCCTACCTCCTCATTTGACAGGGAATGACCAACATTCACTCCTAATGGCAGCGTCTCTCAGTCACTTATCCGGGCAACTCCTTGTTTGGTCAGGTCTGATTAATGGTGCTAATAATTTCATCTTGCCCGTGTGCGAGCCAGAGCCTTTGATTAATGCCCTTACTGAACAGAAACCTTTGGTAAGTTACATTTCAAGTAATTGGACGAGGTATTAGATAAGGTGTAACGACGTTTTAGGTGCAAACATATTACGTAGGTACAGGACACTCGACTTACACCTTTGGACCGACAAATGTTTGACCTAAATACTTGACCTATAAATATTTTTACATACATTATTTCACCTACAAGAAATTTTGACATACAAGCAGGGCCGGATTTACCTACTTGCCGCCCCCTTCTCATTTGTTTTGAAACATCAATGAAAACCATCAAATGAAAGTGCCAGCGGGAGAGGGGTGCATAAGACGCGTTTACTGGTGTTGAACACATTTTTTGGGACAGCCCTATCAACATTACTAGCAAAAGTTCACGGAACTTTGCGCAAAAGTTAAGTTTCGTAAACCTATCTCTTTGTAGACAAGACCTTCTATTTATAAGAAATGAACGAAAATTTTTATGAAAGAACAAACATAATTGTGGATTAATGGTTTTAACCTCCGCCACCGCGCCTCGCAGACCGCACTGTGTTTGACGCAATGCGTGAAGTATTCACGCAGTCTTGTAGGCGCTATACGTCTCACGCTGATCAAACTGTGTTTGCCGCAATGCGTGAGGTATTCATGCATTCTTGTAGGCGCTATCCGTTTCACGCTGTCCGCAATGACCGCACTGTGTTTGATGCAATGCGTGAAGTATTCGTGCAGTCTTGTCGGCACTAATGTACGTAATTAAATGCCGATCGCCGCGCCGAGGGCTTATCCTTTTCATCTCAAGTCCTCGTCATCATTTCTCTCTAGGTAAGTCGCGCCGTTCCAGGCCAAATTGCGTGTTTGGTTTCTCTCTTAACTCGACTAATTAAAGGTGGTGCCTCCTGTATCACTGAAAGACGACAAAAGTAGAAATTACTATACTCTCAGAAAAGTAGAGATTTTGTCGCCTTTTCTCGTTTGTAATTTTTTTTTTCTAAATCCGGATTTTTTTAATACCTGTATTTAAAAACATTGCAAAATTTGCCGCCCCCTTTAGATTTGCTGCCATGGGCCGCTGCCCATGTGGCCATCCCCTTAATCCGGCCCTGCATACAAGCGACCTAAACTTTACCTGCACATTGAACAGCCTTGAAAGGTGCTTAAGAATAGATCACCGAGAAAACCTCCAATATACAATCAGCAAGTATACAACCATGCATACATACATACATACATACATACATACCTTATTATTACTTAATTATCAACATGACACCCATGTGTAGGTCAAATTTCTTGTAGATCAAATATCAGTGGATAAAATAGCTTGTGGGTCAAAAAAACTGTAGGTAGGTAAACATTTTTGTAAGTCGGATGTTTTAGGTCACACTGGTCACACGTCTGTAGGTTAAAAGGCGCAGGTCAAGTGTCCTGTAGATAATATGTTTGTAGGTCAAACGTCAGGTAGCCTTGGATAAAGGTAAAATTCAAATATACAGGGTTATTCAAAAGTTACGCACCACTGGCCATAACTTTAGTTCTAATTATAATATCGATTTGCGGTTTGTGGCGTCCTTGAAACCGGAAGTCGATCTGACCCCCCTGTCAAAAGTTAGGGGGGTCCAAAGGTTATTTAGGGGGTCCGTACCTTCATTTTTTAGAGTAGCTTCGGCGGCTCTTGGACATACCGTTTCTCTTTTCAAAGAGTCCTNCCCGGGGGGGGGGGGGGGGGTGGGCCTGTTACAATGAAACATTGCATTAAAATGCGAAAAGTCACAGAAGAGCTTCAAACCTAGTATCAAATCCGAGTGGAACTTCTTTCCAATGTTAACGCAAACGCAGCCTGCGACTTTAAAGTGAGTTTTCAAAACTCTTAGCCCCCTGCCACCCCTCATTTTTGGTTGCAGAGCGGGTAAAAACCGGGAAATTCACTACAAATAATGCCCGAAACTAATGTCCAACTTGAGGAGGACCCTTGAAACGTTGCGATCAGTCGGAGCATTGAAATACAAGGACTGCCACCCCCTTAAAGTACGGAAACATCCAAAACACCCCCGCTGCCCCCCTCATTTTTCGTTGCGGAGCGGGTAAAAACCGGGAAAATCGCCAGAAATGATGCCCCGGTTCTTACCAGCTCTGCAACGAAAAAAGAGGGGGGCAGCGGGGGTTTTATGGATGTTTCCGTCCTTAAAGTGGGCGGCAGTTCCTGTGTTGCAGTTCTCCGACTGAGCGCAACGTTTCAAGGGTTCTCGTCAAGTTCTACAGTGGTTTCGGGCATCATTTCTGGCGATTTTCCCGGTTTTTACCCGCTCCGCAACGAAAAATGAGGGGGGCAGCGGGGGTGTTTTGGATGTTTCCGTACTTTAAGGGGGTGGCAGTCCTTGTATTTCAATGCTCCGACTGATCGCAACGTTTCAAGGGTCCTCCTCAAGTTGGACATTAGTTTCGGGCATTATTTGTAGTGAATTTCCCGGTTTTTACCCGCTCTGCAACCAAAAATGAGGGGGGGCAGGGGGCTAAGAGTTTTGAAAACTCACTTTAAAGTCGCAGGCTGCGTTTGCGTTAACATTGGCAAGAAGTTCCACTCGGATTTGAAGCTAAGTTTGAAGCTCTTCTGTGACTTTTCGCATTTTAATGCAATGTTTCATTGTAACAGGCCCATCCCCCCCTACGGGGGGCTGTGGTGGCCCGGGGGCAATATGAAGACTTCGGTATCAGACTTGGAGTATTCGAGGACTCTTCGAAAAGAGAAACGGTATGTCCAAGAGCCGCCGAAGCTACTCTAAAAAATGAAGGTGCGGACCCCCTAAATAACCTTTGGACCCCCCTAACTTTTGACAGGGGGGTCAGATCGACATCCGGTTTGTGCCAAAAATTTTTTTTTTTCATGCTCTTTCTAACGATGTATCACATGATGGGGGTTGCCATTTGAAATTTTTGAGTTGCCCCCCGCCCCCCCTCCCCCTGGGGGGGTGAAGAACTGAAAAGTACCTCAAAAAGTTTCCCCCTCAATATGAGGAAGGACGCCACAAACCGCAAATCGATATCATAATTAGAACTAAAGTTATGGCCAGTGGTGCGTAACTTTTGAATAACCCTGTATCACAATACATATTTTCTCATAAAATATTTCGTAGAACAAGGTAACTACCTGGAAAATTTCCAGTTTAAATCCATGTGCACTGAAAAAAAATTCTCGGCGTTTTTACCAAAGTCCGTTGGTACCTTTACCATCTCACTTTTTTACCAATTATTGGTAATTTTACCAAGACAGACCGGTAAGTTTACCTAGAAACCGGTATTTTTACTGTTTTTTTTCAGGTAAGAATACCATTTTTATTGGTAAGCAATTCCCGGTAACTTTGCCATTGTATCTCGGTAATTCTACCATAGTCGATAAAAAATATTGGCGTTTTTACCAAGGTCCAGTAAAATTACCGAGAAAGTTCAGTAATTTTACCGAGATTTCTCGGTAAAATTACCAATTCCATAAATGGTAATTTTACCAAGAAAAAACTGGGATAAAATAGAACCCTGAATTCTTGGTAATTTTACCCTTTTCTTAGTAAATACACCGAGATTTTTTTGTCAGTGCTAAAAATAACAGCTTTTTTATTCAATCCATTCGACTCTCATCTTCACTTCTTCGAGGCAACGTAAGTTTGTTCCCGATCCACATTTTTACTAAACTCACGGTGAAACATTTTACTGACCGTGTGTTTGGAATCGGCCGATTTCAGAGCGTTACTTGCTTCTTGTATCCTGTGATGTTCTCTGAGCTGAATGCACTGGTCAAAACGGATGATCTTGAACCCTTGCGTCTCATTCTGACAGGGTGCAGCTCATTTATCCCGGCACATGTCAACGCATTCCTTGCCAAACTGCCGAATCGGGAGAAAGCTAGTTTTTACTCCGGTAAGTTGCGGGTCAACAAGTATCGCAGTTCACCCAAGTAGCAGAGGTTGCAACAACTTGCAACAAAATCGTTTGATTCTTGCAACCAATAGATTGATGTGCAGATTGCCTACTCTCTCCCCTGAAGGAGCTATAATTGTTGGAACTAGTTGCAATTAAGTTGAAACATGTTTCAACTTCAAAGTATTGCTGGTTGCACACCTTAAGCTTTTAAACAACTTTGTTGCAGCAATTTTGCAATATCATCAGGTTGCAACCTTGTCTTCCGATCAGATCGCTGAAAATCGGCACTTATCGACCAAAAGTTGACCGAAAGTTGCAACTTTGTTGCAACGAATACCAACATTGTTTCAACATTTTGCAACTTTAACATTGAAAAATGCTACTTGGGCAATAATACAATCTCAGAAAATTCGAGTAAAGTACATCATCAACACGACATATAATGCTGTTCAATGAAAGAATACTGGCAATGCAGTGATTGAGATAATCGATACGATCAATGGCCGTTTCTTCAGGAGACCAATACCGCCATGCTAAGGAAAAATGCCGTTTTTTCCAGCAAAATACGAATTTCCACGGAAACTGTTGCATATTTTTCTTCAATTTTTTGTAAAAAAATTTGTGAACAATCTAATCTAATGTATCTGGCAATTTCAGGAGCAAATATACACAAGTTACCTCAAAAATAAATGTTCTGTCCGGGGAAATTTGGCAACCCCTGGATGTTTGTACGGCGTTTTTCCTTAGCAGGGCAGAATACATATAATATACTCAATTCTCCATCAAACTCAATGACAATTTTTACTGTCAAGCGCAATATTCTTTTTAATCGCTTTTCTATCATATTCTTGGCCGATTTCCACAAAACTCAAAAGTAATAATTTGCTCACTGACACCCACATTTTGTCATCTTCCGGCCAAAGTATCACAAGTGTTATGCGACTGGACATATGCATAATTTTCTGTCCGGAAATGCATTAAATAGTTCTATTTCGAACTCAAAACTCCAAGTTTTTCCGGATGATGACCGCCGAACCACCTCCCTCCGGAGAAATCGAGCCCCCTGTGGATGGAGTCAGGTACAAAATACGCCATATGGCGAGTTTACTTCACTCGCAAAAATCCCTCACGACGAAACTGACAAAACAATAAGTTTATATGGACCGAGTTCAACAGATAGGAACTAAGCCACATCAGCTATTACCAGATTTAACTGGGTAATTTAACTTTTTACGAGGGAACGTTCGCGCGGATTCCTTTGAAAAATGTATTTGTACTATGGAGAAAATTCACTGAAATTTGCTCGAAAATCCGCACAACCGTTTTCATATAAAAAATTAAATTGTCCAACTGAAGTAAATGGCTGATATGACTTGGTTCCTTTCTTTTTAACACAGTGCATACAATGGTCATGTAGGAGCTTTCATACCAGGGCCGGATTTACCTACTTGCCGCCCATGGGCCGCCTGTATTTGCCGCCCCCTTCTCATTCGTTTTGAAACATCAATGAAAACCATCGAGTGAACGTGCCAGCGGGGGTGGGGTGCATAAGACGCGTTTACTCGTGTTGGAAACAGTTTTTGGGAAAGCCCTGTCAACACTAAAAATTCACCGAACTTTGCGCGAACGTTAAGTTTCGTAAACCAATCTCTGCGTGGACAAGGCCTTCCATTCATAAGAACTGAACGAAAAAATTATGAAAGAACAAACATAAATGTGGTTTAATTATTTTAACTTCTGCCGCCGCGCCGAGCAGACCGCAGTGTGTTTGACGCAATGCGTGAAGTATTCACGCAGTCTTGTAGGCGCTATGCGTTTCACGCTGACCGCAGTGTGTTTGGCGCAATGCGGGAAGTATTCATGCATCCTTGTAGGCGCTATCCGTTTCACGTTGGCCGCAGTGACCGCACTGTGTTTGATGCAATGCGTGAAGTATTCGTGCAATCTTGAAGGTGCTAATATGTGTTACATGCCGACCGCCGCGCAGAGGGCTTCTCCTTTTCATCTCAAGTCCTCGTCATCATTTCTCTCTCAGTAGCGCCGTTTTTGGCCAAATTGCGTGTTTGGTCTCTCTCTTAACTCGATTAATCGGTGCTGTCTCTTGTATCACCAAAAGACGACAAAATTAGAAATTACTATACTCTCAGTAGTGGGGCCGATAAGCATAACAATCGTGCACTTCTGGAAGAAAGCATGAAAATTTCAGGGATTCATCTCTACCCTATAGACATTCGATTCAGACATAGACCCCAAAAATCTGAGCCCCCTGGGGGGGCAGGGGGGCCCCCAAATTTTGAATTTTGAATAACTACTGAACGGCTAATGTTAGCGTAAATTTTTTTAAGCAGGACGATAGGAAATTTTATCAGGAACAAAAATGGTTCTTATAAATTTTTCTGTGGGATCGATATTTAAGGCGTGAAACAGGAAAAACCATCGGGGGACGGGGAGCCGGCCGTTCTGAGGCAGATCCGCGCGCTGCGCTGTTTGCCCGGGACGCGCGCGGCGGCACAGTACGGTGTTGCCGACGAAACAGCCGCTTGTCTTGGTTTAATCTCAACGATGCGCAGTTTTAAAAGTATTGTGAATATATCGTACTACCTATAAAGCCTTAAAATAGGGCTTAACTTATGCAGGTAATATATGTATACAAGCGAGCGCACGGCAACAGAAAGAGAAGGGGTTAAGTGCTGGAGTTCCGAATTGTTTTGTTGTATGGGTTTGTCAAGTTTTATTACAGCATCCGAGATAACTGCATCAGACATCGGTTGAACGGAATAAAATCTGCGGCACAGTTGTCTCGGGAAGGGGGGGGGGCTAAAAGTCACAAATCTTATATGTGTACCACGATGACCTGAAAAATGATTTTAAAGTGTTTTTCTTTCTCTTTCTCTCGGTGCTGCGACATCAGGATGGTATCTAAATATGCTTACTTAAGACAGGGAGCCTAATTTTGTAAACAATGAGCATACATAAAAATATGCTTATTCTCCTCTCTTTCAGGAACATTTTGGTACATCATTGCTACGTATAGGCATTTTTTTAAGAGGACCAAAACCACCTTCAAAACTTGCTCCAAAAAAACGGCAAAAGAATCTTGAGAAAGCTTGATAGGGATAAATGACCCCCAAAAAACCTTTGTTGGACTGCTTCTTGTACAGTACAAAGAATATTATCAAGTAATAACTAGCCGCCGTATCCGCTACTCTGTCAAAAGGGTCCATTTGAGTGATAGGAAGTCGCGCCTAAGTACTGGGAACCTATCCTGCTCTTATGTCAGCGCATCATAGGTACGATATTCCGCAATCTCGGTAATTTTGCAACTGATTACTGATTACTGATTACTGATTTTGACTAATTTTTTGATATTTTGACGATAAATTAACCTTTTAATAATCTCTAAAGCCAATTCGATCAGTGTTATAATGTACGATAAAGTTTAAGGTGTACGTTTTGTGCATTGCATATTTTGCAAGTCCCGTTTCTTGAAAATTGTCTCCGACGTACTTACCTAGTACTCTTCCATGAGCTCCATACAAATCAAAAATCGGTACGAGATTTGCGGGTTGAAAAAGAAGAAATGCAATGAATTTCTTCCTGAGGCCTGGTCCTTCTCAGAGGTTCTTTAAAGAATCAGAACCTGCATGATAAATAAATTTTCTCCTATATTAATATTTTTTTCAATACAAATGTTACCAACTCCACTCTAAATTCCATACAACAAAATGTAAGATAATATACATGGATTTTTTTTACTGCTCATTCCATTTTCTATGTGTCGTGGTAAGTACCAATAATATCTTCAAGGATGACTCGATAAAAAGAGGCGATAGTAATCAGATATCTTCTTTTTTTATCATTTATTTAATGTATTGTTTTATTTTTTTTTGAAATATGCATATTTGTCGAATAACTGAAAAAATGGGGAGTTCATGAAAATGAAAACTTCTATTGACTGGCTGGAGGGAAAAAGAGGAGAAAAGAACAATGTCGGAATGTTCCGTATGAATCAGTACCTATGCAATTGCGAGAAACCAATGAACATGAACGAAAAACGATATTTCCTTCATTTTGAAGGAAATCTGGTAACCTTGGTGGCGAAGGGAATGTGAAGCCCCCCTACCCTCCATCCTCACTCCTCAATTAATGTCTCTACCAATTTTTGCAAAATTCATGGTTATGTAAGCAGCTCATATTGTCTCATTCGCCGAAAGTAACATGAAAAATAAGCTAAAAATAAGTTACCTACAAAGGATCCGCCATTTCCAATAGTCATGAAAAAGTGGGTCAAAATCGTATGAAAACTTGTTATTTCGCTCTAATATCTTAAAAAAATGTAATCCTGTACAAAACTTACGTGAGGAAAGGGTAATTTACCCTGTAATGAGGTCGGAAAAGCTCTGCATTCAGAGAAAACAAGACGCGTGATGCGCGATGACCGATCCCACCTATGGACTCGGCGCTCTCACATTGGAGTATTTCGCTTTTGCTTGTTTTTATGTATTACTAATAAAAAGTAGAGCTTATATTACTGAGGAAAAGTATTTAGGTAGTACGGTAAATTCATTATTATTTTTAAAACTGCGCATCGTTGAGATTAAACCAAGACAAGCGGCTGTTTTGTCGGCAACACCGTACTGTGCCGCCGCGCGCGTCCCGGGCAAACAGCGCAGCGCGCGGATCTGCCTCAGAACGGCCGGCTCCCCGTCCCCCGATGGTTTTTCCTGTTTCACGCCTTAAATATCGATCCCACAGAAAAATTTATAAGAACCATTTTTGTTCCTGATAAAATTTCCTATCGTCCTGCTTAAAAAAATTTACGCTAACATTAGCCGTTCAGTAGTTATTCAAAATTCAAAATTTGGGGGCCCCCCTGCCCCCCCAGGGGGCTCAGATTTTTGGGGTCTATGTCTGAATCGAATGTCTATAGGGTAGAGATGAATCCCTGAAATTTTCATGCTTTCTTCCAGAAGTGCACGATTCTTATGATATTTTCCACTTATCGGCCCCACTACAGGAAATGAGAGATTTTGTTTGTAAATTTTTTCTAAATCCGCTTTTTTATTACCTACATTTACAAAAAATTGCAGAATTTGCCGCCTCCTAGATTTGCCGCCACGGGCCGCGGCCCATGTGGCCATCCCCTTAATCCGTCCATGTTTCATACTGGACAATTGGACATTTAGTAAAAAATTCTCAAAAAATTTCGTTACTCACTCGTTACTCAAAATCTTTGAGAATTTTTACGGCAAGTGAGTGACGAAATGTTTTAAATTTTTTGTACCATAATTGACTTATGGCCCCCTCCCCCTCCACAAAGTTTCTAGCTGAATATTTGAAGTTGCCTCTCTCTTTTTATATTTTAATACCTATTTAGAAATATTTCCTTTCTTCTTCTAAAGTTTTCGGCTTGACCGAGGTGTTGCCTTTATTCATGGCGCTGCAAAACGACCAAAACCCCCTGAACTTGGGGTACCCAGAGCCCAACACAGAATTGAAAGTCATCGATGCTCGTGGGAAAAGTCTCGGGCCTGGAGAGGTAGGCGAGCTGTGCGTTCGGGGACCCCAGGTAGGTACATACTGTCGTGCTAAGGAAAAACGCCGTATGAACCTCCAGGCGTTGCCAAATTTCCTTCGATAAAACACGATTTTCCTGGCGAACGTATGAATATTTTTCTTCCAATTTTTCAGATAATTTTACTCGCAATTCTACCGAAAAGTTCTGAAAATTCAAAGGGAAAAAACTCATAACTTTCCTCAAAAATGAACATTTTAACGAAGGAAATTGGGCATCTCTCGAATGTTCATACGGCGTTCTTCCTCAACACGGCAGAATAATTTAGTCTCTAGAGTATTCAAGTCAATAGGGCATTATCTTGTGATTATTCACTTTAACGAGCTTTTACTTTGTTATTTTATGGGCGCTTCTTAATAAAATGGCCGAATTTGGAATTATTTTATGTATAATTTTTAATGGTAAACAACGCGAGCGTGAGGCATTTCTTCCTTTTGAGTGCCAATCACGTTCTAAATGAATCAATTGAAAACTTCAACGCGCCTTCAATTTTTCGAATATGCAGCATGGACATCCCCGAAGCACGAATAGTTGCACGGCAGAATAATTTAGTCTCTAGAGTATTCAAGTCCATAGGACATTATCTTGTGATTATTCACTTTAACGAACTTTTACTTTGTTATTTTATGGGCGCTTCTTAATAAAATGGCCGAATTTGGAATTATTTTATGTATACTTTTTAATGGTTAACAACGCGAGCCTGATGCATTTCTTCCTTTTGAGTGCCAATCACGCTTCTCATGAATCAATTGGAAAATTCAACGCGCCTTCAATGTTTTGGATATGCAGCACAGGCATCCCTGGAGCACGAATAGTTGTATTCAAGTAACAAACACGAGCGTGAGACATTTCCTACTGTTTAGTGCCAATCACGCTCTTAATGAATCAATTGAAAAATTCAACGCGCCTTCAATTGTTTGAATATGCAGCATGGACATCCCCGGAGCACGAATAGTTGCATTCAAGTATTGTAATGAAGAGAACCAGTGCATTCATTGTTTCGAATTTGCTGTATTATGAGTTAGAGAAGTAATATCTAGAATAACCAGAGATCTTCCTTCCGTCAAAGAAATTCTTCCTTTGACGGAAGTCGTGACAACCCGAAATAGTCCAGTGTGTTTTACGCATAATTTACCTTCAGAAATATGTATTCGCAAGTCAAAATTCGCCCATGGTAAAGTGATCTGCTGAGGGGGACGGACCCAGTAACCCTTTAACCTCTCACAATGAGCATGTGCGCATTTTCCGAGGTAGCTTGTCCACGTCGCACAGTGGATGGAGTTAATCAGAGAGGTCGGATTTGAAATTTGTGACTAAAACTGCAAATTTTCATGTTTGATTCGTCACTCTTTTTAAGTTCTAAGGGGTGTGTTCACAAGAAAATTTTACGGGGAAACCATTGGAACCACTTTTAAAATCTCAAAGTTTTGTATAAATGGAGTTATGAGCTTTCAAAGTTTCGAAAATTTGTCCGGCCTCTCCCTTTGGCTAGATCCACTGTGCGGCGGTGAGTTTTTTTTTTCCGTTTCCAAAACAGGTGATGAAAGGTTACTTCAACAATGAAAAAGCAACTCAGGATACTTTCGATGGTGACTGGTTCAAAACCGGAGACACGGTTTACTACGACGAGGATGGTATGTTTCACTTGGCTGGTAGATCAAAAGATCTCATCAAAGTCGGCGGACGTTCGGTAAGGGTGCCGAAACTTTTTAATGTTTGTCTCTTTTTTGAATTTCGGTAACCGAAGTGCGAAACCACGCATCTCCGTTTACGACGTCGCAAACTTCCTGTCACATTTCATTTTTTCTTTGAAAAACTAGCCATCGTAATTTCTTGAAAACTTCCCTGGTTTTTCTTCCGGGTCAGTATTAGCAGACAGTAGAATATTCTGTAAAAATTTCTAGCTATAAAATTGGCTTGTTCTTCTTCGGAAAAGCACGACAGGAGTGGAAATTTTTAAACACCGCAATGGAGATACGTGGTTTTGCACTTTGGCCATTGACATATCGACGGTGAAAGTCGGCAATCACATAACTCGTTTGCGGTGTCTGAAAATCTCCGCCTCTACGTCATTTTTTTAAAGGAGAACAAATTGATGTTATTTCTTGAAGTTTTTGCAGAATTTTCTTCGCATTGAGGAGAAAAATCATGACAGTTTTAAAGAATTGCCGTTGAGTAGTTTTCCATTTTAAAAATAAAGTATGACAGGAAGTCTGCGACGTCGCAAACCGAGTTATGTGATTGCCGACTTTCACCGTCGATGTGGATCGCGTTTAGAAAAAAGGATCCAGCGCGATTAGAGTGTTTTCAAAATTGTGGAACTTTTTCTTTCCTTATGAATATACTCATTGTGCGATATTAAAACTTACGCAATTATTTTCCTCTTTTTTTGGTATGGAAGCAAAAAAATTTGCTCCTATGGGAGATTTTCAGATAATTATGAGGAAGCAACCTTTTTACAACACTATAACTGCGCTGGTTCCTTTTTGCTAAATGCGATAAATACATATTTTATTCCTTAGCCATCAGAGGAGTAGATTGTTCAGTTCTCCTAATCATTGCGCTGTCATATACAAATTGTTGCTACGTCTCTACGTATTTCATAAAGTATATTATTTGTCCCCTCCAAGTTAGTATTAAAATTGTTTTTTTTTTTTCGTGTAAGTATAGACTCGCCAGCGGGCTGGACTAATTGGTCCTCCCCAATCTTGCGTTGTTACTGACTATTTTAACTTTCAACATGAAGAGTGCAAAAACAAAACATTCTGGGCAAATTTTAATTTATTTTACACCGAGAAAACGGGGCTATTCAGCGTGGCCAAAAAAATGCTACATCAACACTGATATCTAGACGTTGCAATACTTCTTACGATGAATAACTCCACCGATGTCTTCGAATTTAGCGCAAAATTATATTCCGGTTCCGGTTTACGATTACGATTCAGCACCAAGAAATTACGAATTTTCAACGATTAAAACCCACACCGTGATTTACGCGCAATGCGTGAAGTATTCATGCGGTCTAGTAGGCGCTAATATGCGTTCCGCGCTGACCGCATTGATTGGCGCAATGCTTGAAGTATTTATGCGGTCTTGTAGGCGTTAATAATGGCGCGCTGACCGCACTGTGTTCAGCGCAATTATTCGAACTTGCGAAGTCAACGTTCTTCAACTATTGTTATTACCATGGAGTTAAGCAAATTCTGTATGGCAACGCCCTCTCATTAAAATAAGAAAATTTAATGCGGAAGGTATTTAATTTGAGAAAAAGAGATACCTGAACAATAAGAGTCACAATAACTTAGGTAACAGTTTGGTTGGGAAAAACTTCAATGAAAACGGTTGTGTGGCTTTGAAAAAGTATGAGAATATCTCCATACGCTATTAGAAATTCACAGAAAAAGGCGTTTTGTAAGTTGGTTTGTTTGTGAAAAATCTAAACATATACGGAGAGCACGCAACTTGAAATGCAGCTGGGTCGATTTTGCTCAAATCCATCCAAATCGGAGGGTATAGATTCGATCGACATGAATCGATCGAAAAATAAGAACGTGGACCAATCGACTTGATTTGATCGATTCACGGTAGGTATTGTCGGCCAATTCACGAATTTGTCGATTGATTTACGGGGTTTTCGATTGATTCACGGGTTTGTCGATCAAATCATGGATTTATCGATCAATTTACGGGGTTTTTGACAGATTTACAGGTTTGTCGATCGAATCTGTGTTGATCGAATTTGTGCTGATTGAATCTGTGACGTCAATTGGTTCACGTCTTTATTTTTCGATCGCTTCATATCGTTTGAATCGGCCACCGTTTTTTAATCATGTGTCGGTCGCTTCACGTAGACTGACCCACGTTTTTATTTTTCGCTTGATTCATCGTCACCTTCCGGCCAAAGTATCACAAGCGCCATGCGACGTTTCAAAATTTCCACCGTCAATTAATTTTTACAGAGAAGTTGTTCAACGAAGCCGTCCGAAAATTTCACTGACTTTTTTTGTGCTGCCGATCAAATTCAGCGAAATTTTCAAACAGATTCCAACAACTTCTCGGTAAAAAAAATAAAATTGCGGCGGACATTTTGAAATGTCGCATGTCGCTTATGATACTTTGACAGGAAGGTGACGCCATGTCGATCGAATCCATATTGTATCCTCCCTCTAAATCGCCATTTTAATTCTTTTATAACGTGAATTGAAAGGTTTCGCCGTCAGAATTGGAATTCGTCCTGCTGAGCCACCCGAAGATAGCAGACGCAGGAGTAGTAGGAGTGCCTGATGACACCGTAGGGGAAAAGCCAGTGGCGTTTGTGGTCCCAAAACCAGGCGTGGAAATCGACCCTCGAGAGATTCAAGCCTTCGTTTCATCGGAGTTAGCACCGCACAAAGCCCTGAGTCGCGTCATCGTAACAGACGCGCTACCCCGGAACTCGATCGGGAAAATGCTCAAAAGAGTTTTGAAAGAGTTATTGTGCTCGAAAGGCTTATGATTGAGCTAGGAAGAATTTTCGTGGGTCAGTACACTGATAAAAATATTTGTATTCTCGTGTTACTTTTGGTTGATACAGGGTGACCCAGAGTTGAATGACCAGACTCCAGGAGCGTGTTCTATGAGTCAAAATCAGACTTTTTTGTTGTATGAAGTTTTTTCAAAAGTGCCCCTAGTCTGAGCGCCGCGACGGCCCCCCTAAATTTCGGAAAGTAAATCGTTTTTCCTGAATTTTGACAACGGTTGTGAACCAAATCTCATAGAAATTTGAATTCCCCTGTACTTTTATACCCTGAATTCATGAATGATCTAAAAAAAAAACCGAAATCTCAATTTGAAGAGGGGGTCTGGAGGTATTTCGGCCCCTCCAGTCTGGCCGTTTAGCCCTGGATCACCTTGTATTCGTGTTCTTGTGTTGCGTTTGGTTAATAAAGGAGGTGAAACACAAATCAAAACAAATTTTGTCAAACTGATTGCGGTAGGCGCACAAGTCGGATCGTATAGACAGTAAGTTGGAAAATTAGCCAACGTGAATTAAAGACCCAGAAATCTCATTACAGAGGGAAAAAGCTCATTCGAGAACAATTTCCTCTCAGAGAGATACCTACGCTGTTTTCTGGAGTTGTTTTCCTGAAGGGTCGTAACTATTGTTGCACCAAATAGCGTATCTCTTTGAGGGGAAATTGTGCTCGAATGAACTTTTTCCCTCTGTACTGACATTTCTAGTTTTCTGGGTTTTTAACGCACGTTGGCTATACATTTCCAACTTACTTTTGTGTTGATTTTGGTACATTTTGCAGTGAATTTTGTCCAGAAAAAAAATGGAAAGACCGCGTGGGAAAATGCATTCCTCCGATTGCGGCCGTGACATTCACCACTCGTTTTTTTTTTATCAAATTTCGTCAAGAAAACTAGCTGGAATTTTTCTTCGAAATTGTCAACCAAAAGCTAGGGTTACTTTGTGTTTCAGTGCTTAGTGCGAGTTAAAATTCAATAGTTACGATCTTCCGTATAAGAAAAAATGAGTTGCTCGTGTTGCATACACACAGAAATGAAGGCACTCTCTCGAGTTCAGTTGTGCGTTAGATTTTACTTAAGTTAAAGGGGGAAAAGCAAGTAATTTTCAGGTGTCTAACTAATAAAAGGGAAATACATTGATCATACACTGATCCATCACGCTCGCCTCCCCGCTCCCACCGGTCGGAATCGGTGCGAACTTAGCCGTTCGACGGGTACTGTCCCCGAGGGGTGCAATAAGCTTTCTTTTCGCGATCCGCCCGTCCGTTCGCGAGTAACCGCGGTCGGAAGTCGCGGATATTCCCGTAAGCCCGTGTGTGTTGGAAAGAGAGACGTAGCAGTGCGGGTATATTTCCTGACGCGGCCGTTGCCGGGTGGCCGTCGGATACCTTTAGCTGCGCGCGTAATT